GATTCAGCTTCGTCTTGGCCTGGAACCTTCCCTTAAGCCTTTGCAGCTGTGTAGGCTTCTCCTGTGGGCAATGGGGAGCCTTAACACTATGCTGCGGGGAGAGAATATGAACTCCTTGGAACGCACGACCCTTTTCAACGCTCCGGAGTGGTTTGCCCAACTTCTCAGGTACATGAATAATGTCTGAAGGCTTTTTCTTGGCCTTGAAATCTCCCCTGAAATTTTTAAAGGCTTGAAAACCTCGAGAGGGGATATTCTTACTCTCGGGGGTGTTCGGCTGGAGTTTCCCGGTCGGTTCAGAGTCTTGTTTCGCGGAGCCTCCATTTGTACTCCCCAGTTGCCGGCCGGTCGTGCGTTTTAAATTCGCGCAATCGTGTCCTCCTTTTTTCGCCATCGTGGATGTCGCACTGTTGTTGCCCTGCAGCTCTGCTCGTGCCTTCTTCATTTTCCAACACGCCAAGAGTCGATGTCCTGCTGCGCCACAAAATTCGCAATTCTCATATTTTGTCGGCCGCTGCTTCACGTCGATCTTGTCGATATCCATCGGGTCGGCGGTCGTGGGTGGTGCCGATCGCTCCATGCCGAATGATCTGTTCGGCATGCGTCGTCGTGTTTCGGGTTGACCTTGAGTCAACGCATCGAATCTCTCTGCTGCACACACCAAGTCGCGGTAGTTGTTGTAGTTTGCGGCAATCACCTGTCGGCGGACTTCCATCTTTAGCCCCTCAGTATACGCTTGGATTTTTTCCCCTTCGGTCAGGTCGGTAATTCGGTTGAAGAGGCTCTCCATCTGCTGCGTGTACTGTGTTACACTGCCGAACTGTTTATGCCGATGAATCTGCTGCCGCGCCATGTAGCTGGAGTTGATTGGTTCGAAATGTTGAATTAAAGCTTCCCGAAACTGCGTCCATGACCCCTCGCCTCGGATCTTATTGCTGTTGTAAATCCACTCGAGCGCCGGGCCTCGTAACAGTGTCGCTGCGAGCCGAATCCGCATTGCATCGTGTGTCGGGGTCGTACAGCCAACGGCCTCGAAGTAAATTTCGAGGGTCGCAATGAATCGACGGACATCGGTGTCTTTCGCATTCGGATTGAATGTTTCCGGTAGCCTCGGACGTGCCGCCTCAAGATTCACTGTAGCCACTGCCGCTGCTGCTGGGTGAAGTGTCGGTGTCGCCGCCGCTGCTTCTGTTGCGTTCGCTGCTGCTGTGGCGGCTGCCGACTGGTTCGCGAGAAGCTCCTCTATTCGCTAGAGTGCCGCTCGCGTCTGGTCCAGGCCGGTGTGTAACTCCGTATTTTTTCGTACGGAATTATCACCGTTTTCCTCCATTTGGCGATTTACAGGAAGATTTGCGACGAAAATAAATGAATTTTAGGCGCTGGTCATCTTACTGTGAGTCGAGTCGACTGTAAAAAAGACGAGCACTGATTCTGTAGATTGCGTAATTCTCCCTTAGTCGAAATTCGCGTCCGATCTCGGCCGTTGAGAAGAAATTCGATCCGACGCTCCAAATTCCAACTTTTTTGGGAGAAATTCTCAGTGCCGTTGAGATTCGAAACGATCCGACGGTAGAAATTCCAACCTTTTCGCCACTGGTCCTGAGGAAGTTCGAAAACCGGTTCGAGGGGGACGTTAAAAAATAGCGCGGAATTGGTTTACGTACCCGAAATCGGCGCTTTCCGTCGTCGCCCCCGCGGTTTTAAAAGCTAGTTTTTAGCGGTCGAAAAACTTCGCGTCTAAACAAGCTCTGATTCCCAAGTGTGAGGATCTATGATCGAGCTCAGAAAAGATGATTTGAATTGAATGATCACCTGGGTACAACACGAGGCTATATATAGGCTCGACACAAGGCCCCGTAACCAGGTGTTACGCGAAGGTTCCGCGGGTCGCGAAGCGTCCCGAACAGATCCTTTCCAATTCGGTAGAAGGCAATTCGGTGGCAACCGAAAAGTCAGAATTCGGTGCACGCAACCTAGCTCGGTGCTATAACTATAATAAAATATAGGAAAGCACCTAGCCTAGGAAATCAAGCAATTCATGCATGCATATAATTATCCTATGCTAGAAATAGAATGATAAAGTAAAGGCAAGCAAGCATAGCTGGCATAAGCCGTCGTACTCTCACAGCCTGCTCCTGCTCCTTACACTGCGGTGTCAGAGTTCCTGACTGAGCGTCGAGAGCCTGAGACTCGTGCTTCCACCCCTGAGCGTCGAGAGCCTGAGTCTAGCTTTGACCTTGAGCCTGAGCCTAGAGCTGCTGTCCGTGCTCATGTTCCTCGTGTTCGTCGTCAGCGTGCTCCGGCTGTCCCCGGCACTCACGATATGACACTCCGTCCTTCCTCTGTTCCTCAGCGTGTTGTCCTACCGTTACCTCCTACGTCCTCTTTGCCTGACGTTGCTGACCCTCCGTCTGACATTGCTCGTGCGTCCAGTCCGACTGTTACTCGCCTTCTTGCTACGGTTGTGACGGACCCTACGTTCTCGTCTCCTGCTGCGTCTGCCCTAGTAGCTGAGCTCGTTGACTTTGCTGCTGTGTACCGCCTAGACTACCTTGCGAGTCTTGTCTCTGACCCTGTCCCTGCCTGTCCTCCGTCCGTCGGGGGTGAGACTGCTCTTGGCTGCACTGCCCTTGGCTGTGACATTCTTGAGGACAGACAAGAGGAGCTGGAGTGCCTTGCTGCCGCTTCACCCCATCACGCAACCATGCTGCTTGCCCCTGAGGGAGACCGGGATGCACTTGACATCCCCACACCGCGCTCCTACAGGGAGGCGATTTCGGGTGAGTACTCCTCTCAGTGGCAGACAGCCATGGACGCAGAGATGGCTTCCTGGAAGTCCACAGGCACCTACGTCGACGAGGTTCCCCCTCCTGGGGCGAACATCGTCAGTGGCATGTGGATTTTCAGGGTGAAGCGGCCGCCGGGTTCTCCGCCTGCCTTCAAGGCACGTTACGTTGCTTGAGGCTTCAGTCAGCGTGAGGGGGTCGACTTCTTTCAGCCCTTCTCCCCCACCCCGAAGATGACCACTCTTCGGGTGTTGCTACACATTGCAGCTCAGCGAGACTACGAGCTGCACTCCCTCGACTTCTCGACAGCTTTCTTGCAGGGTAGCCTTCACGAGGCCATCTGGTTGCGCCGTCCACAGGGCTTCACTGGGTCGTTTCCTGAGGGTACCCTGTGGAGCCTACGGCGACCAGTGTACAGCTTGTGTCAGGCGCCCCGCGAGTGGCACGACACACTGAGGACGACACTTGCGGCTCTTGGGTTTGCTCCTTCGACTGCTGACCCGTCGCTGTTTCTACGCACCGACACTACTCTGCCGCCGTTCTACATCCTCGTGTACGTCGACGACTTGTTTTTTGCTACTGCTGACACTGAGGCACTGGCCCTAGTGAAGGCGGAGCTGCAGGAGAGACACACCTGCACTGACCTGGGTGAGCTGCGGAGCTAACTTGGCTTGCAGATCACCCGGGACAGAGCACGGCGCACCATCACCCTGACTCAGTCACACATGGTGCACCAGGTCCTACAGCGCTTCCGCTTCACGTACTCCTCGCCACAGCCCACTCCTCTGGCTACCGGCCACTCGCTCTCAGCTCCACCTTCGGACGAGTCCGTAGAGCCGAGTGGTCCGTACCCAGAGCTTGTGGGCTGCCTCATGTACCTGATGACATGCACACGACCTGACCTCGCGTACCCTCTGAGCCTTCTAGCTCGTTACGTGGCACCTGGTAGACACCGAAAGGTGCACTTTGATGCTGCGAAGAGGGTACTGCGTTACTTGTGCAGCACATCGGGCATGGGGCTCGTGCTTGGAGGACGGGGTTCGGTGGTCCTCACAGGACACTCTGACGCTTCTTGGGCCGACGACCAGGCGACTCAGCGTTCGTCACAGGGTTACACCTTCAGTCTTGGCTCTGGTTCTGTCTCGTGGAGGTCCACTCGTTCTTCTTCTGTACTTGGTTCCAGCTGTGAGGCCGAGATCTACGCTGGGGCCATGGCTGCACAGGAGCTCCGCTGGCTGACCTACCTGCTGACCGACTTGGGGGAGCGGCCTCGTTCTCCTCCGGTTCTGTACGTCGACAACAAGGCAATGCTTGCCTTGTGTCGGGAGCAGAGACTGGAGCACCGAACGAAGCACATTGCTCTGCGCTACTTCCTTGCGCGTGAGCTGCAGCAGCGTGGTCAGCTGCGCCTTGCTTTCGTGGCCTCTCGGGCCAACACTGCTGATGTCTTCACCAAGGCCCTTGCGGCTGGTGATCATCAGCGTTTCTGCACTGCTCTTGTGCTTGTGCCCACTCTGCCTCACCTGCTGGTTGCTTGACTTGCTCTTGTTGTACACTGCTATATATCTTTATACCTGCATGTTTACTCTTGCTAGGTTGTGTTCTGTGTACTGCCTTGCTATTATAAATCTGCATGTGAACTGGCCTTGTGGCCGCCTGCCTGTGCTCAGATTGTGTGGTGTCCTTGAGATCCACCCTGGGCTTTGCCTTGCTTGTTCCCTTGCTTGACTGGTCTTGAGACCACTGTTAGGTTTGGGTATCCCCTACTTCACCTATGGGGGTGTGTCAAAACATATTGTTATGCTTATTTCAGTCTAGGTTCTGTAGGGTTCCTTCCTTAGAGGGTACAACATTCACTCTCGATAGTCCTTGTACCCCCCCCCTTACCCAATCGATCATTCTCACCTAGCTAGTGATTCTAACAGTGCAGTCAGTTGGCAGCTGTTATATGACCATACAGTGCAGCAGCCCCACACATGGATTGTTATGCATTGCCATGTGTCATTATAAGAAAACCTACAGTGAGTTGTTAAAGCCAGCAGCTAAAATAGTGACCCCCCCCTTCTAGTTGGGTCCACTTGAAAACACAAGTTCGTTACGAACGTTTGAAAAGTTGACGGCCTGTGCGTTTTTACTTTTTTTTCATCCCAGACGAGTCTTGATCTGAACGGGAAACATGAGGAACTTGTTTACAAATCTTATTGGTGGCGACTTTCACCCACATTCGTATGCGAATTTGGCGCAAGGCTGCAATCCCACATTCAACATAGCAGCCGTCGTAACTTCACAAGAATTCCCATATGCAAAGAACAGCGCACACACAGGCAAAATCCAGCACGCACAGGCAAGAACTCGCAAAATCCTGCGCAAACACTGGCATGATCAAGCAAAATCCATGGCACACACAGGTGAAATCAGGCGAAGAAGATATAAATAAAGAAATTAATGATGTACGAAAAGAGAAAGGGCGACGGGACGGTTGATTGGTCGACGGCGAAGAGAAGGGACTGGGGACAAGGGGGCTGACGGGAGAGGAGGGGAGAGAGGGGGAACGACGGGATGGGAGGGGAGAAGGGAAAAACGACGGGATAGGAAGGAAGAGAGGAGGAACGACGGGATGGGAGGGGAGAGAGGAAGAAAGACGGGATGGGAGGGTAGAGCGGAGGAACGACGGGATGGGAGGGTAGAGAGGAACGACGGGATGCGGGGAGGGAAGACAGATTGTGAGGGGAGGAAGGAAGGGCGCGGAGAGGGCATTGCATAGCAAGAGCGAAGGGCGGATTGGCCGACGATGGAGAGCGTTTCAGAGATTAATGATTGGGGAGAAGAGACGAAAGGCGATGGGAAGGCATTTCGGGACGAGCACGAGGGCGACGAGGTCGGTGATGGGAAGGGAGAGAGGAAGGGCGTGGGGAGAGCGTTTGAGTGCGAGCGTGAAGGCGACCAGGCAGGCGATGGGAGGAGAAAGTGGGCGGGGGACGAGAAGGCGTTTCGTGGCGAGCGGGAAGGCGATGGGGTGGGTGATGGTGGGTGGGAGAGGAATTTGCGACGGCTGCATCTAAGGCTACGAGAAGGGAGGGGAGAGAGCAAGAGCGACGGCAAGGGAGGGGAGAGAGATAGAGCGACGGGAAGGGAGGGGAGAGAGATAGAGCGACGGGATGGGAGGGGAGAGAGATAGAGCGACGGAAAGGGAGGGGAGAGAGATAGAGCGACGGGAAGGGAGGGGAGAGAGATAGAGCGACGGGAAGGGAGGGGAGAGAGATAGAGCGATGGGATGGGAGGGGAGAGAGATAGAGCGATGGGATGGGAGGGGAGAGAGATAGAGCGACGGAAAGGGATGGGAGAAGGCGATTGCAACGGAAAGGGAGCGGCGAGAGAGAGAGCGACGGGAAGGGAGAGGAGAAGGCGATTTGTTGAGGAAAGGGAGCGGCGAGAGAGAGAGAGCGACGCGCAGGGAGCAGCGAGAGAGAGAGCGCGACGGGAAGGGAGCGGCGAGAGAGAGAGAGCGACGGGAAGGGAGGGGAGAGAGCAAGAGCGACGGGATGGGAGGGGAGAGAGAGGGTGATTGGAGGAGAGGGGTAATGGAGGGATGACGGTAGGAGGGCGACGGGACGTCGACGGGACGGACGACATGATCGCGACGCGACGGTCGATGGGACGGCGTCAGGATGGTCGATGGGACGTCGTCAGGACGGTCGATCGGAACGGGAGGGCGAGCGAGATGAGATAGGAAGGCGGCGAGAGGGCATTCGAAACGGCACAAAGTACTACACAACCATGCCAGCTTCACTACGCGTCTAAATTGAAACAACAACGGCCTAAGTTGATGGTTCGATGGCTAGACATGCTACACATAACTAAGAAGCTGAGATGTATGATCGGAAGAACTAGTAGTTGTTCACCCAGACCCAACTTGAACCCCAAGCTGGGCCCAAAATCGCAAGGACGTGCATGAGCGATCGCAATGCTAGTGTTGTGCAGCTTCCAAAACTGACATGCGACGCCTGACGTGCTGTGTTCCTTCTTTTGGTTTTGGCGGGAACCAATCAGATGTGTTCGATCTGCAAAAAACGCTCTCAATGAAACACTGGAAACTTGTCGGTTTGGTTCTAAAATTGTTTCGCACGGCAAGCCCTCTTTCAAGTTGGCGTTGGGTTCACTATTTTGCATTTCGGTTTTAATGATTCATAGAGTGCAGTCAGTTGTAGATCTCATTGGCCACACGTTGGAAGTAAGGCCTTGCGGTGCAGTGAAACGCCCCACACATGATATTGCTGTGATTTCTTTGCATTATCATACCTGTAGACACGCAGCCTACTGTGAGTTCTGGCGAAGCTAGCTACATGGAGTGCAACAGGTTGTCAATCTCATTGGCCACGCGGTGGAAGTAGGCCATACGGTGCAGCAGCGCCACACACGCCATTGCTGTGCCTGCTCTGCCATACGACACCTATATGCAGTGTGCAGTGAGTTGTGTAACTAGCTACATGGAGTGCAACCGGTTGTCAATCTCATTGGCCACGCGGTGGAAGTAAGCCATGCGGTGCAGCAGCCCCACACACGCGCCCACATCGCCCCCCCGGAACGCAGAGTCAAAGCTGCCGTACAGCCCTTCCATTCTCTCCTGGGTCTTCACAACGCAAGGCACCCACTCAGCCAAAGAAAAAGAACAGAAAGGGAGGAAAAGAAGAGAGGTTGACTGGTACAGCGCAGGCAAGGCAGAGCCGTGTGCGAGCAATACAGTAGTACCGTACTGATCCAGACATGTCTCACATGCGCGTGTTCTGAGACATGCATGTGGCCTGAGACATGCATGTGGCCTGAGACATGCATGTGGCCTGAGACATGCATGTGGCCTGAGACATGCATGTGTTCTGAGACATGCATGTGGCCTGAGACATGCATGTGGCCTGAGACATGCATGTGGCCTGAGACATGCATGTGGCCTGAGACATGCATGTGGCCTGAGACATGCATGTGTTCTGAGACATGCATGTGGCCTGAGACATGCATGTGGCCTGAGACATGCATGTGTTCTGAGACATGCATGTGGCCTGAGACATGCATGTGGCCTGAGACATGCATGTGGCCTGAGACATGCATGTGGCCTGAGACATGCATGTGGCCTGAGACATGCATGTGGCCTGAGACATGCATGTGGCCTGAGACATGCATGTGGCCTGAGACATGCATGTGGCCTGAGACATGCATGTGGCCTGAGACATGCATGTGTTCTGAGACATGCATGTGTTCTGAGACATGCATGTGGCCTGAGACATGCATGTGGCCTGAGACATGCATGTGGCCTGAGACATGCATGTGTTCTGAGACATGCATGTGTTCTGAGACATGCATGTGGCCTGAGACATGCATGTGGCCTGAGACATGCATGTGGCCTGAGACATGCATGTGGCCTGAGACATGCATGTGGCCTGAGACATGCATGTGGCCTGAGACATGCATGTGTTCTGAGACATGCATGTGGCCTGAGACATGCATGTGGCCTGAGACATGCATGTGGCCTGAGACATGCATGTGGCCTGAGACATGCATGTGGCCTGAGACATGCATGTGTTCTGAGACATGCATGTGTTCTGAGACATGCATGTGGCCTGAGACATGCATGTGGCCTGAGACATGCATGTGGCCTGAGACATGCATGTGGCCTGAGACATGCATGTGGCCTGAGACATGCATGTGGCCTGAGACATGCATGTGGCCTGAAACATGCATGTGGCCTGAGACATGCATGTGGCCTGAGACATGCATGTGGCCCGAGACTGGTTCAGACTGCTTTGTCACACGGACAAGAACCAGTGAGTTAGAGGCCTTGTGGGATTCGTTTAGTTGTGAGGCTGCTTACGAAAAGGCTGCCTACCCCAAGAGCAGACCCTTAGACGCCTCACTTCACCTCACCTCACCTCACCTCACCTCACCTCACCTCACCTCACCTCACCTCACCTCACCTCACCTCACCTCACCTCACCTCACCTCACCTCGCTGCACACATGAAATATTGACATCCCCCCACCGACCACCGGAATCCACCTCAACAAAAAAGCAGCCCTTCTCTCCACATGCTCCCAACCCCCCAACCCCTCCCCTCCTCTCCCTGCCATCCTTGCCTGTCCCCATCTGCGACAGCAGCGTCTGCAGCTCCTCAGGGCTTTCAGCGTCCTCAATGGTCTCCCTCAGCTCCATCACCTGCCATTCCCGCCCCTTCCTCTCCCCTCCCCCCCCCCAACACACACACACATGCAGCTGCAGCGCCTGCAGCTCCTCCGGGCTGTCAGCTCCCTCAATCGTCTCCCTTCGCCGCTCTTCCTCCCCACACGCCCCCATACCCCAACCCCTCCCTTCCTCCCTCCCGTTGCAGCCTTTCCCACCTGCGACTGCAGCGCCTGCAGCTCCTCCGGGCTGTCAGCGTCCTCAACGGTCTCCCTCAGCTCCATCACCTGCCGCACCCCCCGTCCCTTTTTCCCCCCACACAAAAGCAACCACACACACGCGGACGCACCCACACACACCTGCGACTGCAGAGCTTTCAGCTCCTCCGGGCTGTCAGCGTCCTCAATGGTCTCCCTCAGCTCCATCACCTGCCAAACAGTCGCACCACAGCACAGAGGGCCCACACACCAGGGGCCAGAGGAGTGGCATGCCATGAGTGACTTGAGAATCCCAAGTTTTGAATCTCAATCTCGCCTCAGATGTTAAAGGTGTTCCTCAGCTGCATCACCTGCTGCACCGCCATGTGCACACCAGTTGGCAGGGTGGCGCATTGTGGGTGGGGTGGGCACATGGGCATAGTTGTACCTTCATCATCACTCCCCTTCATCAACACTCACTTCCATCAGCAGCCTACCACCACAGAAGCACCCTCCCCAGAAGCACCCTCCCCAGAAGCACCCTCCCCAGAAGCACCTTTCCCCAAGAACACACGCACCTCCATGAGCAGCTGTTGGTCCCTCCCCGGGCTGTCGCCACTCAGCTCTGCTGCTGTCACTCCACTGGCCCGCAGCTGAACGATGGGAGGGGGGAAGGGGGAGGGGTGAGGGGCGAGGGGCGAGGGGGGATGAGAGGAGGCGAAGTGGAGAAATAGGGGGAGGGCGAATGGGGGAAGACTCACGGCTGTTGCCACTCAGCTCTGCTGCTGTCACTCCACTGGCCCGCAGCTGAGCGGGGAGAGGGGGCGATTAAGGTGGGCAGGAAAAGTGGAACGTGGGGAAATAGGAGGAGAAGAAACCGGGAGGAAAGAGAGAAAGAGTAGGGAGGGAAAAGGGGGGGGATTCAGGCTGTCACCACTCAGCCCTGCTGGCGTGATGCCGAGGGAGGGGGAAACACGAAGGGCTAGGAGGAGAACAAAAGCGGGAAACAACACACACGTCTATAATTGCATATATATATGTGTGTAAATATATATCCACATATATATATATGTACATATGTATATGTATACACACATATATATACACACACATATATATATATGTATGTATACTATATATATAACAACGGAGCCAACTAGAAGAAATGGGCATTGTAGCGGAGTGAGCAACGCAATGCACCATGCATGCACAAGCAATCTGATCGGTGCAGCGGAATCCGGACAGGCAGACGGCCTCATCATCAGCTGATGATGTCGCCACAGCGGATGGCAGATGGCGGATGGCGGATGGCGGATGGGAGCCTCATCAGCTCTCTCCTTAGAGGCACTTTTGAGAGAGAGAGCTGATGAGGCTGCCATCCGCCATTCGCCAACCTCCATTCCCTGTCGGTGTTGGAGCCACCAAGGGGTGCAAGGTGGTGCCAATGGACCTGTGCAGCCTCACTGACTGAGTTGGACTCAGTCCACTGCCAGCAGTGCACAGGGGGAGTGGAGGCATAATGCCAGGGGGCATGGTGGCAGGCTGGCAGGCAGTTAGGAGACACAGAGACAGGTCGGACCGCCCCCGATGGTCGCGATGAGACGGGCGCAGCACAAAGCCGGCACAGACGGCCCGCTCCCGATTGGTCGGCTCGGCACAGATGGGACGTGCGCAGCACAAAGCCGGCCGGTTCGAGGTGACTTTCAAGTCGACTCCAAAGTCGCCCCCGGTTTGTCGCGATGGGGCAAGCGCAGCACAAAGCCGGCCGGTTCGATTCGACCAGGCCAGGTTTGGCCGACGAGCCGGGGCCATGCCGGCATTATGGCACATGCGCTGCTGCTACCAGTGCAAAGAGTTTTTGAGAATTCTCAAAAACACCGTGCAACATGACGAACCGGGGCCAGGCTGGCTTTATGGCACATGCGCTGACATGCGCTGACATACGCTGCTGCTGCTGCCAGTGCACAGCCCGCATTGCACATGGGAGGTGAAGGGGCGTGGTGCCAGAGGCATGAGGCAGAGCAGGGGCGAACTCATGAGGTACTTGGCGCGAGAGAGCGGCCTGAGGAGCGTGTCGTAGGCGCCTATCTATCTATGACATGCGCTGCTTGCTACCGCTCCCCCTGCTCCATGTGTGTTGCGAGGGACATGTGCATGCAGGCGGGGGCTTACAAGGTACTTGGCTCGAGAGAGCGGCCTGAGGAGCGTGTCGTAGGCGTCTATCTATCTATGACATGCGCTGCTTGCTACCGCTCCCCCTGCTCCATGTGTGTTGCGAGGGACATGTGCATGCAGGCGGGGGCTTACAAGGTACTTGGCTTGAGAGAGCGGCCTGAGGAGCGTGTCGTAGGCGTCTATCTATCTATGACATGCGCTGCTTGCTACCGCTCCCCCTGCTCCATGTGTGTTGCGAGGGACATGTGCATGCAGGCGGGGGCTTACAAGGTACTTGGCTCGAGAGAGCGGCCTGAGGAGCGTGTCGTAGGCGTCTATCTATCTATGACATGCGCTGCTTGCTACCGCTCCCCCTGCTCCATGTGTGTTGCGAGGGACATGTGCATGCAGGCGGGGGCTTACAAGGTACTTGGCTCGAGAGAGCGGCCTGAGGAGCGTGTAGTAGGCGTCTATGACATGCGCTGTTTGCTCCGCTGATAGCTCTCTCTCCTCCTGCTCCATGTGTGTGTTGCGAAAACATGCACAGGCATGCACACACCATCAATGCGCATCAGCCACCGTTCCAAACCCCAGCCCCATGTCGCCCACCCACATGCATACCGTCACATACCATGGCGTTGAATCGCATGCCATGCCATGCCATGCCGTGTCATGCCGTGTCATGCCATGCCATGCCATGCCGTGTCATGCCATTCCATGCCATGCCGTGTCATGCCATTCCATGCCATGCCATGCCACGCCATCCATGAGCAAAGCGGGAGATGAAGCACACAATTATCTCACAAGGTCGCAAACATCCGCAACTGAGAAATCGATCTCCTAATACCTTGCTCATCACTTGCCGCCGCGCCCCCCCCATCGCATGCTCACCCCGGACTTTACCCCATGCACGTCCGGTCCGGGTGCAGAATCTTCTGCAGCTGCTGTGAAGGAGAGTACTAAGAGACCTTCCTCCCTTCCCCCCTCCCCGATCTCTCCCCCCTTCTCACCTCCGACCTGCCCCCATGCACGCCCGGTCCGGGTGCAGCATCTTCTGCAGCTGCCTCGAAGGGTTTAGGGTACCCCATGCACCGCTCCACCCCCTTCCCCCTCATCCCACCCATGCCTCACCCCTCCCACACCTCACCTCCGACTTGCCCACATGCCATCCTCCCCCCCCCTCTCTCCCCCACGCCCCCTCCCCCTTTCTCACCTGCGACCTGCCCCCATGCAGGTCCGGGTGAAGCATCTTCTGCAGCTGCTCTGCTGTGACAGAGGGTACCTTTGCACCTTCTCCCCAACCCCCTCCTCTCCCCTCCCTCACCCTCACCCCTCACTCACCCCGCCCACCCCTCACCTCCGACCTGCCCCCATGCAGGTCCGGGTGCAGCATCTTCTGCAGCTGCTGTGAAGGCGAATACCTAACTATCTCTCCTCCCCCCACCCTTCCCCCACACCTCACCCCCTCTTCTCCCCACCTCTCACCTCCGATCTGCCCCCATGCAGGTCCGGGTGCAGCATCTTCTGCAGCTGCTTGTAGCGCTGCTCCAATAGCGATAGGTCGATGGCGAATGCACGCGGGCTGAGGGGCGGTGGGCAGGGTGGGTGTGGGGGCGGGAGGAGGGGAGGAAGCGGATGGAAAAAGAGCATCTCAGGCAGCTGCTTGTAACGCTGCTCCAACAGCGATAGGTCGATGGCGAATGCACGCGGGCTGGAGGGCGGTGGGCAGGGAGGGTGGGAGGGGGTGGAAGGAGCAGAGGAAGGGGATTGGGAGAGAGGGCATGTCAGGCAGTTGCTTGTATGGCTGCTCCGGTGAGAAAGGTTGATGGCGACTGCACGCGGGTTGGGGCATCACAGACGTGGGTGGAACAATGGGAGAAAGGTGGGCACGAAGAGGGAGGGGGTGGGCACGAAGAGGGAGGGGGTGGGCACGAAGAGGGAGGGGGGTGGCCACGAAGAGGGAGGGGGGTGGGCATGACGAGGGAGGGGGGTGGGCATGACGAGGGAGGGGGGTGGACAAGCGCGCCACATGCCCTTCCAGGGTGGTGACTGATAGCGACATGACATGAGTGAATTTTTTAGACGTCTCAAAAAGGTTGCCCCTCCACACATATCACATGCCCCTCCAGGGTGGTGGCAAATAGCACGCTGCAAACGATTGCCTGAAATCTCGGAACAAATAAATCTAATGCAACCCCAATTCCAAACGCGCATGCCATGCCACCAATCACCAACTCACAGGCCGAGCAGAACAGCTCGAACAGGGCCGTGTGCTTGGCCACTGCCAGTAGTCCGGGGCGCTGTCCCGGTAGCCACTGTGCCAGCCGCTCCTGTTGCCCGTGTGTCTGCAGCTTCAGCTGTCGCCTCCTATCTCCTCTCATCTTACAGTCCCGCCTCGTCCTCCTCACTTGTCCTTTGTGAATGCCTCTAGCTTTGCTTGCAATTGTGAACCTGCTCTATGACTGCTTGCTCTGCTGATTACACCCCACTTTGGCTATGGGGGTGCAGCGCGCCACCTCACCACACCAGAGCTCCACATGCAGAAAATGCCTCGAACCCTCAAAAGAGAATCCAATGCAATACCAGTCCGCCACTCACAGGCCGAGCAGAAGAGCTCGAACTGGGCCGTGTGCTTGTCCACCGCTGGTTGGTTGCAGCGCGCCACCTCACCAGAGCGCCACCTCACCAGAGCGCCACCTCACCAGAGCGCCACCTCACCAGAGCGCCACCTCGCGCCACATGCTCCCCCGGGGGGGCAGCTGATCGCAAAACGCACAAGATGCCTCTATCGAAACCTCAGAAGAAGGTCCGATGCAATCCCAAACACGCCACCCCCCGACCGACTCGCAGCCCCTCAAACTCTCCAATCACCGACTCGCAGCCCCTCAAACTCTCCAATCACCGACTCACAGCCCCTCAAACTCTCCAATCACCGACTCGCAGCCCCTCAAACTCTCCAATCACCGACTCGCAGCCCCTCAAACTCTCCAATCACCGACTCACAGCCCCTCAAACTCTCCAATCACCGACTCACAGGCCGAACAGTTCGAACAGGTCCGTATGTTTGTCCACTGGTTGCAGCGCGCCACATGCTCCGCAGAAGAACCGCCACGTCAGTGGGTCGCCCTGCTTGCTCGCGCCATCCCCCCTGCCCCTCGCGCCCTCCGCTTCCGCATCCGCGCGCATGCCATCCGCGGACGAGATGCCCTTCCCCGCGTGCGCTTCAGCGCCGCGATCGGCGGAGCACAGCCAGCACGCGGACGCGTCATCAGCTGCTGACGTGGCAGGCGTCGCTGAGTCGACGGGCTTATCACGACCGCCGCTGCTAGTCGTCGCCGTCGCTGCTGATGTGGCTCCGTTTCCTGTTCGCGCCTCGTCGTGGTGGCACGGCTCGGCGGCGGAGTGGTGGCAGCGCGCTGCTGCCGCCGCCGGCGCTGTTGCGTATTCTACGCGTGGCGCGGCAGGCCAAAGCGCGTGAGGCGCGGAAGGCGGCGAGGGTAGAGCGGACTGGAATCGGCCGCGTGGTAGGAAGGCCGGCTGAAAACATCCGACGGGAAATCTTTGCGAAGTCGGCTGAAACGCGGGCTGCGACGTGCGCTGCGACGTGCGCTGCGACGCGGCAGGCGGCACAGAAACGGTGGTAGCGGCGGCGAGCACAGCGGGCAAGGGGCCCGTGGCGGCGGATTGGGTGCGCGCGGCGGAGTCAGCGCGAGCGCTGTGAGCAGCGGAATCAGCGCGTGCGTTGTGGGCGGCGGAGTCAGCGCGAGCGCGGCCAACGGCGGGTTGCACGGGGCTCGACGTTGATGCGAATGTGCGACTGGCGGTGCTTGCGACGAGCAGATCGCGCAGGCGACACTTGGCGACCTGCTTCAGCGAGCCCGTCGCCATGGCGGTAAAGAATCTGTCAAGGGCCGACCCGCGCAGGCTGCATGCACTGGAGGCTGCGCGCAACGGAAGCTCCTACTACGAGCATCACAAGATCGTAACCTGCTGAGTCCCTTCCCTTGCTGTGGGGGCAAGAGTGGAAGTGCCTGCTAGGCTCGCTACCTCGCTACTGCTAGCCCTGCTACCGCTGCTTCAACTATCACTATGCACGCTTACATACAGTTGTAAATCTATGGTGCATAACATGCCAATACATTAGATAACTCTCTGAGTGTAAATTCACTCCAACAGGGTCATTCTCCAATTCAAGCACTTTCACAACATAAAACCTTTGCCTTTATTATTGAACACACTGCTGGAACCCACACCTTCCATTGCAACATTGTCTTTGAGAGTGCATGGAATAATGTTGGATGACTATATACTGTGGCAATTTACCAGGTTGAGGCAGAGGTAGCATTGACGAGTTTGGAGGCAGTGTTGATGAGCCTGGCAAATGAACTGTAGTTGGCAAGGAATGCAAAATGTGCCAGGTATGCACTTTCAACTCCTTATGCGGTACTACACCCTTCATCCCTACTCATCCTCATCATCCTCATCATCTTCATCATCCTCATCATCTTCATCCTCCTCATCTTCCTCATCATCCTCATCATCCTCATCATCCTCATCCTCCTCATCATCCTCATCCTCCTCATCCTCCTCATCCTCCTCCTCCACCTCTTCCTCTTCCTCCTCATCATCAAACTCGTCACCATCGCTATCCCGACCACGATCCCTCTCCCGCTCATACTCCGCACCAACCACCGGCTTCCAATTCCGTCATTCAACCATAAACCACTCCTCCTCATCCAGCGTGTACCCCTCCATCAGCCCGCGATTCACACTGTGCATCTTGTCCCGCACGCTCTTCCTCCCATTCCTAAACGACGCACTGCTCTTCCCTCCTCTCGCCCCCCTCACGTGCGCCACCGGCCCACCCTCCACCCTCGTCCCTTTCCTCTCCCAGTACCACGTGTGCCTCGCAACACAGTACAGCGCCAGGGAGGGATGCCTCGCCCTCAGGTCTGCTAGCAAGGCTCGGGGTGTGTTGCGGCGGGTTGGAAAGAAGATGGCCCGCAGATTTGGAGCATGGATTTTCGGAGGGATGTACAGTCGAGTGGGAGCAGATCTGCGTGAAGGCGTCTCTCGCTCCAGTGGACCATAAACATCGTCATCATCATCATCACCATCGTCAACCCCAAGCTGGTTGCCAAACGGGCCTGCATGAAACCGAGTGAGCCCTTGATTCCTCATCCTGTGCTCCGTCTCCCTCGCCTCCGCCTTCTCCTTCCTCCTCTGCTTTCTCGTCCACTCGATGATCTCATTCCCATCTGCTCTCTCCACATCTTCCACCGCCATCTCCCCTCGCACCGGGTTCATCACATCGTAGTCGCTCGCCACGACAATCCCGAGGCTCCGCAGCCGCGGCCAGGGGAACCTGCAGGCGCCAAGGTCGATGTCGTGCCTTGCTATAAGCAGCTCCACTGCTGGCGCGAGTGTGCTCAGCCAGTCCGCCCATGCAAACGGCTGCGGTGGCGGAAGATACACAAACGAGTCTCCACAGATTATCCATGGCTTTCCGAACGTCAGCTGGGATGCGGTGGGGGCGTGGCGGCAGCAGATTAATCGGACCATTGAGGTAAAGCGCACGGACAGAGGCAACCTTGAAGGAGGCGATATGGATCCTCTCTTCCCCAAACAGCAAGAGCTAGGTCAAGGTGAGAGGGCGGGCAGAGCGGCAGGCGAGAGTGAGGGACTGGGCACAGGCGGAGAAGGAGGCGAGGGAGTCGTGAGAAAGGGCGAGTTTGAGCTTGAGCTCGTGGGTGAGGAAGCGGAAGGAGAGGCGGCGAGCCCTGGTGAACTCGAGCTCCAGCAGCACGGGTCCCTTGCAGTCCTCCCCTCCCTCCTCCTCCAGCTTCCACGGCTCGCAGAACGAGAATTCGTGCAGCTGAGGGGAAATGACAGCCAGGGCTTTAAGAGATATTCCCCTGGGGTCCACATTTTTTAGGGTTAAGCTCCGAAGGGACTGCATCCAGGGAGCGGTGAGGCAGCTTCTACCCAAGCGCCAGGCGCCACGTTCGAGTGCGAGGGAGTGCAGGGAGGAGCAGGTCTTGAGAAAGCCTAGATTCCAGTCACTCTGGCGGTAATCCTCCTCTGTGAATTTCTCTCTAATGCTCAAGCTTAGTTGCATGGATGAGAGGGAGGAGGAGACCGGAGAGGAGGGGAGAGTGAAGGGGCGGCGAATGAGGGGGATGAGGGAGGGGTGGGAGAAGGAGAGGCGGAGGAAAGGAAAGGTGGGAGAGGAGCGGGAGAGCAGCCAGCGCACGCTGGTGGTCCACTGGGGCTGGGCGGCTGTGAGGTGCAGACTCATGGGCGTGCCTTGTTCCTGGTGGGTGAGCGGAGGGGAGGGAGGGAGGGAGGGAGGAGGGAGGGAGGGAGCGAGGGAGAGAGGGAGGAGGGAGGGAAAAAAGCTTGGAGTGAGCACTAGAGCTTATCAAGATGGTTATGAAGATGGTTATCAAGAGGGATTCCAGCATGCGCAGAAAAATGAGAGAGAGGGAGAGAGCTCGAAGGAGCATCTGAGAGTGCGAAGCTGCCATGCATGGGAGTGAAGGACAGAGAGTTATGCATTTAACCTACGATTCAGAATGCAATGAAGTGTGAAGGAGCGAGACATGACAACTGCCCCTGGAAAAGAACCAACATGCAAAATGCGAGTGTGTGGAGGGGCAGCAGTCGCGAGAGCAGGGCGTGGAGGGACAGAGAACGAGTGGAGCACTCTACGCACGGAGAAGGAGGCGACGAGGTGGAGCAGCCTCTTGCTGGCGAGCGCGCAGCACAGCAGAGGCCACGAGGAGCCATATGTGCGAGCGTTGCGCGCATGCAGCCAGCACGGCGACACCCCGGCCTTCACGAACACGGGCACCGGTTCCACTCTAGCCGCACCATTCTCATCGCTTCGTGAGACATTGCGGCCAGTAGAATTACCAGCACCGCCGCCACCGCCGGTGCCTCTGGAGTTGGGTTCTGCTCGCTGCGCCGTGCTGCGCGCGCGGCAGTAGTAGCGGCCGCCCGCGGAGTGCGGAGGGGTGGCGGTGCAGGGGCGCTCCAGCAGCAGGTGGAAAATGCGGTGCCAGAGCGCCGCTGGGAGCGCGTCGATCAGGTCGTTGCCCTGGTCTGAGAATGAGCGAGAGGGAGATAGGGAAAGAAAGAGGGAGAGAAATAGGGGGAGAAAGAGGGAGAGGAAGAGGGATAGGAGAAAGAAAGAGGGAGAGAATTGGGGGGAAGAGGGAGAGGGAGACGAGCGGGCGAGGGAAGAGAAAGAAAGGAGCGAAGGGACGGGGAGAGAACATGATTTGAGTTGCGATGCTGGAAACGAGCGAATTTAGCTTCCACGACTACTAGGATTGAAGGTGGGAGAAAGAGAACTTCTATTTCTTGTGAGATGATGAATGAAGGTGAGTAGGAGAGACTAACAAAGATTGGAAGGGATGGACGGAAATTGCCAGTTGACTAATTGTGCGAAGCGAGAGAGAGAGAAATTATTCTCTGAGCAGAAGTGAAGTTCGGGTGCCTTGAGGCACGAAAACAAGAATTGAGGGACAGAGTCGCGGTAAGACCAAGCTCCGCTATGAATGTAGGTCCTTGCCTTCGGGGTCGGCGTTGTCCTGTCGCCTATCGTTCTCTCGCCTCCTCTTATCACGTCGCTCGCTCGTCCCTCTCAGTTCGCAATTCGGATCTTCAGCACCTCCCAGCGACGATGCCATGACGATCCTGTTTAACTGGCTATGGAATCGCGCTCTCGCCTCTCGCCAGTTTCATCACCACGGTGAAATCTGCGCGTTGCTGTCAAAGTTTGCTCGATCGCGTGGTCATTTCTGCCATGTACGGGAATGGGATGGGCTCAAACACGAGTGTGTGCGTGGCTGATTTGTTTGGCTCAACAAATCTGTGTGAATTTGAGATGAATTGCAGCATGAGTTCAAACGGTTATTTGTGGCGGGGCGGGAGGACACGCTTCTGGTCAGAGTGAACGCGACGCGCTGAAAAGTAATATTTGTTAATAATTATTTTAGTCCCTTTGGTTTCACCGATCTGTGGCGCAATTGTAGCGCGTCTGACTCCAGATCAGAAGATTGCGTGTTCGATTCACGTCAGGTTCAAAGCCTGCTTTTTGTGCACATCAGTACTGAGAAATGGCCATCTCTCTCCCCTCAGCCCCCTTTCTTCCCTCAGCAAGCAGAGCAGGAAGTATGTGTGCTGACAGACTGATGCTGACTGCACCTTGTTTTGATAGCCCTGGTGTTGCACCTCCTTAGCTGGCACGTTGGCTGCCCTCACACCAAGTTGGGCTTCGGTGCATTGTGGGGAAAAGCAGAGCATTGCACCACCTGCTTACTGCCTTTCGAGTGTCTGCCGTGCCGACCCTCCTCAACACTGGTGAAGCCGGGAAGTTCTGCAGCATTTTCTGAAAGCTTGTCAAGCAGATGTTTGTAAGAGAGGGCTACAGTTCTTGAAAACTCTCAAACGCCCGAAAAAAAAGGACCTTTTCATGACATGCAGTGCGTGTATTGGCTGCTAAACCACCCTCGGCGGGCTCCAATAACCAGGTATTGTCTGAATCAGAGCACACACCCATCCAGCACCATCTTCACTCAGGTGCACAAGGTCGCACACAGGCGCAATAATGATCTGGTGACATTTCCTTTCCTTTGAATAGCTCACTTACATCCATGACTATTTGTGTTTCGACTGGAATCTGCAAAGTGCATTGAAGTACACTTCACACTCTCCATAACTGCATCATGTCATTACAGTCTGGACCCGAAGTTTACAAAAAATGTCTAAAGAAAAGAACATGCTCAGAGTTCACCATTTACTTGGGTGCGTGCGTGGGTGCTCCTCTAACAGGCGCTTATGAAGCAAGATTGCGCCTTGATGCAGTTTACTTTATCATCTTAAGAATGTCTCCCAGGTCAAGGACCGGCATAGGGCTGTTGAGAAACCACAAGGGGAGGGGCAAGCCAAGCAGTCAGTGAGGCGAGCTCAAACAACACGTGGGAAAAAGTGACACGGTATAGAATGGCAAATGCGACTACATCATAACAAGTAGATACACTGAGCAAACAAGGTAGTGGGGAACGGGAATGCAACAACAAAAGACAGGTATGCAATGAAAATGTGACAAAACATTGCACATGGTTACATGGCTAAATAGCACATGGCTACATCCTGTGATGATATTAGCAAGTTACCTGGGTGCAATAGGAGGTTTAGTTACCTCGACGGACGAGTAAGTTTCCTGGGCCCACAAACAAGTTCCTGGGCGCACAAGGAAGTTACCTGGACGCATGGGGAAGTTACCTGGGCACATGAGAAACCTACCTGGATGCACGAGAAGTTTCCTGGGCACACAAGAAAGTTACCTGGATGCACGAGTAAGTTACCTGGATGCACGAGCAAGTTACCTGGGCACACAAGGAAGTTACCTGGGCGCACAAGGACGTTACCTGGCCGCACAAGGAAGTTATGTGGACACACGAGCAAGTTACCTGGGCGCACGAGGAAGTTACCTGGATGCACACGGAAGTTGCTGGACACACAAAGGACTCACCTGGATGCACGGGGAAGTTACCTGGGCGGCCCAGCCGTGGGGGAAGGTGGAGGCAAGGGGGCAGCAGAGGCAAGAGGGGCAGTGGAGGCAATAGGGGAAGTGGCTCGGGGGTAACGAAAGGTGCCGCTTGGTGGTGCGCTCATTCGAAGAGGCACTCTTGGACCCGTCGGGTTCGCTGTATCTATTGGCCCTTCTGCCCATCCTGCCCCTGCTGCCTCTGCTGCACGTGACGCACCCGCCTTTACTGCTGCTGCTCCTCCTTTTGCCTTGCCAGCAGCAGCGGCAGCTGCTGCTGCCTTCCCCTTGCCTGCCGTCTTTCCCCTTCCACCTGCTGCCTTCCCTCCTTCTCCTGCCCTCCCTTCTGCCGATGCGTTTCCTCCCACTCCATCCACAGCAGCAGCTGTTGGCACCTGTGATGACACTGATGCTGTATCTGTGTCTGGAGCAGCAACCGCGTTACCACCTGCTGCTGCTGCTGCTGCTGCCCCTGCTTCTGCCTTTCTTGCCTCTGCTGCTGCCTTTCCTCGTCCCACTGCCTTCCCTCTCCCTGATGCCTTTCCTCCTGCTGCTGCAGCAGAAGGTGCACCACTAACAGGTGCAACAGGAGGAAGGGAAGCAGCAGTGGGGGCAGCAGCAGAAGCCGCAGGATCAGCGGCAGCAACTTTAGGTTTGGCAGCAGGAGGCCTACCGCGCCTCTTGGCTGCTGGGGGAGCCCCATCAGCAGAAGCAAAATGAAGCTCATCTGCGCTAGAAGCAGCTCCATTAGCAGCAGCCGCAGCGGCCGCAGCAGCAGCAGCAGCAGCAGTTGCAGCAGACCCAGGGGCAGCAGCAGCACGAGGCCTGCCGCGCTTCTTTGCTGCTGGGGGAGCTCCATCGGCAGAAGCAGAATGAAGCTCATCTGCACTTGAAGCAGCTCCAGTAGCAGCAGCTGCAGCGGCCGCCGCAGCAGCAGCAGCAGCAGTTGCATGCGCAGCAGCCACAGCAGGCACATCGGCAGAAGGATTCACAGCACCCCTACCCCTCCCCCTACCCCTACCCCTACCCCTCCCCCTACCCGTCCCCCTCCCCCCTCCTCTTCCAGCTTCCAGAGGAGCCGCCTCCCCGGAGCTCGCAGACTTGGCTGCTGCAACAGCCGAAGCAGCAGGGGAAGCAGCAGCAGCAGCAGCAGCAGGGGCAGGGGCAGCAGGCGCAGCAGAAGTAGCAGTAGCGGCTGCACCTTGTGTTCCTGCCTCAGCGGCAGGGGCAGCAGGATTGCTATCAGCCTTCTTGCCTCCACCCCCACGCTTCCCTCCTGTCTTGCTCCCCCCCGTGCCACCCACATCCGTCAATGCTGCTGCTCCTGCACCTGCTGGTGCCGCCGCTGCTACATCTGCAGCAGCTGCTTCCAAAGGCCCCTTGTGACCTCCCTTTTTTGTGCTTGCCTCCTTCGCTCCACTCGCAACCTCCGCTTTCTCTGCAGCCCCCTTTCCCTTGGCAACCCCCAACACTGTCCCCTTGCCTTTGTGCACTCCCTTGCTTGCGTTGCCCTGCTCCTTGATCTTGTCATCCCTTTCCCTCACCTCTTCCTCTTCCTCCTCCTCCCCACTCTCATCCTCTTCCTCCTCAATCTCCTCCTCTTCCTTCTCGCTCTCCACCTCTTCCTCCTCACTCTCCTCCTCTTCCTCCTCGCTCTCCTCCTCTTCCTCCTCACTCTCCTCCTCGTTCTCCTCCTCCACTTCTCCCTCACTCTCCGTCTCGCTTCCCTCACTCGCCTCCACACTCTCCTCACTCAGCTGCTCATCCTCCTTCCCACCTGTCCTCACAACGCCCACTCCCTCTGCATCAACAGCCTTTCCTCCTGATGCTGCTGCACCAGATTTGCTAGCTCCTTTGGCTGCCCCTTTGCTAGCTCCTTTGCTGGGTCCTTCTGCGTCAGCATCTTTTCCTCCTGAACCTGGTACACTAGATTTGCTTCCTCCGTCTTGCTTGCCCCCCCCTGCCTTCGATGCTAGTTTCTTGTCATCTGCTGCTTTACCCGCACCTGCTTTGTTGTCTGCTTTTTCCCCACTCGTCTTGCTTGCTGCTCCTTTCGTTGCCACTGCCTTGCTCGCAGCAGCAGCAGCAGCAGCAGCAACAGCAGAGGATCTCGTCTGAGCCTTGTCTGTTCGCTCCTTGTTTCCCTCTGCACCGCTCTCCAACACCACCACCTCATCATCTGACTCCTCTTCGTCTTCGTCTTCCTCTTCCTCCTCCTCGTCCTCCTTTTCTTCCTTCTTTTTATCTGTCTTTCCTCTACCCTTCCCTACCGCTTCTTTCACCTTTCCTTCCTTTCCTGTCTCCTCTTGTACCTCCTCATCTGTCTCTTCCTCTGATTCTTCCTCTGTCTCAGAATCATCACCGTCAGTTTCCATCTTCCCATCCTCCTTCCCCTCTGCCTCTGGAACTTTCACTTTCCCCTCCTCATCTTCCTCCTCTTCTTCCTCTTCTTCCTCCTCTTCCCCTCCCTTCTCCTCGTCCTCCTCTTCTTCCTCCTCTTCCCCTCCCTTCTCCTCGTCCTCTTCTTCCTCCTCTTTGTCTGTTTTTCCCCTATCTTTTCCTCCCACTTCCTTCATTTTCACCTTTCCTTCCTTTCCTGCCTCCTCCTCTACCTCATCCTCTGTCTCTTCGTCTGATTCCTCTTCTGTCTCCGCATCATCACCACCATCTTCTGTCTTCCCCTCCTCCTTCGTCTTTGCCTCCGACTTTTTCACTTTCCCCTCCTCTTCATCCTCCTCCTCTTCCTCCTCCTCTTTGTCTGTCTTCCCCTTATCCTTCCCTTTCACTTCCTTTTCTTTCACCTTTCCTTCCTTTCCTGCCTCCTCCTCTGCCTCCTCCTCTGTCTCTTCGTCTGATTCCTCTTCTGTCTCTGAATCATCACCACCACCTTCCTTCTTCCCCTCCTCCTTCGCCTCTGCCTCTGAAACTTTCACTTTCCCCTCCTCATCCTCCTCCTCTTCCTCCTCTTCCTCCTCACCCTCCTCACCCTCCTCATCCCCCTCATCCTCTGATTCCTGTTTCTCAATCTCCATGTTCTTCCCTTCTCCTTCCCCTTCCTCCTTTCCTTCCTCCTCACCATCACTCGCACTCTCCTCCTCACTCTCCTCATTTTCCTCCTCACTCTCATCCCTCACCAAACTCACCACTTCCTCATTCGCACCCCCTCCACCACCACCCTTCACCACAGCACCCCGGGCAGTATCGCCAGCACCATGTGGTGCACGGCCCTCCTTCACCCCATTCACTGCTCCCTCTTCCTCCTCCTCACGCCCTCCCTCAGCTGTTTTCCCCTTCCCACTTACTTTCCCGCTCTTCCCTTCCATACCCTTCATCTCGTCCTTCCTCTTTAGCTCATCTTTCCCTTTCACTTCATCTTTCCCTTTCACCTCATCTTTCCCTTTCACCTCATCTTTCCCTTTCACCTCATCTTTCCCTTTCACCTCATCTTTCCCTTTCACCTCATCTTTCCCTTTCACCTCATCTTTCCCTTTCGCCTCATCTTTCCCTTTTCCCTTGGTAGCTTCCTTCTCCTTTACCCCTTCCCTCTCCTTCAACTCATCCCCTTCACCACTCTCTTTCCTCCTCACAGTCGCATCTCTCTCATTTCCCTTCCCCTTCTCACCCCCTCTTCCCTCCAACGCAACTCCGTCCACCACCCCCCCATCCCCCTCTATCCCCTCCACCACCCCATCCTTCTCACTCCCCTCCCTCACTCTTTGTCTTTTCCCTGCCCGTACCACACCCACACTCTCCCCACCCATCTTCTCACCATCAGACGCACCATCTGCTCTCTTCCCATCTACCTTCTCCGCACCTCCCTCCTCTCCAGTGCCATCACCCACCCTCTGCTCTTCCATGCCCTCCCTCCTCCGCTTCCTCTCACCCCCCCCTTCAGCGGTCACCTCTCCACCCACCTGCACGTTTCCTTCCCCTCCCCCTGACTCCCCTCCCCCATGCTTCCTCCCATGTCCCCCTCCCGCCTCTGGTCTCTCATCGACCGCTCCTTTCTCCTTGCCCTCGCAGCTCCCAAGCACCCACCCATTCTCACCACCCACCTCCGCGCCTCTCACTACTCCTCCCCCTTCCCTTTCTCCCTCTCCCCGCCCTCCTTCCCCTCGCCCTCCTCCCCCCTCTCCACTGATTCCTCCCTCTCCCGCCGGCCCATCTGTCAACAAGGGCACGTTGTCCCCTCCCCTCCGCTCCATCTCCTCCCCCTCCAGCCGCATTCTCTTCCCCCCTCCCCCCACCACCACCCCCCTTACTCTCCTCCCCTCCCCTGATTCGCTGACCGCCTTCACCCCCCTCCCTGCCACGTCAGAAGCAGCGAGGGCGGACAGCAGCCCACGCTGGAACGCCACGTGGTCGTTGGAGAGACTGCCACGTGGCAGTTGGTGGTGAGGAGACGGTGAATGGTGGTCGAGAGGGCTAAAGGGAGATTCGTTGTGACTCGGAAGAGAGGAGCCGAAGGCAAGGTGGTGTGTCAGATAGTCTGTTGGGTAGGCAAGAAAGAGTATGAAAGGGAGAGGGCGAAAGGAGGTGGAGGAGGCGCAGAGAGTGAGAGGGGGAACGAGAGAAAATGACGAAATGGAGGTGCGAGGCTTGAAGAACAAAGGCATTCCGTTCATTCGCACGTGTGCGACGGAATTGGGAACAATTGAATCGCATCTTCAAAAAGAGGGTCATGCAACAAAGAGGGTGTTGTTTACCATGTGAAGCTTGGTACTCAGACAAACTCATCACCCCAGCCTGGAAAGGTACTTAGAACGAAGAAACGACACAGGAAAACTAACAGTCAAAGAAACCAACAAGTGAAACCATGCACAGATGGCTGCGGCACCTCCAACCTATCAGAACCCAAGGGAGCTCACCGCTGACATCAGCAGCAACGTCAGCATCCCCAGTAAAAGCGAGGATGACGTCATCAGGCTTCAACACGTCAGCCAGTTTGAGTTGTGGGGCGACGTCAAACAGAGTGGCCTGGCGCAGCACCTGATGGGTGAGCATGGAAGCAATGGGGGAAAAGAGTTGGACACGTGGGGGAGAAGAGGGAATTAAGAGGGATAAAGAGGGATAAATGGGGGATAAGAAGTATAAGAGGGGACTGAGGTGGAGAGAAAGCAAGGAGCGAGAGAAAGTGTAAATCGTGGCTGTCGAATGGGTGCCGCGAGGAGACTGTATGATTCAATTTGTATTATGGTGCATCCCGTAAGGTAAATATTTCTGTGAGGTAGGCTGGAGCCAAGGTCCGGGCCAGGGTTCGAGTGCAGGAAGGTGCAAAACCTTAAACCCTGAACCCTCGGTCCAGGGTTCGAGTGCAGAATGTTTTGGGATTGCGAGGCCGATGATTTGAGTGCTGCACACTCGCTGGTGGACTTCTAAGGAGGGATTGAAAGAATTTGCATGCGCCAGGGAGGGGTGGCACGTGCCCTTGGGAGGGGTGGCACGTGCCCTTGGGAGGGGTGGCAGTGTGGCACCTCAAGGAGGGGAAGCAAAGCACACACCTTGACGGACTCGAAACGAATGCTCCCCATGTGCGCGTGTATGTGCTCGTGCTGCTGCCCCACCATGCCTGCCATCCAACCAGGTGGGGTGGAAGTGCAGGAGACATGAGGGATTGAAGACAGGGGAGGGGAAAGTGGTGGTGGTGGTGGTGGTGGTGGTGGTGGTGGTGGTGGTGGTGGTGGTGGTGGTGGTGGTGGTGGTGGTGGTGGTGGTGGTGGTGGTGGTGGTGGTGGTGGTGGTGGTGGTGGTGGTGGTGGTGGTGGTGGTGGTGGTGGTGGTGGTGGTGGTGGTGGTGGTGGTGGTGGTGGAGGAGGAGGAGGAGGAGGAGGAGGAGGAGGAGGAGGAGGAGGAGGAGGAGGAGGAGGAGGAGGAGGAGGAGGAGGAGGAGAAGAAGATAATATGGGGAGGGTGGGGAAGAAGGAAAAAGGAGCAAAGAAGCGAAAGTGGAAGAAAGGACATAATTCAAGGGTTTGGTTTGGAGGCGTGGAAGGGGAGAGAATGCGTGCAGTGAGGAAAGGGGGAAGAAGGTGACGTGAATCCAGTGTTGGTTGGAAGCACGTGGGCCCGCCAGGGCAGGCGATCAACGCTTTTGCACCGCATCAACACGTGGCGCGGGTGTCAGTAAGCTTGCACGTGATGTAGGGTTCAAGCCGCGCGAGTTTATGCGCAGGGTTTAATTCTAGCGAGCGGTTACACTACTGTGTTTCATCGTTTCCTTTCCAAGAGGCAGAGGGAGACAGCAAGTGGGAGGCAGGGAAGCCGCAGGGAGTGGGATGGGGAGTGCAGCGAGCGAGTGGGTAGATGTGCTGTCGCTGTCTCTCAGTCGATGTGCGCTTCACTGAGCACTCGCCATCTTCCCCTTCCCTCGTCTCTCAGTCGAACACTCCATAGGGGACGGGGGAAGATACCAGTGAAGGGGGGGGCAAGACACCAGTGAAGGGGGGGAAGACACCAGTGAAGGGGGGGAAGACACCAGTGAAGGGGGGGGAAGGCAGCAGTGAAGGGGGGGGAAGGCAGCAGTGAAGGGGGGGGGAAGGCAGCAGTGAAGGGGGGGGAAGGCAGCAGTGAAGGGGGGGGAAGGCAGCAGTGGGGGACGGGGGAGACGAGCTGGACGTGCGGGACGGGGGGACGGGGAGCGCGAAGGGGAACGCACGGAGGAGGTCGCTGATGGAGGCGCTGGGAGCGACGGGCACGAGCAGGCGCGTGCCGAGCACGGTGTGCACGTGCATGCACCAGGGGGAGATGACGCCTCCCCCAGATGGCACCTCCGACGGCGATACCACCTCTCCCGCCGCTACCCACCCCCCCGCCATCCGCCCCGCCGCTTCCATGCCCATCGCTACCCCCCCCGTCCCCACGCCTCCTTCTCCGATCTCTACCGCTCCTCTTCCTGCGCCGCCCCTCCCTGCCCCGCGCGCCGCTGCCCCTCCCCGCGCGCCCGCTGCTCGCCCTCGCGCCATCGCGGCAGATGCTCGTGCGCCGTAACGTGCAGCGGCTTCCCTTTCCAACGATCGCTGTGCAAAGCCTGTGCGATCCTGTGCGATATCTGTGCGATGCCTTTGCGATGCCTGCGAGTCAACTCAAGAGCGCCGCTCGTGCGCCCAAGCCAATGGATCTCTATGCAAAAGACTTCTCTCCGACGAATACTCCTCTTCTCCCATTCAGTCTGGAAACCTCTCGGCGGAAAACGAGGGTTGTTGACCAACCACAGCCTTCCCCACTGCTTTATAAGCTTTACGGAAACCTCGGCTGATGCACAAAGCCCTGAACCCTGAGCCCTTGACCTATTTGTTTGGTGTGATGTCAAGCTTAGTGGAGCAACGTGCTCTGTATTTGTAGAGTCATGCTTGTAGCGAAGCACTAGAACTCTAAGGGCCCATTCCAGTTTATTTTGTCAGTGGGACTCTTTGCAGAGAAGCACACACAAAACACCTCGTGTCGAATGTTTCCCGTGAGACTAATCCAATTCGATCCGACCTTGAATTACATCTGGTGTCTAAAGACGACCTACATGATTCTGGGCCAGCCTTAGCACGGCCTGCGAATTTCAGAATCCCGCTTGGTTTGAATTTTGAAACCTGACACGTGCGGGGGCAGCACTGCCTGCTCAGCAGCAGCATTTCCCGAAAACATCACGTTGTCGCGCGAATCTCGGGAGTCGGGACTGCCATTCCCACCACTACTAGTTGGTTTGACGAACTTGACACGATTACAGTGGTAGTGTTTCAAAGGCTACCAGCTACTAATATCACATTGGTGCTCTCATTCGCCATAAGCTCTTTACTGACGAAGAAATCCAGCGTCATAAATGGAATATTCAGGTTCGTGTTCACAAAGTATCTGCCATTCAACACTAACGGATATTAATCTCGCCTGGTGCGTTTGAGTTTCACATATGCCGGCGTCATGGTCCAGCTACAGATTAGTAATGCTTTTCTTGATAATGCTAAGGAAACGTTTACGAAGGTGAAAAAGAACGGGAGAGCATGAAGAACTGTAGCAAGAACACCGCGTTTCCATCCTATTTCGTCCCATTACCTGTCGCTTATCTTCCCAGTGTCGCTTTGCTCCTCGTCAATGCAGTCCGATTCTTCTTTTATTTTCGTCGTTCTCTCATTCTCGCGTATTAATGTGACACCCTTTCTCACGTTTGTCATCCCGTTGCTCCGTGCTCTCCCTGCTGCAAGCGTGATTCCCATTCTCCCTTTCAATCTAGCGTCATGCCTGTCGCTTTCAGTACCTGTCTGTCCTTCCACTGCATTTCACTCTTGAAGGCTACACAAGCCGTTCTTTCTTTTTTCTCTGATTCAGCTCCTGATCCTCCCCCATTTTCACTTCCCCATCCTTTCAACTCCCGCCATGATGTAGTCTTTTGAGTCGACTCAAAAGTCGCCTCAACACAACACGTTCTTGCTATTTTCTGATTCAGTTCTTTATCTTCTCCGACTTTCACACCCCATCGTTTTCACCCTTCAGCCACCACCCGCCGTGATGTGGTCGCCATGCTGCCAGCTCGCCTCTGGCACAGAATCTTCCTCGGCCTCCTGCAGCCACCCCCCAAAGTGGACAAACCCGAAGTCGCCTCGCGGTTTAGAAACCCAAGACGTGACCTTTCGAAGAAGGAATCGGACGACCAGTCGGAGTTCAAGAAAATGTTCACTCACCGTGATTCCTCCGCCAGTGACCAGCATGAGTTTATGTTAAAGGCTATGGCTCCTCGTGGCCTCTGCTCTGCTGCGCTCTCGCCAGCAAGAGGCTTCTCCACCATGTCCTCTCCTTCACGGTGAGTCCTCTGCCTCTAACCTCGCATTTCTTCCATCAACTCGTTTCTTTCCTCAAGCTGTTCCGGATCCGTCACTATTTTTCGCAGCAATCCATGATTCTGAAAATCTCTGAAAATTATGTACCCTCGCCATGTATGTATGCATGATTCTGCCCAACATGCATGTACACCTTGAAGATGCAACAGACATCACGAAAGGATACTGAAACTCGCAAATCACATTCACAGAGCCAAATATTTCCTGTCTTTATTGCGTGCAGGAACAACAACCCATCTCCCTGGTGTACGAGGACGAGCGTTGGCAGAAGACCATGCGTTACTTCCTCACCCGTCACAGCCAGAGCATCACCTCCCTCGATCTCATCTTCACAGATGTGCAGCAGCTCCGCTCCCTCCGCCCCTTGATCGCTCACTGCAGCCCCTCCCTCTCCTCCTTCAGCATCAAGCTTCTTGGGTTTGTAGACAGCAACGACGAGCAGGAGTACAAGGACTGGACCCTGAGCTTCCTGAAAAACTGCTCACGCCTGCAGCACCTGAAGCTGGGCCGGGGCATGTGGAATCTCGACAAGAGCTGTGCGAATGCTGCGTGGCTGAAATCAATTCGCTGCCTGACCCTCAAGCAGGTGGACACCAACCACGTCAACTTCAAGTATCTGGATTCCATCACGCCGCAGCTGCACGAGTTCACGCTCTACCAGCACTGGCACCTCTCCCGCGGCCCCATGTTTGGCACCCACGAGATGAAATTCTCCTTCCCCAACGCCCGCCTCCTCCGCTTCCGCTTTGCCAGCAACGAGCTCAAGCTCACACTCACCGTCTCCAAGGCTCTCAAGACTCTGTCGGTGATGGCCAAGTGGCTGGTCCTTTCCTGCAAGAGCACCGCCCCTCTCGCACTCGACCACCTCTCGTTGTACGGCCAGGAACGTCTTGTCATCTCTTCCCTCCGCATCGCATCCGCGCGGGCTGTGTACCTCAACGGCCCTGCAACTGACAAGGGCAGCAACCGCCCCAGGATGTCCTACCAGCTGCCGCCTTCCTTCCAGCACGCTCCCCGCGGCGTTTCCAGTTTTTCTTGGACCAAATGGCTGCGCTCTATAGCGGGAAGCGTGGAGGTGCTTGTAGTGAGGCACGGGATTCCGAACGAGGAGGTGGGGGTGGTGTGGAGGAAGCTTCGCAGCCTCGGGATTGTGATGCACACGAAGGGGGAGCATAACAAGGAGTGGGAGGCGACAGTGGAGAATCACAGGGCGTTCACGGATGATGGGGAGTATGATGATGATCTAGATGATGATGGCTTTGGTGGTGATTCTGATGAGGACGACGAGGAAGAGGACGATTCTTATGAGGATGAGGATGAGGAGGATGAGGAGGATGAGGAGGATGAGGATGAGTATGGATATGGGGGGAGGGGTTATGGTGGGAGGGGTTATGGTGGAAGAGGGGGGAGAGGCCGCAAGTCTGCGCATAAGAAGAAGAAAGTGAAGGTCTGTGCCAAGCCGCCTTCCATCGGCGCTCCAAATCTGCGGTTCCTCTTCTTCCCATCAAGCAAGGCGTGTGACGCACCCACACTGGCTGCACTGCGGCAGGACTACCCCGCCCTGGCGCTCTACTGTGTGGTGGACCGCTCCTTCTATTGGGAGAGGAAGGGAGTGCGCATCAACAATGGGCCACTAGAGCATCGGAGGCGGGCCAAGAGTGGGGTGCTGCGGGAGGGTTTGACGAGGAGAAGAAGCCGAAGAACGTGAGGGAGAAGATGCACAGTGTGAATCGGAAGCTGCTGGAGGGGTACAGTGTTGAGGAAGATGAGGCACATATGTTCAAGTACAAAGGAAGGTTCTAGGGATGCACAAGGTGATCAAGATAAGGGAGACATCTGCTGGCTGGTTTTTGTGCTGTTTATGACCGGTACGATACATGTTAAGTACAAAGGATGTTTTTTTTTGTGTTTTTTTTTAAATTATTATTAATTTCATAAATGCAGCATAGGGTGAGCTAGATGAGTTGCATGCTGGAACAAATATGGCTGGATCTAGTGTTTGTTTGTTGTGGATACTGACTTTGAAAGTTTAGACTGTAATTTTAATTCTAGGTGTGACGACTTCGCAAGTTCCTTTGTGATGCTTCGAGCTGGGTGCATTTGAGATGGGTGCATTTGAGATGGGTGCATTTGAGATGGGTGCATTTGAGCTGGTAGGTAACACGTTTGAAATGGACGTTCAACGGAAAATAAATGGGCCTCGCGAAATTGAACGTATGTAACGCAAAATGTTTTCTTGGGGCGTCCAACGCCAACCACTGCGTGCGCACAACAGAAACTTGCGTCGAGAAAATGCAACACCCATGCACTCCTAAAAGACATCCATTGAGATGGAACAAAAACATAGGATTGCCAAAACGAAGAACAATAAACGACAGACATATAGACAATGCGACTGGTGCCGCCGTCGCTGGTGCTGTTGCTCCTGCTGGTCCAACCAACTGCCGTAGCTCCTGCCTCTCTTGCTCCTCGCGCTCAACCCGACGAAGAGCCTGGAGACGGGTGTCGTAGCGGTGGGGAGGCGCAGTGGGCGCCACAGTAGTCGTGCCTCCAGCACTAGTCTCCTCAGTTTTAGCACATCTAGCGCCTCCTGCACCATCACCCCCAGAAATAGCGCCTCCAGCTGTTGAAAGACTAGGCAAGAATCACAAACAGGAAAGAGACGTTTTCACTAGCAGCAGTTGAAATACATATAGGAAACCCTAATTGGGTTGTGCTCGCTATAGAGTACCCCACTGCAGGCTAGACAAACATCAACAACAAGCAGCACAACAAGCAGGCATAGCAATAGTTCACAAGGATAAGCAAAGCTAGAGGCTATCACAGAGGGCAAGTGAGGAGGAGGAGAAACTGTGGGGGGCGAGAAGATGGGAGGCGACGGCTGAAGCTGCAGACACACGGGCAACATGAGTGCGCAGCACTGACGCTACCAGGCGCAGAGCCCCGGACTACACGGCGACAGGCGCAGCTGGCTCTCTGTGCTCCCACGAGTGCTCACACTGTGGCTACCGGGCGCAGAGCCCCGGAGTACACGGCCACAGGGGGTCGTGGCTCTCTGGACTACCAGGAATGCTCACACTGTGGCTACCGGGCGCAGAGCCCCAGACTACACGGCCACAGGGGGTCGTGGCTCTCTGGACTTCAGGCGCTGCGGACGACAAGTCGGCTATCTCCGGTCAACCTCCCCCAACTGTCCCACACCCCTTTCACACACCCCTTGTTGAACCTCTAGCACCGCTCACACGCCACCCCCCTCGTACCACTCCGACGGCTCCAACACATCCACCCCCCTCAGCGGCAGCTGCAGCAGTGGGAGACGGAGGAGGAGGAGGAGGAGCAGGGGACGGCTCACACACCCGGCACCCCCATACTCTCCACCCCCAAACCCTAACACAGGAGCGTGGGCAGCAGCGGGGGTGGGGCACGGTCAGAAGCTCGGGGGATGGCGTGCGGCACTGGGGCAGACTGTACGGGCCGCGCACGGGCCTGGCGCAGGCGGAACGAACCGCGCGCGGGCTGCGCGGGCCGCGCGCGGGCCTGGTGCAGCCCGTACGAGCCGCGCACGGGCCTGGCGCAGGCTGTACGGGCCGCGCGCGGGCCTGGCGCAGCCCGTACGGGTCGCGCGTGGGCCTGGCGCAGCCCGTACGGGCCGCGCGCGGGCCTGGCGCAGGTCGCGCGGGCCGCGTCGGGCGACGGGGGGCGACGCGCGGGTTACCGGGGCAGGAAACCGCCGCGCGCCCCGAGCGCGCGGCGGGAAGAAAAAACGCTGCGCGCTCCGAGCGCACGGCAGGAAGAAAACGGCGCGCGCGCGGGGCGCGCTACAGGCAGTAGAGCAGCGGAAGCATCGGGTGGGGGATCGAACCAGGAGGGTCGACCTGCTCTGCTAGCATGTTGAAAGACTAGGCAAGAATCACAAACAGGAAAGAGAGGTTTTCACTAGCAGCAGTTGAGATACATATAGGAAACCCTAATTGGGTTGTACTTGCTATAGAGTACCCCCACTGCAGGCTAGACAAACATCACATTCTGACAACAGCACCCCCAGGACTAGCACCTCCAGTGCCAGCACCTCCAGCTCCAGCACCCCCAGAAATAGCACCTCCAGTGCCAGCACCTCCAGCTCCAGCACCCCTAGAAATAGCACCTCCAGTGCCAGCACCTCCAGCTCCAGCACCCCCAGATTTAGCACCTCCAGTGCCAGCACTTCCAGCTCCAGCACCTCTAGAACTAGCACCTCTAGTGCCAGCACTGTTACGATACTAACTTAACTTGTAACCAGGTTTAACTAGGGGCCTAGGCTTAGGAGCCTAGGCCAAGCGGGTGTTGAGGAGTTTGTACCAAGGATAAAATGTCGAGAATGTGTGTTGTTCACTATAGCACACAAGGTACATATAGCAAACTAGCAAAGGTGCACCACCAACAGAAAGGAAACATAACTACACTAAATCTAAAGCTACAGACAGTTATAAACGCATATAAATATATATCGTGACAAGCACCTCCAGGTCCAGCACCACTCGAACGAGCACCCTTAGACCAGGTACCTCCAATGGCAGCACCTCCAGCTCCAACACCACCTGAGTCCACAGTAACCTGTCGCGGAAGTGCCGAAGGCTGCTGAGGGGACTTTGAGGAGGACTGTGGGGAGGGAGATGTTGTCAACGGGAGTGTTGTTTGGCTGTTGTTTGGCCCCGTCCTCGCTTGGGCGGAGCCGGCTTCGTGGTCGGATGTGTGGGGGTTGCAGCCGATCTGCAGCAGTGGATACGGGGGCCACTGCAAGGGCGCCGAGCTGGAGGGCGCTTGGCTGGAGGGCGCCGGGCAGGAGGACGCCGTTCTGGACGTCTGGATGGCGTCCTGGAAGGCCGGACGCTGACCTAGGAGTCTGCACGGCGTCATAGGAGCCTGGGACGCCGTCCTGGGCGTCTGCACGGCGTCTTGGGGTCCCGGACGCCGACCTGGGCGTCCTTGGGGCCCGGACGCCGAGCTGGGCGTCTGGTCGGCGTCCAGGGAGGCTGGACGCCGCCCTGGAGGTCTGCACAGCGTCCTGGTCGTCTGGACGCCGACCTGGGGGTTTGGTCGGTGTCCTGGGCCCTGGACGCCGGACTGGGGACGCCGGGCATGGGTGGCCGGCTACGGACTGCGCTGGTTGACCAGGCGTGGTTGCCCGGTCGACCGGGATACCCGGGCGACGTGCGCGAGTGTCGCCGGGGTGACTTCTGCGAGGCCGACCTCGGGGGTGGTATCCCGAGGTCGACGTGGCTGGTGGGCGCAGTCGCTGGCGTGGAGTCAGCCAGGCGTCTGCGCTGTGCTCGTGACAAGGTGTGGAGCACCAACCAGCTGCGCGCACCTGCGAAGCAGGTGCACCGTTGTCCTGCGGGTGCAACGCTGTGCAGCCGACTTGCTGCAGCGTTGGCACACCATGGACTTGCAACGTTGGCGCACCACTACTCTGCAACGCTGGAGCGGTGCGAGCGCTGCTGCGCTGGAGGTCGACCAGCAGCCTAGCTAGCTCTGATGTAGTCTGTGTTGCCAATGTTGTTGTATCCATTGTTGTCAATCTTTGCTAGTGAAACTCTTGCAAAATCTCCCCGTGAATGTGCAAGCAGAGAACACACGAGCAAACAACTAAGGAACGCAGAGATCACACGAGCACCCGTGCCTAGCCCGTAGTCTAGCTCCCGTTGTAGCAGTTATCTCCGCAGATGCTACCTGACGCGCGACCGAGGGTAGAGGGGTAGCGTGAGACACACGGGGCTATTCCACCATCTCGACAACCACTGGGAGTTCTCACCGGGTCGCCTCCCCGGCTCCTGCCTGCTCATTGCCTTTCTGAACGCCCCCCCCCCCCCCCCCCCCCCCCCCCTCCCCCAATCTCGCAGGCTCGTTCCGCGGACACGGGTCTATTCCACCATCTCGACAACCACTGGGAGTTCTCACCGGGCCGCCTCCCTGGCTCCTGCCTGCTCTCCTTCTCCGTTGACTTTCAGTTCTGCTCCCTGCTCTACACCCAGGTGGGCTCTACACCCAGGTGGGCTCTACAACCAGGTGGGCTCTACACCCAGGTGGGCTCTACACCCAGGTGGGCTCTACACCCAGGTGGGCTCTACACCCAGGTGGGCTCTACACCCAGGTGGGCTCTACACCCAGGTGGGCTCTACACCCAGGTGGGCTCTTCTACACCCAGGTGGGCTCTACACCCAGGTGGGCTGGGCCATACACCCAAGTGGGCTCTTCTACACCCAGGTGGGCTCTTCTACACCCAGGTGGGCTCTACACCCAGGTGGGCTCTTCTACACCCAGGTGGGCTCTTCTACACCCAGGTGGGCTCTTCTACACCCAGGTGGGCTCTTCTACACCCAGGTGGGCTCTTCTACACCCAGGTGGGCTCTACAACCAGGACTGCTTAGGGCGTGTTCCTATGGCCTCTTACCAGGGAATCCTCTTGTCAGACTCACGTCGCACCGCACTATAGCGCACGTAATCACTTCTAATAACACTGAAACGCATTGAACCGCAGAAGTCTGACAAAAGGTGCGCCTGATAAGAGGTGTAGGAACATGTCCGTAGGTGGATTTGGATCTGCCTAAGGCACGGCACGCACTGCACAAATTCACTCATCTCTCACGTCCCGTTCCTGCAGTTTCAGCTACATAACACAATCACATAGAACATTGTCACATTTGCTATGAAATGAGTAGTTCAAATAGGTCAGAGGCGCTCTGTTGACTTCAGCTGTTGGTAGATTTTCCTCCTCGCCGTATTAAGCCCCTTTTGCTGCCGTTAACCTCTACCAAAATGCTGGGTTTGTTTTGTTTTGTTTTGTTCTGTTCTGCTTCCTCCTTCCTGGTTCCTGCAGTTTCTGGACCTCTTTTTTGACGAGGTGGTGAGCAGCCTTGTAAACTCGTTTGAGCGACGCTGCGAGGAGATTTATGGTCCGAGTAAGGTAGTTATGACGATGTAATGTGTACATTTGTTCTGGTTATGCCTTTCCCAGCACTAAGGGTACCTTTTGACTGAGGAGTCTTTCAATGTAAAAGTTACGCAAGAACATGAAGGTCAGGGAATGTGGTTGCATGAACTAGTTTATCGTTGAAAAGTAGCAACTTACTTCCTTACAGTAGCATTTTTGTACACCCATATGGATTAGGTGTACAGAAGTGTGGTGTGATGAAATGACGTGGTTGATGCTGTTTTTGCTAATGCTGACCTCTTATATCAAGCCATGTGGCTGTTCTTGACCGTGTCCGCCTTACAGCTTGGCAAAGAAGCTTGCAACTTGACTACCGAGGCTACCCGTGGAGGTGTAACTTCAAGGTGGCGCTAGCGCTTGTCGTCAAAGGTTCACGAAACTCGCGACCATTTCGCGGAAAGCTTTTATACAAAGCGCGGCACGAGGCGACTTACAGCATCACATCTTATGGCCGTGGATGACATGCTTGTGCTTCCATTTGCCCCTACAGGAACGGCCGAGATTAGTCATGTCAGGTTCAGGCGTTCTGGAACTGGAAGGCTTCATTTGGCCACGCGGTGCGCACGCGCACCACAACCGCACACACTCTGCCCAGGGTAGGGGCAGCCATTCGACTCAACACAAACACGCGCCCTCGTTTGCGGGGGAAGGAAGGCAAAGGGGAAGTGGAGAAGGGGGCTTTCGCGCGGTGGTCGGGCCAGGGAAACGACTGGGCTCAGGCGGAGGCGGGAAGAACCTCCCTGTGCGGAGCTTGCCTTGGGGGAAGTGAGAGTGCACGAGTGTAGTGGTAACCAGTATTGTATAAATTCCAGCTGTTCACATTTTCAGAATCAGGGTGCAGATTCCATTCTCCCACCAAGCCATTCTCCCACCAACACCAAGCTATTCTCCCAGCCATTCATTTCCACCTCCACCAACTCTGCACCTGCGCTACCTTTCCTTCGTCATGGCGTCTCGTAAGGTTCTCCTCTGCCTTGCGCTTGCCCTTGCGGTGCTTGCGGTGGAGGCGCCGCTCGCCTTCGGAGCTGACTCGAACGTCCTGGGAGGTGAGAAACGCATTTGCCTTTTCAAATTCTCGTTGACGTGCAAGGTTCACGTGCATCCGTCATTTCCACCACAATGCAGCCTCCCATCGGTTCTCTTGAACGAAACTTGCACTCATTGAGAACGAGCGACGGCATATGCGGCCTTTTGTCCTTTTTGCAGGCGCCAACTTGAAGCTCAAGGCAAGCCGCCGCTCGCTGTCCGACGACCATCACGACGACCACAGCCACGACTCCAGCGACCATCACGACGGCTCCAGCGACGACCATCACTACGGCGACTCCAACCATCACGACGGCGACGACGACCACCACTACTACAAGTCGCCGTCCAAGTCGCCGAGCAAGTCGCACGACTCCGACGACTGGTACCATCATTCGCCATCCAAATCGCCTTCCCAGTCGCCCAACAAGTCTCCGAGCAAGTGGCACGACTCCTCCTCCGACGACAAGTGGCACCACTCGCCGTCGCCCAAGTCGCCGTCGCCCAAGTCTCCGTCGCCCAAGTCTCCGTCGCCCAAGTGGCCCTCCAAGTCGCCGTCGCCCAAGTCTCCGTCGACCAAGTCGCCGTCCCCGAAATGGCCGAGCAAGTCGCCTGGGAGCAAGCACGACGATGACCACCCCTGGAAGTCGCCGTCCAAGTCGCCTGTGTGGGGCAAGTCGCCTGAGAAGGGCCACGACGACGACCACCACTGGGGCGGCAAGTCGCCGTCCAAGTCGCCGTCCAAGTCGCCTGTGTGGGGCAAGTCGCCTGGCAAGTACCACGACGACCACGACGACGACCACAGTGGCGATCATAGCGAGCACCACTACAGCGCCGGAAAGCCCAGGTGGCAGCACAGCTAGAGCGACAGTTGAGCGGAAATACGCGAGAGGATCCATTTCTTGTGGTGGGCTTTATGGGCTCTTTTCTATTTCACTTGGTAGCTGCTTTGATTGATTCCTGTGTGTGGGGGGTTTGGTGTTTTGGAATTGTTTTGTTTAGAGTGCTGGATAGGTGTGGGGGGGCTTTGGAGTCAGGGAGAGTTGAACCTGTTTGGGGAAATAATATATTTAGTTTTCATTCTGGAACTGCTGGCGAAGTATTGAGGGGCCTACAATGCGCATCAAAAAACGTAAAAACTGTATGGTGTGCAACGCCTGCGGTGAAGTCCCAGTCATAAACAGAAGTTCTTAGTCCAGCATCTCAACTCAACCCAACCTCGAGACGTTACTGAGAAACGGTCCCATCAATTACAGACACATCTGGGACCCAAGAACCGCTATCACTTGCTTGCCTTGGCGGGCCAGGCTGGATACCATGTCAATCTATCACTATGTGCAGCAAGTCAGCACCAAGCTTTGGTATAACTCTCCAGCACGAAGTTGGTTGTGTACACATGCTGCAGTTGCTGCACTCACGCCTTTTTCTCAAGCCCTACGTACCATGTCCTGTGATGTTACTGACCAACGCCGAATGAAAAGCGTTCAGGGTTTATGCCAATCTGAATATCCAATGTGAGCAGCTTTCTAACAGTGCACTGTACCAGCAGTTTCTAGCTTGTAGAGTAGCACGGGGTAGAGTAGCACGAAGGAGCTTTGACGAGCTCCTGGGAATGCTGGGTAATTGTGCACGCATATTTTATTGCATGTATAAACAGAGTTACAAAGGGAGACGCGGGCCCAGCTGCCAGCTCAGGCCACCTTCCCTGAACCAAACGCGAGCTGTTTAAATGGCATCAGTCAGAGCACCCTTTTGAATCATCTCCCTGACCTCGTCGTTGCACGCGCGGTCCAGGGCCGTCCGTCCCTCCCAGTCGGGCACGTCGCATCGCGCACCGGCGTACAGGAGCTCCTCGATCTTCCGCACGTCGCCTTCCGACGCAGCCATCATGAGCAGAATGTCGCACGCGTGCGTGCCGGACTCGATCATCTTCTCCATCTTCTCGTACGTCCCCTCGGCGGCGAGCATGCCGGAGTAGTTAAAGTACTGCTGGAGGAAAGTTTTATTTGGGAGGGAAATTAAGCTATGCGCGAATCTTAGTACTGCGTGCGTTTCTCCACTGTTTGTGGCACCATACCGAAATCTGGGATTGAAGCCAGGATGCTAATAAATTCAAACCTTGCCGGGAGAAATTAAACAAGAGTCATGACAGAGAGGCATTTGAGGGAAGTAAGAAACAATGGAACTTGGACCCAACGGTGAGCGAAACAGATCGTGGAGAGCAAGTAGCGCGGCACTTACGTGGGCAACGTCATCAGCGTCATAGTCATCGCGAAGTTGGCTCGCAAAGATGCCGGCGCTCTTGGCGCTCTCTCCGCCGAGCTTGAAGAACGCGACTGTGCGAGCAGTGGATCTGACGCCGAATGCAGCATTGGCTGATTGCTGGCGCACACCTGAGGTGAATTTGGTGAAGAAAGTACGATTCAAAGGTTGGTTTGTTATCTGATAAGAAATTATCAAAACGCTTCAAATAAGCCATTGAGGGTTGCTGAGTAAAAAAACACGCAGTCCAGTTGATCAGCAAGCTGGCGTCCTATACCTGCGAACGAGGACTTGAGGTTCGTCCTCTGAGCCGGGCTGGAAGCGGCAGCGATAGCGCCAGAGGCAAGCTTAGCAGCAGCCATGGTGGTAGCAGCCATTTTTGTAGTTATGGAGGGTGGAGCAGACAAACGAAGAAGCTGCTATGTTGATGGCTGTTGGAAGGAGAAGCAAGTTCTCTGTTGGATCTGTGAGCTCGAAAGTTTGCTTTGAAAGATGACAGGGAATCTGAGAAGAGATTATACACAGCGGTTGGGTGAAAGGAGATTCGCGACAACGGCTGCGAAAGCATTTGCGAGAAACAGCGAATTCTGCGCGATGCGGCATTCTCCATGATTGCCTCCGTTGATTGCTCGAGCCGCGGGGCTTGATGGCGAAGTGGCCGACATCCAGAAATTGCCAGCGCATAAACTTCCCGCCATCTCATTTGCTCATTTGAACGTTCAGTACACGTGTGAAGCATTTATTGCCACGTGTTAGTACCTCTATGGGGCTCCTCAGGCCCCCTTCCCATTAGCCAGTGCTTATATCTACTAGAAAACGTGCGCTGTCACACGTCACGATTGCATGAGAATCCAGTAGCTATACAGGGTACAAAGGCAATCCAGGATCCATATACACGACGGTTAATCAGTCAAAATGCATAAACATGTAAAGCATAACTAACCTAACCACCCAAATAAGTGTCAAACACAAAGTATGGTTAGTGATCGCATCATGCAATAACCACGTTTACCGACCATCCCTTTCGGCTGCACGGGGTGCACACACAGATTGAATGACGATCATCCTCAGAAATGGTTCCCTTTGAAAACATTGCTAGGTCAAAGCAAATATTAGTCACCAATCGTCAACAGGAAGTTAGCATAAGCAAATAAGCACAGCAATACATGATAGAATGAGTTGGCCTTGTTACTAATGCACTAGACATAGTGTGAGTTTGCTTCACAACTTTTATTGTGGTGGTCCATGCACCTCCTCTATATCAGGGTCGCTCTTTATTCTGTTACCCCCTAGGGCCAACTAATCCCTGTGCTCCTCCCGCATCTTCTCCTCCCTCATCTGCTCCTCCCTTTCCCTGTCCTTCGCCATATCCTTCTTCTTGTTCTTCCGAAACCCCTTCAAGTTATTCCGCCACTTGCAATGCGACTGCTGCGGAGCGCACATCTCTCTTCTCGGATCCGTAAGGGTGAAATTCCACAGCTCAGGCGGCTGATTCTCCTCCATAAGCAGCTCCATCCTGTACTCGATACCAGCCTTGTCGTTATTCTTAGGAAGACAGTGCGCCTGTAGCTCCTCGGACATCGAATCGTGCAGCGTATACCACAGCTTATGTGCGCCGTGATGCACGAACCGCCGGTGCGTGTTCATGACAATGTTACAGTCGAAGTCGCGGTAACACCGCCAGGGTTTCTTGCCCAGGAAATGCAGCGCGTGAATTGTGGGAGGATCGGAAGCGATGAGCGAATTTAGGGCTTCCGTTTCAATGTCTCGCTTGGGGCCGTCGTCCGCGTTGATGTATTTGAGAGTGTTGATGGACTTGGGCAGGCGATGCCACCAGTAAAACACATCGTTCACGAAGCCCTGTGGCGGATAAAAGGGAGTTTGGGGTGGGAAGGCAGAAGAGAGATCAGCATGGAGGTCAGATCGTATGTCCCGAGTGCCATGAGCAAGATCGCACAAGCATGACGTGAGGTATAAGATTACGGAGGAGCAGGCACACAGAGAGCAGACACGCTCGCTATTGAATGCGCCAATGCTAACCTGATCGCCGCCGTTGTAGGACTGAATCAGTTCAATGTTTTCCATCATAAGCTCGAATGTACACTGCGACGGCTCGATCACCATCACGCCCGAGTTGAAGAAGCGCCGGCTGTTGCTGCGCGCCGACAGCTCGGGGTACTCGAACAGGTGGTCCATGTTTCTTAGAACGAGGATATCCGCGTCCACGAACACCACCTTAGCGTACTCCGTCAGTTGCCATAATCGGAGCTTGCTGTAACGGGGAGTCGACGGACAGAGAGAGGAGAGAGGGCAGAGAAGGCTTGAATGAGTGATATCGGAAGACAAGAAACAGGAGAGAGGGGAGAGAACCATTCTTAAGATGAAACCGGATGGAGATGAATCGGTCGCACTGGCAGGATGCTTGAGTTTGTCACGTTCAAGCGTAGATAAGGAGAGAAGGCGCTTAAGAAAAACGGGAAATGGCACCTGTATTTAAAACCAGGGTCTCAAGTAAGAGATTCTGCCATCAACTGCAAAACATTTGAGACTGAGTTACCTTGTTTTTCTAGGCAAGGCGGACTGGTTGAGCTGCTAAAAGCTAGTAAAGCCACCTGTTGTTAAAAAAAACAGGTAGTTTAGAAGTCTCACCTGTAGTTCCACTGGTTGTATGTGCCCGCGCGTCCGAACGGATTGCGAATCCTCTCAATCTCGATCAGCCGCCACCCGGCCGCCTCTAGGCCTCCGCGGCTGAAGTTCCCGATCTCCGCGGAAACCAGCGCTACCAGCTCCGCGCGCGTGCCGCTCCGCCGGAGGCTGTTCGCCAGCGCGATCGCGCCGCACACGTAGTCCTCCTTGCTGTGCAACACTGTGGCGTACGCAAGTCGGCGCGCAGCGGCAGGTTGCTGATCGGGCAGCTGGCCTGGCAGCAGCTGGGGTTCCGGGGTGGCGAGCGCGCAGTTCCCGACGGGCTGCAGCCGGCGGCGCATATCGGCGACCGTCAAGTTAAACAGCCAGACGGGCCCGTCGCGGTGTACAAGCCGGTTGCAATGGAAGAGGTTGGGCGGCGGGCGGCATTCAGAGAGAACGACAACGGGCATCCAGGGGCGTGCGGACTGGGGGGGGGCGGGAGAGAATGGGGACGGGGGAGCATGGGGGGCGGGGGAGGAAGGTAGAGTGGGCGGTGTGAGAGGGCGTCGGAGAGCGGGCATTCAAACGAGAGCGGACATGTGAGGTGGGGGAGACGGGGGGAGGTGCGATGTCGTTAACTTTCGAGGAGCGAGACAGGGAGAGAGACAGAGAGTGGGTGAAAGCGGAGGTTTCGGGGACAACGATCGCGAGCATTCAGTATGGACATAACGAGCAGGAGACGACATCAAACTCACCTGTTTGACATATTCGGCGACTGTAAGCACCAGATGGTGCCATCTCACGTCCCTCGCGAACGACCCGTTTACTGGTTGGCACGGCATGTGTGCGATCATTGCGTCGACCGTGCGAAGATCCTGCGACCATTTGGGTAGCGGCAGCTTCGGGCACTGCGGCGTTGGGTCGTCGTCAAACCGGTCCGCGAAAATGTCATCCCACGTTAGGTCTTTAAGAAGCGGCGGCGCGGCGAGCGGGACGAGTTGAAAGCCCGCCTGCTTAGTCTGCTTGATGATTCTTCTGTCGACGTTGAACGCCGCGACGCGCGTTATTCTAAACGTCTTCCATTGAATATGTCCTGGTTGTTGCTCCTTGAGCTCCGCGTTTTCCGGCGGCGATAGCGGAGGAGGGTACTGGTCCTCCCACCATTGAAGCGTCGCCAGCCCGCGTGTAAAGACCACCACGTGGCTGGGACTGATTGGCCTCATCATGATTGAGAAAGCGTCGTCAACAACCGTCGGATTGAGGAGGATGAGAGAGAAGAGCAGGGAAGCGACGGCGATTGCCGCCCATTGACCCATGCGATTGGGTGGCGGCTGCTGTAGCCCCTTCAGTGGCTTCTGCGGGTCGAGGAGCCATCGGTCGTAGGACTTGGACTTGGAGAGTTTTGCGATGCCTCTAGTAGCGAAAGGATCCTCTGGCGACTGCTCCATTGTAGTGCGAGGAAGACGAAAGCTGGTAAATCGTCTGTCAATTTTGACGACTTGTATCTGCTTCTAGATGGACAGTCGTCGTTAGTACGTCTGATGGCTCTGAGGTTTCAAATGTCGTTAGACGTCGATACCTCTCGTAGCGACAACAATGAGGCTATTAGGGAGATGGAAGCCAGAAGCACTTCGAACCAAGGCAATGTAGCAACAGCGGCGTTGCGACCGCCTGTGTGATAAGCAAATCCGAATTGGCTACTGAAAGTGCTGTGCTGACAGTGGAAATAAGCAACAGTTCAGCCAGACATTGCCCTCACGAATCAGGAACGCGTTGTTCGGAACAGCGCTGCGAATTATCCGAACCAAGCAGCACTAGTATTCGCTTACTGTTCGTCGGAACCGGTTTAGTTCGTTTCTTCAAGCTTAGACACGGTTCTAGTGCATTACCAGTACCACCGAATTAAACCGTGATAAATAAGAGATTACGAACCGCGCTTGACACCTGACGAACCTCAACAAGCCCCGCACGGCCCACTCGCGTCGAATCATGTGTGTCCTTCAAGCCCCATACCTGCCGAACCGCTTGTGCACGTCGGAAAATTCGCTCCGCAAGCTCCTCGTTGAAACGAACCAGAACGCAAAGCTCGACTCCGCTGGTTGCGGAAAGCCTGTCGCGCCTCGTCGCAGGTGGTGCTAGCAACTCGAGCGGGGCGCAGCAATTGAGCATTGTGATTGGTTCAATTATGGTAACCCTCCAGTGCTGACACGAACTGTGCGCTCCAAGGGTGTGCTCGTCGAACCATTCCGCGCGCTCCACGAATGGCGGGTGTGCCGTCAACGAAAAACGGCAGCTGTCTAGTCAAGAAAGCAGGTGAATCGTCGAGCATGATGGGTTTGCGAAATTGCGACGTCGCAGACCCTTCGCATGAGAAGGAGGGAAAGGTACGTGGTGGGTGTGGCGATTACGTCGTGCTGGCTTTCGCAGAGACGGCATACAATTCGACATATCCATCTTCATTAGCGCAGCTCGCTTGTCTTCGCGAGAGTAGCTGTTACAGTGAAAAAATAGTGTTTTGTCTAGACTGCGTCTGCACATACTTGAACACCTCACTGGAAACACTCTACATTAACGAAATGAATGCGAATTACCCAACCGCAAACGTCACTGGAAGCCTCGTCAGAAACCAGGCAACCCAATTAATATTTGACATACGCTTTTGAATAAACGATGAGGCATTCGAGCACCATCCACAATCAGATTGCAATTCATATCACTAGCAGCATAGCAAAACTGCTACCCTCACCTCACCCTACCCTCCCTCTTCCAGACCGTAGTCTTCCCCAAAGTATGTGTCGACTAGATAGCTTGACATGGAGTGTAGCTCCTCGTTGCCTACATATTGAGCTGCTTCTATCGCATCAATGCCGTCAGCCTCCTCCACCAGCGGGGGGCCTCTTTTGTCTGGTAGTACACGCAGAACCTACACAATGCGACGAAATTACATATGGGGAAACCACGCAGAGTTGTAACGCGGACTTCTGAGGAACAGGCCTCGAATACGATAGCATGCATGTGTGCATGTGTGCGACTGTATGGCTCTACATGCATGTGTCCATGAATGCATGTGTGTGTGAGTGCATGTGCGTGTGAGTGAGTGCATGTGTGTGCGAGTGCATGTGCGTGTGAGTGCATGTGTGTGTGAGTGCATGAGTGTGTGAGTGCATGTGTGCGTGGGTGCATGTGTGTGTGAGTGCATGTGTGTGTGTGAGTGCATGTGTGCGTGAGTGCATGTATGCGTGAGTGCATGTGTGCGTGAGCGCATGCGTGCGTGAGTGCATGTGTGTGTGAGCGCATCCGTGTGTGAGTGCATATGTGTGACTGTGTGTGCATGTGTGTGTGAGTGCGTGTGCGCGTGTGTGTGAATGCATGTGTGTGTGTGTGTGTGTGTGAGTGCATGTGCGTGTGTGAGTGCATGTGTGACTGAGTGCATGTGTTGTGTGAGTGCGTGTGCATGTGTGAATACATGTGCATGTGATCGCATGTGTGCGTGTGTGCACCACACATCTAGACTTGTTGCTCCAGCCCATACCTTACTGCCAATACCCTCCCACTACACACCTTACCCTTCCTTCCCCCACCCTGCCTCCGGGCGCCCTCCCTCCATGCACCTCACCATTACAGCAAACTGCCAGCTCAGTCGTGCAGCAGCAGCACCTTCTCACACACCTCCTCACCACCACGCACCTTTCCGCACCCGCCACCGCACACCGTCCTGTACCCCTCCTCACCACTTCAGTGAGTTGCAGGCCGAGCCGCACAGGGTCGGCATCAGCGGAGCGGATGAGGGAGAGGAAGGGCGGCAGGCACCACCAGGTGCAGCGGCACCAGCCACAGCAGCACTCTTACCACCGCACACCTTTCCACACCGCTCCTCACCACCGTGCACCTTCTCACCACCTCATACCGTCCTGCATCCCTCCTCACCACTTCAGTGAACTGCAGACCCAGCCGCACAGCGTCAGCATCTGCTGAGCGGATGAGGGAGAGGAAGGGCGGCAGGCACCCCGCGTCCACTAGTGCTGCCACGCGCGACTGCTGGACCGCCACGTGGCGCTCCCCCATTGGCTCTTGCTCCGCCGGATCCACACAGAGATTCGCTGCCAGAACGTGAGATTAACATGGGTTTGATATTAAGGTCTCAAACGGGTGATAAAAGAACGACGGGAGACAGGAGAATGGCTGAAAGAGAGCCACGAGGAAACTGCAGAGTGAGGACGGAAAAACTCCAGCAGAAAGGTGAGAGCAACGCAAAGGCCACACAGGCAACAAGAGACTCGGACCCTGACTGCATGCACCCCAGCAATTAAGCACTCTTCTGTGAATTCCCCTCAAAACCGGCACAAGGGTATTCTTGAAAATTCTCCAGAATAGCAACATGACTGACCGAGAGCGAAGGCGACTTCTCTCTTGATGTCGAATGGTGCCGTGCGGAGCAAATGCACGAGCAGCTGGTATAGCCTCGACGCCTTGCCTGCTGCTCCCATCGCCCCTGTGTCTCCACCAATCACAGCCGCCTTGTGCCAGCTGTCGCCAGCTGTCACGTTTGACACTGCCCACGCTGTCTCCTGCAGGAGCACAATACATAGGAGGATAACAGAGGCGCCTCAGATCAGAAAAGTTTCACGGGAAAATATATCGGTGCCTCTGGGTGCCTTGAAACGGCGAATTTTCACATGCCTCACAGAGCTGTGCTGTCTGGTTGGACCCCCCCCCCCCATGCTGTCTCCGGTTGGAGCGTCTGCAGGGGCGCGTGCAGGAGGATATTCAAGGCGTCTTAAACAGGACAGCTCTTGAGGCGACTCAGGATTAACTTTGAGTCGACTCAAAAGTCTGCAGGGGCGCGTGCAGGAGGATATTCAAGGCGTCTTAAACAGGACAGCTCTTGAGGCGCCTCAGAATTACCCAGCTTTCATGTCAGACACAGCTGGCGCTGACTTCCCAACGCACGCACAATGAGGAGCAGGCGACCGGGGGTTTGTTACCCATGTTTCTTGCACACTCCAGGGTAGATATAAGTGTGTGTGTGTGTGCGTGCACACGCGCGCGGGTGCACGCGTGCGTGCCCTCTTTCAAAAACCGTGGTGTTTAGTTTTCACGGCAACCCACAAGATAACCCTTTCCGCCACTGCTGCTGCTGTTAGACCATCAGCCGCCCCTCTCTCACCTTCTTCAGCCCATGGTGTTTGTTCTCAAGGCACTCCGCCAGTCCAGATAACCCAGGGTGGTGGGCCACCACAGCTGCTGCTGCTGCTACTGCCACTCTCCTTCCACTCCACCTTTCACCTGATTCACACCCCCACCACTTCCACCCCACCCCCTCTCACCATCATCCACCACCCCCCTCACCTTCTTCAGCCCGTGGTGTTTGTTCTCAAGACACTCCGCCAGTCCCGACAGCCCTGGCCCCGCCGCTGCTGCTGCAGTCACTCTCCTTCCACCGTTTACCTTCTTCACTTCACCCCAACACCACTTCCGTCCGACACCAACCCCTTCCGTCCCATGGCAAACAAACCCTTTCTCCTCTCACCTTCTTCAGCCCATGGTGATTGTTCTCAAGGCACTCCGCCAGTCCCAACAGTCCCGGCCCCACCGCTGCTGCTGCCACCACACCCGGAGGGGCCGGGGCAGGGATGGGCTGGGCTGTTGTTGGGCACATAGAGAGGCGAGGTGGAGGTGGAAATAGAGGAGGTGGGATGGGGAATAGGAGTTGAAATAGGTCAAACTCGGCAGTGGTTGCTGATGCTGGCAGCCCTATTCGGGTGCTGCCGGTGCTGCTGCCATCACACTAAGTGGGTTGAGCTCTTGCTGGAGGGGTGGAGTGGAGAGAGCTCAACCCACCAGGTGCTCAAACATTTACTTTGTGCGCAACTGGAGGGTTAAGGCAGCACGCAGGGAGCAGAACATCCACCCCAAGTGATACAACACTTTCAACCGATTAGAAGGGATGCAGAGCGGTTGGATTGGCATGAAGGGAACATACCTTGGAAGGGCGTGCCAGCTGTCAGCAGGCGAGTGGTTCTGCTGGAATCTCCTGCTGTCAGGTTGCCTATGGCCCGCACCACCTGGGGTAGAGTGGGGGGACGGACAGCAGAACATGCATGGTCATGTTGACATGACGAGGTGACTTCCAAGTCAACTCGAGAATCACCTTGGAATCTCCTGCTGTCAGTTTGCCTATGGCCCGCACACCACCTGGGAAGGGATTCGTTTGGGTGAGAGCGGTTGTGGGGAGGGACGGCAGCACGCGCCAGGGGTCAAAATAAAAGTGAGGTGCTACTGATATGATATGATGGATGCATGGGTTGGGATGGGAACATGGCATGTGAGAGTGGGGCGACAGACAGCAGCATGAGCATCGGTTGATTTTGGTGAGTGACTAGGTACTGACATGACACCCGCATGGCACGGGAACAGGGCAAGGGAAAGCCACGAAGTAACATGACATGGCATGGCATGGCATGACATGGCATGATATGGCATGGCATGCTATACACAAGGACATGTAGATACATAGCCCATGGATCAGTTATTGAGACGTCTCAAAAGTCAAATACATGGCCCGATAGAAGAGTGATTGGGATGGCATAGGCCTCTGCGAGCCCGGCGGCGACTAGCAGACTACTTTTGACGCGCCTCAAAACTGGACACAGTGACTCAAGCATGGGCCGAGGCATATACAGGAGTGAGTAGGGCAACGTCAGTGGTGGCGGTGAGCTGCTGCACGAGGGCCTCTATGAGCCCAGCAGCGACTAGCAGACAAGGACACGGTGATTCAAGCATGGGCCGAGGCACATACAGGAGTGAGCAGAGCAACTTCAGTGGTGGCGGAGAGCTGCGGCACGAGGGCCTTTACCAGCCCGGCAGCAACAAGCAGTGGTTGCAAGCATGGGGGCGAGGTTGCAAGGACGAGCAGTGGTTGCAAGCATGGGGGCGAGGTTGCAAGGACGAGCAGTGGTTGCAAGCATGGGGGCGAGGTTGCAAGGACGAGCAGTGGTTGCAAGCATGGGGGCGAGGTTGCAAGGACGAGCAGTGGTTGCAAGCATGGGGGCGAGGTTGCAAGGACGAGCAGTGGTTGCAAGCATGGGGGCGAGGTTGCAAGGACGAGCAGTGGTTGCAAGCATGGGGGCGAGGTTGCAAGGACGAGCAGTGGTTGCAAGCATGGGGGCGAGGTTGCAAGGACGAGCAGTGGTTGCAAGCATGGGGGCGAGGTTGCAAGGACGAGCAGTGGTTGCAAGCATGGGGGCGAGGTTGCAAGGACGAGCAGTGGTTGCAAGCATGGGGGCGAGGTTGCAAGGACGAGCAGTGGTTGCAAGCATGGGGGCGAGGTTGCAAGGACGAGCAGTGGTTGCAAGCATGGGGGCGAGGTTGCAAGGACGAGCAGTGGTTGCAAGCATGGGGGCGAGGTTGCAAGGACGAGCAGTGGTTGCAAGCATGGGGGCGAGGTTGCAAGGACGAGCAGTGGTTGCAAGCATGGGGGCGAGGTTGCAAGGACGAGCAGTGGTTGCAAGCATGGGGGCGAGGTTGCAAGGACGAGCAGTGGTTGCAAGCATGGGGGCGAGGTTGCAAGGACGAGCAGTGGTTGCAAGCATGGGGGCGAGGTTGCAAGGACGAGCAGTGGTTGCAAGCATGGGGGCGAGGTTGCAAGGACGAGCAGTGGTTGCAAGCATGGGGGCGAGGTTGCAAGGACGAGCAGTGGTTGCAAGCATGGGGGCGAGGTTGCAAGGACGAGCAGTGGTTGCAAGCATGGGGGCGAGGTTGCAAGGACGAGCAGTGGTTGCAAGCATGGGGGCGAGGTTGCAAGGACGAGCAGTGGTTGCAAGCATGGGGGCGAGGTTGCAAGGACGAGCAGTGGTTGCAAGCATGGGGGCGAGGTTGCACGGACGAGCAGTGGTTGCAAGCATGGGGGCGAGGTTGCAAGGACGAGCAGTGGTTGCAAGCATGGGGGCGAGGTTGCAAGGACGAGCAGTGGTTGCAAGCATGGGGGCGAGGTTGCAAGGACGAGCAGTGGTTGCAAGCATGGGGGCGAGGTTGCAAGGACGAGCAGTGGTTGCAAGCATGGGGGCGAGGTTGCAAGGACGAGCAGTGGTTGCAAGCATGGGGGCGAGGTTGCAAGGACGAGCAGTGGTTGCAAGCATGGGGGCGAGGTTGCAAGGACGAGCAGTGGTTGCAAGCATGGGGGCGAGGTTGCACGGACGAGCAGTGGTTGCAAGCATGGGGGCGAGGTTGCACGGACGAGCAGTGGTTGCAAGCGTGGGGGCGAGGTTGCACGGACGAGCAGTGGTTGCAAGCATGGGGGCGAGGTTGCAAGGACGAGCAGTGGTTGCAAGCATGGGGGCGAGGTTGCAAGGACGAGCAGTGGTTGCAAGCATGGGGGCGAGGTTGCACGGACGAGCAGTGGTTGCAAGCATGGGGGCGAGGTTGCACGGACGAGCAGTGGTTGCAAGCATGGGGGCGAGGTTGCAAGGACGAGCAGTGGTTGCAAGCATGGGGGCGAGGTTGCACGGACGAGCAGTGGTTGCAAGCATGGGGGCGAGGTTGCAAGGACGAGCAGTGGTTGCAAGCATGGGGGCGAGGTTGCACGGACGAGCAGTGGTTGCAAGCATGGGGGCGAGGTTGCACGGACGAGCAGTGGTTGCAAGCATGGGGGCGAGGTTGCAAGGACGAGCAGTGGTTGCAAGCATGGGGGCGAGGTTGCACGGACGAGCAGTGGTTGCAAGCATGGGGGCGAGGTTGCACGGACGAGCAGTGGTTGCAAGCATGGGGGCGAGGTTGCAAGGACGAGCAGTGGTTGCAAGCATGGGGGCGAGGTTGCAAGGACGAGCAGTGGTTGCAAGCATGGGGGCGAGGTTGCAAGGACGAGCAGTGGTTGCAAGCATGGGGGCGAGGTTGCAAGGACGAGCAGTGGTTGCAAGCATGGGGGCGAGGTTGCAAGGACGAGCAGTGGTTGCAAGCATGGGGGCGAGGTTGCAAGGACGAGCAGTGGTTGCAAGCATGGGGGCGAGGTTGCAAGGACGAGCAGTGGTTGCAAGCATGGGGGCGAGGTTGCACGGACGAGCAGTGGTTGCAAGCATGGGGGCGAGGTTGCAAGGACGAGCAGTGGTTGCAAGCATGGGGGCGAGGTTGCACGGACGAGCAGTGGTTGCAAGCATGGGGGCGAGGTTGCACGGACGAGCAGTGGTTGCAAGCATGGGGGCGAGGTTGCAAGGACGAGCAGTGGTTGCAAGCATGGGGGCGAGGTTGCACGGACGAGCAGTGGTTGCAAGCATGGGGGCGAGGTTGCAAGGACGAGCAGTGGTTGCAAGCATGGGGGCGAGGTTGCAAGGACGAGCAGTGGTTGCAAGCATGGGGGCGAGGTTGCACGGACGAGCAGTGGTTGCAAGCATGGGGGCGAGGTTGCACGGACGAGCAGTGGTTGCAAGCATGGGGGCGAGGTTGCACGGACGAGCAGTGGTTGCAAGCATGGGGGCGAGGTTGCAAGGACGAGCAGTGGTTGCAAGCATGGGGGCGAGGTTGCAAGGACGAGCAGTGGTTGCAAGCATGGGGGCGAGGTTGCACGGACGAGCAGTGGTTGCAAGCATGGGGGCGAGGTTGCAAGGACGAGCAGTGGTTGCAAGCATGGGGGCGAGGTTGCAAGGACGAGCAGTGGTTGCAAGCATGGGGGCGAGGTTGCAAGGACGAGCAGTGGTTGCAAGCATGGGGGCGAGGTTGCACGGACGAGCAGTGGTTGCAAGCATGGGGGCGAGGTTGCACGGACGAGCAGTGGTTGCAAGCATGGGGGCGAGGTTGCACGGACGAGCAGTGGTTGCAAGCATGGGGGCGAGGTTGCACGGACGAGCAGTGGTTGCAAGCATGGGGGCGAGGTTGCAAGGACGAGCAGTGGTTGCAAGCATGGGGGCGAGGTTGCAAGGACGAGCAGTGGTTGCAAGCATGGGGGCGAGGTTGCAAGGACGAGCAGTGGTTGCAAGCATGGGGGCGAGGTTGCACGGACGAGCAGTGGTTGCAAGCATGGGGGCGAGGTTGCAAGGACGAGCAGTGGTTGCAAGCATGGGGGCGAGGTTGCACGGACGAGCAGTGGTTGCAAGCATGGGGGCGAGGTTGCACGGACGAGCAGTGGTTGCAAGCATGGGGGCGAGGTTGCAAGGACGAGCAGTGGTTGCAAGCATGGGGGCGAGGTTGCAAGGACGAGCAGTGGTTGCAAGCATGGGGGCGAGGTTGCAAGGACGAGCAGTGGTTGCAAGCATGGGGGCGAGGTTGCAAGGACGAGCAGTGGTTGCAAGCATGGGGGCGAGGTTGCACGGACGAGCAGTGGTTGCAAGCATGGGGGCGAGGTTGCACGGACGAGCAGTGGTTGCAAGCATGGGGGCGAGGTTGCAAGGACGAGCAGTGGTTGCAAGCATGGGGGCGAGGTTGCAAGGACGAGCAGTGGTTGCAAGCATGGGGGCGAGGTTGCAAGGACGAGCAGTGGTTGCAAGCATGGGGGCGAGGTTGCAAGGACGAGCAGTGGTTGCAAGCATGGGGGCGAGGTTGCACGGACGAGCAGTGGTTGCAAGCATGGGGGCGAGGTTGCACGGACGAGCAGTGGTTGCAAGCATGGGGGCGAGGTTGCACGGACGAGCAGTGGTTGCAAGCATGGGGGCGAGGTTGCACGGACGAGCAGTGGTTGCAAGCATGGGGGCGAGGTTGCAAGGACGAGCAGTGGTTGCAAGCATGGGGGCGAGGTTGCAAGGACGAGCAGTGGTTGCAAGCATGGGGGCGAGGTTGCACGGACGAGCAGTGGTTGCAAGCATGGGGGCGAGGTTGCACGGACGAGCAGTGGTTGCAAGCATGGGGGCGAGGTTGCACGGACGAGCAGTGGTTGCAAGCATGGGGGCGAGGTTGCAAGGACGAGCAGTGGTTGCAAGCATGGGGGCGAGGTTGCAAGGACGAGCAGTGGTTGCAAGCATGGGGGCGAGGTTGCAAGGACGAGCAGTGGTTGCAAGCATGGGGGCGAGGTTGCAAGGACGAGCAGTGGTTGCAAGCATGGGGGCGAGGTTGCAAGGACGAGCAGTGGTTGCAAGCATGGGGGCGAGGTTGCAAGGACGAGCAGTGGTTGCAAGCATGGGGGCGAGGTTGCAAGGACGAGCAGTGGTTGCAAGCATGGGGGCGAGGTTGCAAGGACGAGCAGTGGTTGCAAGCATGGGGGCGAGGTTGCAAGGACGAGCAGTGGTTGCAAGCATGGGGGCGAGGTTGCAAGGACGAGCAGTGGTTGCAAGCATGGGGGCGAGGTTGCAAGGACGAGCAGTGGTTGCAAGCATGGGGGCGAGGTTGCAAGGACGAGCAGTGGTTGCAAGCATGGGGGCGAGGTTGCAAGGACGAGCAGTGGTTGCAAGCATGGGGGCGAGGTTGCAAGGACGAGCAGTGGTTGCAAGCATGGGGGCGAGGTTGCAAGGACGAGCAGTGGTTGCAAGCATGGGGGCGAGGTTGCAAGGACGAGCAGTGGTTGCAAGCATGGGGGCGAGGTTGCAAGGACGAGCAGTGGTTGCAAGCATGGGGGCGAGGTTGCAAGGACGAGCAGTGGTTGCAAGCATGGGGGCGAGGTTGCAAGGACGAGCAGTGGTTGCAAGCATGGGGGCGAGGTTGCAAGGACGAGCAGTGGTTGCAAGCATGGGGGCGAGGTTGCAAGGACGAGCAGTGGTTGCAAGCATGGGGGCGAGGTTGCAAGGACGAGCAGTGGTTGCAAGCATGGGGGCGAGGTTGCAAGGACGAGCAGTGGTTGCAAGCATGGGGGCGAGGTTGCAAGGACGAGCAGTGGTTGCAAGCATGGGGGCGAGGTTGCAAGGACGAGCAGTGGTTGCAAGCATGGGGGCGAGGTTGCAAGGACGAGCAGTGGTTGCAAGCATGGGGGCGAGGTTGCAAGGACGAGCAGTGGTTGCAAGCATGGGGGCGAGGTTGCAAGGACGAGCAGTGGTTGCAAGCATGGGGGCGAGGTTGCAAGGACGAGCAGTGGTTGCAAGCATGGGGGCGAGGTTGCAAGGACGAGCAGTGGTTGCAAGCATGGGGGCGAGGTTGCAAGGACGAGCAGTGGTTGCAAGCATGGGGGCGAGGTTGCAAGGACGAGCAGTGGTTGCAAGCATGGGGGCGAGGTTGCAAGGACGAGCAGTGGTTGCAAGCATGGGGGCGAGGTTGCAAGGACGAGCAGTGGTTGCAAGCATGGGGGCGAGGTTGCAAGGACGAGCAGTGGTTGCAAGCATGGGGGCGAGGTTGCAAGGACGAGCAGTGGTTGCAAGCATGGGGGCGAGGTTGCAAGGACGAGCAGTGGTTGCAAGCATGGGGGCGAGGTTGCACGGACGAGCAGTGGTTGCAAGCATGGGGGCGAGGTTGCAAGGACGAGCAGTGGTTGCAAGCATGGGGGCGAGGTTGCACGGACGAGCAGTGGTTGCAAGCATGGGGGCGAGGTTGCACGGACGAGCAGTGGTTGCAAGCATGGGGGCGAGGTTGCAAGGACGAGCAGTGGTTGCAAGCATGGGGGCGAGGTTGCAAGGACGAGCAGTGGTTGCAAGCATGGGGGCGAGGTTGCAAGGACGAGCAGTGGTTGCAAGCATGGGGACGAGGTTGCAAGGACGAGCAGTGGTTGCAAGCATGGGGGCGAGGTTGCAAGGACGAGCAGTGGTTGCAAGCATGGGGGCGAGGTTGCAAGGACGAGCAGTGGTTGCAAGCATGGGGGCGAGGTTGCAAGGACGAGCAGTGGTTGCAAGCATGGGGGCGAGGTTGCAAGGACGAGCAGTGGTTGCAAGCATGGGGGCGAGGTTGCAAGGACGAGCAGTGGTTGCAAGCATGGGGGCGAGGTTGCAAGGACGAGCAGTGGTTGCAAGCATGGGGGCGAGGTTGCAAGGACGAGCAGTGGTTGCAAGCATGGGGGCGAGGTTGCAAGGACGAGCAGTGGTTGCAAGCATGGGGGCGAGGTTGCAAGGACGAGCAGTGGTTGCAAGCATGGGGGCGAGGTTGCAAGGACGAGCAGTGGTTGCAAGCATGGGGGCGAGGTTGCAAGGACGAGCAGTGGTTGCAAGCATGGGGGCGAGGTTGCAAGGACGAGCAGTGGTTGCAAGCATGGGGGCGAGGTTGCAAGGACGAGCAGTGGTTGCAAGCATGGGGGCGAGGTTGCAAGGACGAGCAGCGGTTGCAAGCATGGGGGCGAGGTTGCAAGGACGAGCAGTGGTTGCAAGCATGGGGGCGAGGTTGCAAGGACGAGCAGTGGTTGCAAGCATGGGGGCGAGGTTGCAAGGACGAGCAGTGGTTGCAAGCATGGGGGCGAGGTTGCAAGGACGAGCAGTGGTTGCAAGCATGGGGGCGAGGTTGCAAGGACGAGCAGTGGTTGCAAGCATGGGGGCGAGGTTGCAAGGACGAGCAGTGGTTGCAAGCATGGGGGCGAGGTTGCAAGGACGAGCAGTGGTTGCAAGCATGGGGGCGAGGTTGCAAGGACGAGCAGTGGTTGCAAGCATGGGGGCGAGGTTGCAAGGACGAGCAGTGGTTGCAAGCATGGGGGCGAGGTTGCAAGGACGAGCAGTGGTTGCAAGCATGGGGGCGAGGTTGCAAGGACGAGCAGTGGTTGCAAGCATGGGGGCGAGGTTGCAAGGACGAGCAGTGGTTGCAAGCATGGGGGCGAGGTTGCAAGGACGAGCAGTGGTTGCAAGCATGGGGGCGAGGTTGCAAGGACGAGCAGTGGTTGCAAGCATGGGGGCGAGGTTGCAAGGACGAGCAGTGGTTGCAAGCATGGGGGCGAGGTTGCAAGGACGAGCAGTGGTTGCAAGCATGGGGGCGAGGTTGCAAGGACGAGCAGTGGTTGCAAGCATGGGGGCGAGGTTGCAAGGACGAGCAGTGGTTGCAAGCATGGGGGCGAGGTTGCAAGGACGAGCAGTGGTTGCAAGCATGGGGGCGAGGTTGCAAGGACGAGCAGTGGTTGCAAGCATGGGGGCGAGGTTGCAAGGACGAGCAGTGGTTGCAAGCATGGGGGCGAGGTTGCAAGGACGAGCAGTGGTTGCAAGCATGGGGGCGAGGTTGCAAGGACGAGCAGTGGTTGCAAGCATGGGGGCGAGGTTGCAAGGACGAGCAGTGGTTGCAAGCATGGGGGCGAGGTTGCAAGGACGAGCAGTGGTTGCAAGCATGGGGGCGAGGTTGCAAGGACGAGCAGTGGTTGCAAGCATGGGGGCGAGGTTGCAAGGACGAGCAGTGGTTGCAAGCATGGGGGCGAGGTTGCACGGACGAGCAGTGGTTGCAAGCATGGGGGCGAGGTTGCAAGGACGAGCAGTGGTTGCAAGCATGGGGGCGAGGTTGCAAGGACGAGCAGTGGTTGCAAGCATGGGGGCGAGGTTGCAAGGACGAGCAGTGGTTGCAAGCATGGGGGCGAGGTTGCAAGGACGAGCAGTGGTTGCAAGCATGGGCAGTGGCGCGTACGGGAGTGAGGAGAGCGACGTCAGTGGTGGCGGTGAGCAGCGGCACGAGGGCCTCTATGAGCCCGGCAGCCACGAGCCTCTCTGCACTCGCGTCTGACAGCGCTGTCACGTACGCTGCTACCCATGCTGCTTCCACTGCCGCCTCTGCATTGTTGAGAGGGTGGGGAGGGAGGCACAGGCGGATGGACAGGGCAACATTACTCAGGTTCGCCCGGCAGCAGCGAGCATCTCGGCACTGGCGTCTGACAGTGCTGTCACGTATGCCGCCACCCATGCCGCCTCCACTGCCGCCTCTGCATTGCTGGTTGGGTGGAAAGGGACAAGGGGGAGAGGGAGGCACAAGGTGGGAGGGAGAGGCACAGGTGGGTGGGGAGGATGGGGGTGGGCGGGAAGAGTCTTAGCGGGGTATGGAGGGCAAAATGTTGAAGAGGGAAATAAAAATCGGGAAAAGGGAGAAATGTTGATCAACATTAGGGAGGGAGAAGAAGATCGGGCCTTGGCGAGTGTGACAAAAAGAGAGAGGAGAGAAGCAGAGCAATGGAGAAGCGGAGAAGGGGCGAAGCAAGCCCACTCACTCGCCAACTTCCCTCCTCCTCTCACGGTCTCACCACACTTCCTCCCTGGTCACCCCCTCCACATCCCACACAACCCCTCCACACTCCCACTTGCTCTAACCTCCCACTCTCTCTCCACCCTCACTCGCTCTAACCTCCCACTCTCTCCACACTCCCACTTCCCCAGCATCCCTCCCATACCCTGAGGATAGAAGGGCCACAATAGCTGCATCCACACCGTCCGATTTCACCAGATCAACGGCTGCGCGCGGGCTGGGGCCCTGAAGAGGCGCATAGGGGAACAGCAGGGAGTACGAGAGAGATGCTGAGGCAGGCAGGTACACTACACACAACAGGAAGGGGGGGTTGTGGACAAGGGGAGTGTGCACCGGGGGAGGTGCACACAGGTGGTGGGTGTGCACACAGGTGGTGGGTGTGCACACAGGTGGCGGGTGTGCACACAGGTGGTGGGTGTGCACACAGGTGGTGGGTGTGCACACAGGTGGTGGGTGTGCACACAGGTGGTGGGTGTGCACACAGGTGGTGGGTGTGCACACAGGTGGTGGGTGTGCACACAGGTGGTGGGTGTGCACACAGGTGGTGGGTGTGCACACAGGTGGTGGGTGTGCACACAGGTGGTGGGTGTGCACACAGGTGGTGGGTGTGCACACAGGTGGTGGGTGTGCACATGGGGAGAGGAGCCACAGAGTGACCCGAGAGTGACTTGCGGGGGAGCCCATGCCACGGCAAGCCCATCCCCCGCCCAGCTGCCTTTATGAAAGCAGTGGCAGGCAGCAGCAAGCAGGGCGCGAGTGAGGACGGGCAGCGCGCCCTGATGTAACGTCTGTGCAAGGGAGCTGTGTGAGAGCTCTTTTGAGGCGCCTCTTGAGGCGACTTTTGAGGCGCCTCAAAAGACAGCAAGCAGGGCGCGAGTGAGGACGGGCAGCGCGCCCTGATGTAACGTCTGTGCAAGGGAGCTGTGTGAGAGCTCTTTTGAGGCGCCTCTTGAGGCGACTTTTGAGGCGCCTCAAAAGACAGCAAGCAGGGCGCGAGTGAGGACGGGCAGCGCGCCCTGATGTAACGTCTGTGCAAGGGAGCTGTGTGAGAGCTGCGAGGGAGTTGCGAGCAATCAGCCATCCCCACAACAACAGCTACTGGAACAGACTCCCATCCCACTGCCCACCCACCTTGATGAGAGAGGAGAGCGCCCACGCCACTGTCTTGGCCAGCGATGCCATCACTGCTGGCGCCTGTGCTGTCGTCAACCAACCAGCGCCCTCCACTTCTGCCCCCAGAGGCACCGCCTGTGGCGCTGGCAGCAGCGATCAGGAGGCGAGTGAGGGTGGGGTGGGCAGGGCGGCCTGGTCCAGTCCAGCAGCTGTGCGGGAGAACATAATGAGCCCATCGCACCGAGTCGAGTACCCACCTTGATGAGAGACGAGAGCGCCCACGCCACTGCCGTAGCCAGCGATGCCATAGCTGCTGGCGCCTGCGCTGTTAACCAGCGGACCCCCGTGTTGCCCCCAGCAGCAGTGATGGCAGCAGCAGCAGCAGCAGCGAGCAGCAGGCGGGTGAGGGCGGGCGAGGGCGGGCGGGCAGGGCAACCTGATCCAGCCAGCAGCCGTGCGAGACAAGAACTGGTAAGGTTGGTGTTCCACAGGTCAACCATCCCACATTCCCACTCACCTTGATGAGGGAGGAGAGCGCCCATACCACCGTCTTGGCCAGCGATGCCATGGCAGATGGTGCCTATACAGTGCGCCCCCGTACTGCCCCCAGCTGTAAGAGGGGTACAGGTGAGCCCACCCACCCACCCCACCTTGATGAGGGAGGAGAGCGCCCACGCCACCGTCTTGGCCAGCGATGCCATGGCAGAGGGCGCCTGTGCTGTCAACCAGCGGGCCCCCGTGCTGCCCCCCCCAGAGGCAGCAGCGAGCAGCAGGCGAGTGAGGTCGGGGAGAGCTCCTTGATCCAGCAGCTGTGCTCTCAGGGCGTCTGCTTCCGCTGCTATGTTGCCCACCCGCACACCCACTGCCCACTGACCTTAATAAGGGATGACAGTGCCCACGCCACTGTCTTTGCCAGGGATGCCATGGCAGAGGGTGCCTGTGCCGTTAACCACCGCGCCCCTGTGTTGCCCCCAGAGGCAGCGGCGAGCAGCAGGCGAGTGAGGGCGGGGAGCGCGCCTTGGTCCAGAAGCTGTGAGAGAGAGGTACGGGTAAGCCCATCCCACCGCCCACCCACTCACCCAACGCCCTACTCAGCACGCACCTTGATGAGGGACGATAGCGCCCACGCCACTGTCTTTGCCAGAGATGCCATGGCAGAGGGTGCCTGTGCCGTTAACCACCGAGCCCCCGTGCTGCCCGCAGTGGCAGTAGTAGCAGCAGCGAGCAGGAGGCGAGTGAGGGCGGGCAGGGCGCCCTGATCCAGCAGCTGGGCTCGCAGGTCGTCTGCCTCCGCTGCTATGTTGCCCACCGCCCACACACACTGCTCCGCTATTGCGGGTGACGGGGAGTCTGAAAGAGGGAGACGGAGAGGGGTGGGGTGGGGGAGAGGGAGGCGAACGAGAGAGAAGGGAGAAGGGAGGAAGAGAGGAAGGTCTTTCGTATCCGCTGCTATGTTGACCACGGCCCGGGCAGGGTGAAAAAACCTGTTGCTAATGCGCGAGTGGGCGGGAGTGTAAGTGAGGGAGGGAGTGAGTGAGGGAATGAGAATGAGTGAGTGATCGAGCGAGTGGTACCATACCAGTGCAGTGGGCAATGAGCAGAGCAGCACAGGGCAGCACTGCACGCGTCTCCTCCGCCTCCCCCGATGCTATGTTGGTCACACACCACGCGGCTTCCAGTAGCTGGTGGGACAGGGGGGTGGGGGAGACCGAGGTGATGGGGGAAAGTGACGGATGGGGGGAGATGGATGGGGAAAGTCAAGAGTCTCCTCCGCCTCCCCCGATGCTATGTTGGTCACACACCACGCGGCTTCCAGCAGCTGGTAGAAAAGAAGGGGAAGGGGCGAGATCAGTAGAAAAGAAGAGGAGGTCGGGTCGGGGGGCAGATGGATGGGGAGAATCAAAAGTCTACTGAATTCGCCTCCCCCGATGCTATGTTGGTCACACACCACGCGGATTCCAGTAGCTGGTTTGAAGGGGGAAAGGGGTTGAAACGTGGAGGGGACAGAGTGGAGAACACCGGGGTCAAGTCAAGTCAACGCTGGTCACACACACACATCACGCTGCTGCCTCCAGTATCTGGTCGGCAGGAAAGGGAGGGGACACAGTGGACAACAACACCTGCTTTCCCCCTCCCCTTTCCCCTCCACCTGCTTTCCCCCTCCCCTTTCCCCTCCACCTGCTTCCCCCCTCCCCTTTCCCCTCCACCTGCTTTTCCCCCCCCCTTTTCCCTCCACCTGCTTTCCCCCCCCCCCTTTCCCCTCCACCTGCTTTTCCCCTCCCCCCCTCTTTCCCCACCTGCTCCGCTCCCCGCTCAAACCCACCTGCTCCTCTGGAGCTCCGAACGCCAGGCACTGTGCCTGCAGGGGCACGCCCTCCGAGCCACATCACGCCAACCCCAACCTGTCCCACCCACCCATTCCCCTGCTCATCCCTCCCCACACCTGCTCCCCTCCCCCCATTCCCCGCCCCACCTGCTCCTCCGGCCCTGCTTCACCCTTCCCTCTACTTGCTCCCTCCCCCCCACTCCCTCCTCACCTGCTCCTCCGGGGCTCCAAACGCCAGGCACTCCGCCAGCAGAGGCACGGCCCCACAGCGCACGGCAGTGCCAAGTGGCGGGCTGTGATTGGCCGAGAGCAGCTCACGCAGCGCCTTGAGCGCCGCCACCCGCTCCTGCTGCACGGCTGCCCCGCCTGCTCTGGCGGCGCTGGGGTTGGGAGGATGGGGATGGGTATGGGGGGCGTGAGGGGAGGGGACAAGAGGAAGGATTGGGGTGAGACGTGGGTGGAGGCTGGCACGGGGCACAATCCCTTGCGCGCTGCCACCCTCTCGTGCTGCCACCCTCAAGGGATTGTACCCCTCACATGCACGGGGCACAATCCCTTGCGCGCTGCCACCCTCTCGTGCTGCCACCCTCAAGGGATTGTACCCCTCACATGCACGGGGCACAATCCCTTGCGCGCTGCCACCCTCTCGTGCTGCCACCCTCAAGGGATTGTACCCCTCACATGCACGGGGCACAATCCCTTGCGCGCTGCCACCCTCTCGTGCTGCCACCCTCAAGGGATTGTACCCCTCACATGCACGGGGCACAATCCCTTGCGCGCTGCCACCCTCTCGTGCTGCACGGCTGCCCCGCTTGCTCTGTTGGTGCTGCGAGTGGGCAAGGGGATGGGTATGGGGATGGGTATGGGGATGGGTATGGGGATGGGTATGGGGATGGGTATGGGGATGGGTATGGGGATGGGTATGGGGATGGGTATGGGGATGGGTATGGGGATGGGTATGGGGATGGGTATGGGGATGAGTATGGGGATGGGTATGGGGATGGGTATGGGGATGGGTATGGGGATGGGTATGGGGATGGGTATGGGGATGGGTATGGGGATGGGTATGGGGATGGGTATGGGGATGGGTATGGGGATGGGTATGGGGATGGGTATGGGCAATGTGGATGGGGATGGGTATGGGGATGGGTATGGGGATGGGTATGGGCAATGTGGATGGGGATGGGTATGGGCAATGTGGATGGGGGCGAGAAAAGATTGGAAAGAGAGAGGTGGGAGACGCCTTGCAAATCAGCTCAAGAGCCACCCTCTCCTGCTGCACGGTCCACCTGAACCTCCTGCTCTGGTGCTGCTGCGCTTTGACACAGGCACGGGCACGGGAGTGTAAGTGGGGATGAAAGAGGACAGGAGCAGGATGGCCATCGGCGTGGAAGAGACGACAGTGTGGGCTGGCACAATCGCTTGAATGCTGTCAAGCGTTTGTGCTGCATGAGGACACGGATAGGGATGGGAGAGCGCAGGCGGGGGCGCAGGTGGGGGCGCAAGTGAGGGCGGAGGTGGAGGTACAGGTGAGGCCGCCGGTGAAAACCAGAATAATCGATACATGTGTCAAGCACGCTCTCCTCTCTCTCTCCACATTCAACAATTAGCCCTCCCTCTCTCCCCCACTTCCTTCCTCCCTCCCCCACTCCCTTCCTCCCTCTCTCACTCCCTTCCTCCCTCTCTCACTCCCTTCCTCCCTCTCTCACTCCCTTCCTCCCTCCCAGAGCAACCCACCCTTCAAACGTGCCCTTGAGCCTCTTAACCGCCTCTTCCACTCGCCCCTCCTCCTCCACCCGCCTCCTCTCCTCCTCCTCCTCGCCCTCTCCCTCCCTCCCCTCCACCTCCATCCCCCCCTCCAATTCCCCTAACCCTTCCCCCAAGGCAATCCCCTCCCCCCGCCGCATCCGCTTAGCGCGCACCAGCGCCCCACGCCTGTCCTTGGATATAGCTGCTACCACTCCCCGCCTTTTTGCTGCTGCTGCCGCCGTGGCTGGGACAGCGGGGGGGGGACAGAAGTGGGGATGGGAGAGGGCAAATCAGGAGCACCCGTTTAACACGCACCAGCGCCCCCCGCCTGTCCTTTGATATAGCTGCTACCACACCACTCCCCTCCTCCGTGCTGCTGCTGCTGCTGCTGCCGTGGCTGGCACCGACAAGAAGGGGGGGGAGGAGGGGGGGAGTAGAAGGAGGGTTGGGGGGTAACGGAAGTGGGGTTGGTTTGGGAGGGAAGAATCAATGGCATCCTTTTAGCGCACGCGCACCAGCCCCACCCCCTCCTGTCCTTGGATATAGCTGCCACCACGCCCCCCCGTCTTGCTGTTGATGCCGCCGTGGCTGAGGTGGGGTGGAAAGAGAGGGCAGACGGGTTGTTGACAGAGAGGAACCGGCGGCAGCAACAGCAAGACGGCTGAGGAGGGAGTGGGGTTAAAAAGAGGTAGTCCATCCATGCGCACAATCCCTTGCTTTGAATAAAAAGAATCAAAAGAATAAAAGAATCAAAATAACAAAACAATCGAAAGAATAAAAGAATGTAAAGAATCACAATCCGTCGGGAGACGAGCAGTTGCGAGGGAAAAAAGAGAGGAAAAAAAAGCGAAGGCTTCTGAAAAGAACCCGCGGCAAGGGAAGGTGGGGGGGAAAGGGGGGGAAGAGGGGAGACAGCGGGGAGCGGAGAGAGAGGAGGGAGGCGACGTGTGGGAGGGACTGCTGTGGCTGGTGGGACCCATGGGGGAGCTGGGGGAAACGGTGAGAGCGGGGAAATAAATGAGGCCTGGTGGGAGCCATGGGGGACCTAGAGGAAACTGGGAACGCGACTTATAAGGCGCCTCAGAAGTTGCATCTGCTGTGGCGGTGCGAGCCATGGGGGACGCGGAAGATGAACATGGAGAGAGGGGAATTGACTGAGGTCGACGGAGAGCGAGCCGCCGTGAAAGTGTCGAGGTGGAAGCGTCGTTGCGTCGTACCGGACTGCTTGAAAAGATCGCGCCGACTCGCATGACCGTGGAGATGCGTCTGCGACGGCGACGGCGGCCCGTGCGACTGCATGGCGAAAGAGTGATGCGATGATTTCTACTCAGGTTGAAAAAGCGTCGCCTAACGTACAGGACGACTGAGGTCAGCGCACTGGGAATCTAAACACAAGACTTATAGACACAAATCGCGTCCAGTAGCATTTGTTCTCCCGTATCGCCTCTTCTACTCCGCCTCGTCTCATGTGTCGCTGTTTTGGAGTTTCCAAGATTCTCTGGTGTTGCTGTTTTGGAGGCTTGGCGGCCAGCTGCACTTGGATGCCCCCATGAAGTGATTCTTTATTCTGTATAGAAACGAACATGCGTAACGTGTACAACATGATCCGGAAATCACATATTCTTGAAGAAAATTTTGTAGTTCAGGCGAATCTCAATCATTGTTACGTAAAGTGAATTCTCTGAATCTGAATGAAGTTAAAATTTACCAGTAAATTTCAAATTTATGAATGGTTTAATTACATATTCTGATGATTCGTATTCCATAAAGGCACATGCTAACATAAGGATCTGAAAATCCGTGTAAAAAGGGTTCGGCAACTATTTGATCTACAGTATTTGGCTGACGTGTCACGGCTCGTTGCATAACTCTAGCAGAACAGCGCCAATGATTCGCAAACCCGAGTGCACAGTTTGGATATTGCCACCACGAGACTGAGTTTTAAAGCCCAAGACCTGAATTACAAAAAAAAAATGGCAAACTGTGCACAGTTTGCCTACCGAACCCACAGTTGACCTCCCGAGCCAGGCTGGTAACCAGAAAACGTCGCGCCACAAAATGACTTCCCCCCACCGTCTCCCACGCTTCCCCCCACCGTCGCCCACGTTTCCCCCCACCCTCGCCCACGCTTCCCCCCACCATCGCCCACGTTTCCCCCCACCCTCTCATCCGCCCTTCATCTCATCCTCCCGTCCTCACATCCTCGTTTCCTCTCATCCTCCCGTCCTCTCATCCTCCTTTCCTCTCATCCTCCTTTCCTCTCATCCTCCCTTCCTCTCATCCTCCCTTCGTCTCATCTTCCTTTCCTCTCACCCACCCTTCCTATCACCCACTCTTCCTCTCATCCCCCCATCCGCCCCACCGTCGCCCACGCTTCCCCCCACCCTCGCCCACGCTTCCCCTAGACGGGACAGGGGAGTGGGGGAGGCGGGGCAGGGGGGGCAGGGGAGGCGGGGGGGTAGGGAGAGAGGGTGCAGGGATCCTCCTATCCCCTGTTCCACCCCCTGCCACACTTTCTCCTCCTGCCCTCCTCCCTTCCTCCGCATTCATACCCCTTCCTCCCTTTCTCCATCTCTCGCGTTGCGCTTTTTCTCCCCGCTGATATCTCTTCCCTTCCCATCGCGTTTGCGTCATCGTCGGTGGCAAGTACCGTCCGCCCTTCCACTCTCCATTCAGCCCTTTCTCCAAGCCTCTCTCCACCCTACCACTCTCCCACCCACTCTGTCTTTCATCCTCCTGCCCCTCCACCCTGCCGCCCTTTTTTTCAAGCTGCCACTTTCCGATCTTCCTGTCGGCCGCCTTTTCTGTCCGACCCACTTGCTACACCCTACTTGATTTCCTCACATCCTCCCATCCCCCCTTTCCCTTCCACGCCTGTACACTCCTCGCCTGTTTGTATATTCAAGGGGATTGCCCTTCGATTGTCATTGTTTCGTACAGTCCTTCCCAGCTGCTTCAACATACCGGTACCATATGACACATCAAATTTCATGGTTGATGATTAGTGGTATGACAAATAGGTAACCATGCCATGTATTGATGTTTATGCGTCTCATATTAAAACACTGTCGGCTTCAGAGCAGGGTTGCACATGGCCACAAAAAAGAAGTGGAACAAAGCATATAAAAGTTGTCAACAGTGGACTATAGGCACAATGCACAAAGCTAGGAGGTGGTAACTTTTCATCACATTAACTCATGGTGGTGGGCACCTGTCCAAGCATGGTTCTGTGATAGAACGGGGATGGAAGAGGGGGTATGGCAGATAAGCGAGGGTTGGATGTGGACGGGGCAGAGGGGTGAGAAAAAAAGGGGAAAGAGAGTGAAGACGGATGGGGGAGAAGAGAGTGAGGGGGTTGGGAAGAGAGTGTGCAGTGCGCAGGGGAGAAGAGAGTGTGGGGGGTGGGAAGAGAGTGTGCAGTGCGACGGGCGGGAAGAGAGTGAGGGGGGTGGGAAGAGAGTGTGCAGTGCGTAGGGGGGAAGAGAGTAAGGGGGGTTGGGAAGAGAGTGTGCTGCGCAGGGGGGAAGAGAGTGAGGGGGGTGGGAAGAGAGTGTGCAGTGCGCAGGGGAGAAGAGAGTGTGGGGGGTGGGAAGAGAGTGTGCAGTGCGACGGGCGGAAAGAGAGTGAGGGGGGTGGGAAGAGAGTGTGCAGTGCGTAGGGGGATGGGAAGAGAGTGTGCAGTGCGCAGGGGGGAAGAGAGTGAGGGGGGTGGGAAGAGAGTGTGCAGTGCGACGGGCGGGAAGAGAGTGAGGGGGGTGGGAAGAGAGTGTGCAGTGCGTAGGGGGGAAGAGAGTAAGGGGGGTGGGAAGAGAGTGTGCAGTGCGCAGGGGGGAAGAGAGTGAGGGGGGTGGGAAGAGAGTGTGCAGTGCGCAGGGGAGAAGAGAGTGTGGGGGGTGGGAAGAGAGTGTGCAGTGCGCAGGGGAGAAGAGAGTGTGGGGGGTGGAAAGAGAGTGTGCAGTGCGCAGGGGGGAAGAGAGTGAGGGGGGTGGGAAGAGAGTGTGCAGTGCGCAGGGGGGAAGAGAGTGAGCAGGGGGGAGGGGAGTGAGCAGGAGAGAAGAGATTGCGGGTGGGCAAGCGAGTGAGCGAGGGGGAGAGCGTGAGATGGAGAGAGTGAACGGCAATGGGAGGGGTAGTGGTGGCGACGGGCGGGAAGCGAGTGCGACGGGCGGGGGAAGCGAGTGCGACGGGCGGGGGAAGCGCGGGCGGGGAAGCGAGTGCGACTGGCGGGAAGCGAGTGCGACGGGCGGGGGAAGCGAGTGCGACGGGCGGGGGAAGCGAGAGCGACGGGCGGGGGAAGCGCGGGCCGGGAAGCGAGTGCGACGGGCGGGGAAGCGAGTGCGACGGGCGGGGAAGCGAGTGCGACGGGCGGGGGAAGCGAGTGCGACGGGCAGGGGAAGCGAGTGCGACGGGCGGGGGAAGCGAGAGCGATGGGTAGAGGAAGGGAAGGCGACGGGCGGGAGAAGCGAAGGCGACGGGCGGGAAAGGCGACGGGAGGGGGAATGTTGCGCGACGGGGTGGGGGGAAGTGAAGGCGACGGGGGGAGGGGAAGTGAAGGTGACGGGGGAGGGGAAGTGAAGGCGACAGGCGTGGAAAGCGAAGGCGACGGGCTGGGGTCCAGAAGGCATCGGGCTGGGGTCTTGGAGGCGCCATCCCACGCGGCTGCGATGGCGAAAGAGATCGGAAGCGTGGGACCTAGGGTAAGCGAGGGCGAGGAGAGAGGTTTACGCTTGGGCGAAGGGTCACGGTACGATATTCGCCGAGAGTTTACGCATCAGTTGCACCCTAAACCTGCATTTCGACACGAGCGAACACTATCTTTGTGCGTCGTCATCGAGATCCGCGTTACCCACATTCGTAAGCCGCCTCTGATTCCTCGCTATGTCTACAGGTATGCTATATGCCTAGTTATCTGCGTGCTATCCCAAACTGTGCACAGTTTGGGATGGACGCCCTTTTCTGGTTGTTGTGTGAGGGACCCCACCCATCACTCGAATTCTTGTACGCGACGGACTTTTGTCGCAATTTGGTTTCGCGAGTGAAAGTGGTTCGCACCCCAACCGAACCTCCGTCTGCCTGCCTTCCGAACCTAATTTTTCCCGTTGACTTCCGTTGAGTAATTCAGGTCTTGGGCTTTAACAAAGCATCGAGCCGCAATGAGCGGTGAAAGCCAAAGTATACAGCGAGATCCAGTCGGAACAGAGCCTCGCACATCCGCCAAGCTATTCAAGTTTCAAATGTTCGAAACCGCAATTTTCTGTATTTTCTGCTTTTGTCCTCGGCGTTGTTTGCATCAATTTCGCGCCATTTGCCAGCACCACTCTTCCCCCCCTCCTGCCAAGGGCAATCGTCACCCGCACGAGTATTTGCCATTCCAGCAATGCAAATCCTCTCGACTCTCGCCTCAAATTTCCATGCTGGGGCTTCCTTTGCATTCATCAGCTTCACCCGTTGAGCTTGAAAAAAGTCGCTGGCCTCCAGGTGAGGAAAGAAGTAGGGGCATTGGATGCACAGGACGATGACTTCCTGGCATTTCTAGACTGCTTCTTCCAGAGTAAAAAAGTTGCGTCGTCAGATTTTAGTAGGCGCGTTTAACAAGTTTTGATTCGCCCCGCTAACGAAACGACTCCATTTTCAAGAATGAACGGCGCCGCGGATGGAGCGTGCTCGCTGCAGTTCGACGCGGCGACGGCGACGGAGTTCCTGCGGCTGCAGCGCGTGCTGATGCGGCAGGACGCGAGCCGCGCCACGAACGCCGACACGCTGTCGTGGCTCTTCGACGCCGCCAAGGCGCAAATCGACGAGCTGGCGTGGCGGGACGGCAAGCGCATCCGAATGACGACGGATATTCGTAAGCGCGTTCACCGTCGCATCAGCGCATTCACCGTGACTTTTAAGTCGAATCGAAAGGACGGCAAGTGCATCCGAATGATGACCAATAAGCGTGTTCGACCGAGGTGACTCAGTAATTTAAAAAAGTACTTTAACTAATCTAGGCCTTTTACCGTCTCACAAAGCCAAGAACCTCTCTTGAATCAGCGAAACTTGTCGCGCTCTCCCGTTCGACGTTTTTGTTTATCCCTCATTTCTAAAGCTTCATTTTCAACCGTTGGAGGGTAACCGGTTCTGAAAACTTCGTCCCCGTTCGCGAATCTTCGTATACTTTAGAAGGAATGAGAACCACTCTTCAGCCCTGGCAGGGTCCGCCCTCCGCCATTCACGCGACATCTATACGCGCATTCAGTGTTGAAGAGTTCCTTTTACCCCACAACTACCTGCTTTACCATCTTGTCCCCACGTTCGTTTCGTTTCGATCCCCACTTATTGCCCCATCCCCACGTCGTATCGCCCCATCCCCGCAGCTGACATTGCGGACATTCTCCCCGCGCCCATCTGGCACATCATCTTCCGCCTCCTGCTGCTGCCGCCCGCCCGCCCCGACGAACCCGCCGACGCCGCCGCCGCCGCCGCCGCCGCCGCCGCAGCAGCAGCAGCAAGAGCAGCGGCGGCAGCAGGCACCGGCGCCGCGAGGAGGAGCCACGCCAACCACCGCCGTGCCACGTCGAAGCAGCAGCGTCGGCAGCAGCGGCAGCAGCAGCAGCAGGCGAGGCTACAGCAGCAGCTGCAGCTGCAGCAGCAGTTGGCGCAGCAGCAGGCGCGGCAGCAGCAGCAGGCGCGGCAGCAGCAGCAGGCGGAGAGGCGGGGCGCGGTGGTACTGAGGGACGCGCGGAGCACAGCGGGCGAGCAGCAGCGCAGCAACGCGGCGAGCTACGGCCCCTCGTGGGCGCTGCTGTGCTGCGCGCTCGCCAGCAGGAGGCTGCTGCTCCACGTCCTCTCCTTCTCCGTGAGTACCATCCTCTCGCTCTCCACACCCTCCCTCCCTCCCTCCCTCCCTCCCTCCCTCCCTCCCTCCCTCCCTCCCTCCCTCCCTCCCTCCCTCCCTCCCTCCTTCCCGCGGCTGCTCCACGTCCTCTCCTGCTCGACCGATGCTCTGTCTGCTTTTCTTCTGCTGCTATCTGTTGCTATCTGCTGCTCTCCTGTTGCCTTACCAGCGTTTTCCTCCACTGTTCCGAAGTTCGCCGCCGTAGCTCCTTGAATTCCTCAATCGCTGAACCAGCTGCGCGTTGAATTGCTGCTCACGCGTTGCGTTGCTGGAGTGACACGTCTCTCTTGTCTCCCTCGCTCTAGATTCCTCTCTAATATTGAGCTGCCCCAAAATCTTGACTGACCTGAGTGTTGAAGCCGTTGTGCATTGATCTTCTGCCCAGACGTTATGTCTCTCTTTGTTCTCTCACCTCACAGGCCTTCTCTCCCTTTCCGAGCCCCTCCCCATCCCCTCATCCTCCCTCCTCCCCATTCCCCCTCCTGCTCGACCCTTCCCATTTCCCCAACCTCACCCGCCCCCTCCTCGCAGGCAAGCCAGCCTACCGCCCTGGCAATCAGCCAGCAGCACCCCGAGTGGAGCAAGAGCGTGCTGTACCTCCTCCGGTGGTGTCAGCACCACCACCTCTCCCTCTCCGTGCCCTCCCTTCCATTCCCTTTCCCGTTTTTCTGCAGGCCAATGAGCCCACCGCCCTGGCATTCAGCCAGCAGCACCCCGAGTGGAGCAAGAGCGTGCTCTACCTCCTCCGGTGGCCGCACCACCACCTCTCCCTCTCCTTCACCGCCCCTACCCAACTCCGCTCCCTCGCCCCCCACATCGCATGCTCCTGCCGCAAGCTCTCCTCCCTCTCCCTCAAACTGCGCGGCACGGTGGACGGGGAAGAGGAGCACGAGCACGCATACTGGTCCCTTAGTTTTCTCAAAGACTGCTCGCAGCTGCAGCAGCTGAAGCTGGGCCGCGGCAGGTGGGATCTCACCAGCCTATGCGCTGACGCCACGTGGGCGAAATCCATCCAATCTCTCACCATCAAGCATGTGGATTGGAGCAGCCTGAACGTCGAAGTCCTCAAGCGAATCACCCCGCAGCTCTTAGAGTTCACGCTCTATGAGCCGCAGCCCCATTTCGGCGGCTGTTCGGCAGCCTCTCGCTACCACAGCCTCTCCTTCTCATTCTACGTCGCCCGCCTCCTCCGCTTCCGCTTCCCCCACTGCGATCTCAAGCCCACCCTCACCGTCTCCCCCACGCTCAAGACTCTCTCAGTGATCGCCAAACGGCTGGTCCTCTCCTGCAAGAGCATCGCCCCTCTCGATCTCGACCACCTCTCGCTGTACGGCCAGGATCGTCTGGTTATCCCCTCCCTCCGCCTCGCATCGGCACGAGTGGCCTACCTCAACGGCCCTGCGACCGATGAGTTCTCCTCCCTCTCATCCTTCCCTTATCTTCGCTACTCCGAGCAGCTGCCTCTATACCTGCGGCTCCCCCTTTCCCGGAGCAGAAATTCCTTTTCTTGGAGCACGTGGCTGCGTGCGATTGCGCCTAAAGTGGAGGTGCTTATAGTGAGGCACGGGGTGCCTATAGAGAGGGTGAAGGCGGTGTGGCGGAGCCTGCGCAAGCCTTGGGATTGTCGTGGGCGGCAAGGTTTGTCACGACCCGGACTGGGAGGCTGCGGTGGATAGGTGCGATGAGTACGGAGGCGGTGAGGAGGAGTGCTTGCAGCAGCAGCAACAAGCACTCCTGCCTCCGGTTATCAACGCTCCAAATCTCAAATCCATTTTCTTCCCCACTCGCAGGCCCTATGACTCGCGCGTCCTTGCTCGCCTGCGCATGAGCTTCCCTTCCCTGGCGCTTTTCTGTGTTATCGACCGCTCGTACTACTGGGAGAGGAAGGGGATGAGGGTGATGGGCGGGCCTGTGGTGCACGTGAGGCAGGAGAAGAGTGGCGTGCTAAGGTGTCGGTTTGATGAGAAGAAACGTGCGAAGAATGTGAGGGAGAAGATGCACAGTGTGAATGGGGGGCTGGTGGAGGGATACATTGGGGAGGAGGACGAACGGCATATCCTGAAGTACGAAGGCCGATCCTAGTGGCGTGCTGCGGTGACTCTTTGATGAGAAGAGGCATGCAAATAAGATGCACAGTGTGAATGGGGGGCTGGTGGAGGGATACGTTGGGGAGGAGGATGAGCGGCATATCCTGAAGTATCAAGGGAGAAGTTAGCGGCGCATGCTGTTTCTGAGTTTGGTGTGCATTTGATGTTTATGATGTCTGAGTTTGGTGTGCATTTGATACGGTATTTATGATGTCTGAGTTTGGTGTGCATTTGATACGGTATTTATGATGTCTGAGTTTGGTGTGCATTTGATACGGTATTTATGATGTCTGAGTTTGGTGTGCATTTGATACGGTATTTATGATGTCTGAGTTTGGTGTGCATTTGATACGGTATTTATGATGTCTGAGTTTGGTGTGCATTTGATACGGTATTTATGATGTCTGAGTTTGGTGTGCATTTGATACTGTATTTATGATGTCTGAGTTTGGTGTGCAGCACATTTTATGTTTATGATGCTTCATGGGGGTGGAATGGGATGTGGTTGGAATGGTGCAGCAGAAGCACTGTAAAATGCTAAATTATTATTTCACCTTGTTTGTTTGTTCCGTCCGACAGCAAATGCTTGAAGGCTGCAATTTCTATGATACAGGAAGAACACGTAGAAGTGCAGAAGCCAAATGTGTACTGAAAAAGGCTCGAGCCAAACCATTTTACACATGGACCACCACACCACAAGCATGTCATAGCTGCTGCTCACCCTTTCAGCAGGTCATAGCTGCTGCTCACCCTTTCAGCAGGTCATAGCTGCTCACCCTTTCAGCAGGCATCCAACTCATCACTTCACAACCACAGGTTAGCCTATGGGGTATTGCAGCTACTCCAGTGTCAAACCAGAACTTTGAATGTGCATAACGTAAACGTGACTTGCTTCAGCCAGAACTGCTTACAACACCTTCCACAACTGGCCACCACCATCAAGCAAACACAAACATCATCGCACGAGACGAGAGGAGAGGAGAGCAAACCCCGAATCATTGCATTGCAGGCTCCTTTCAGAGTCTTGTCACAATCGGCCTACTTCTTCTTTGACCGCCTTGGGGGTTTAGGCAGCCCCAACCCAACTGCGAGTGATGAGCCGATTTTTGAGTCGACTCATTGCACGAGAGGAAAGCAAACGAATCATTGCACAATCGGCCTACATCTTCTTTGACCGCCTTGGGGGTTTAGGCAGCCCCAACTGCCCCCACTCTGCCAGCACCACATCCCGCTCCTGCTTCAACTCCGCTGCTGCCCCCGCATCCCCCTGCGCCTCACACGTCTTGATCAGAATCATGTACGCCGCATCATACGGCCCCGCCCGTGCCTCCCTCATCCTTCCCAGCACCTCCCGGCCGCTCCTGTGGTCCCCGGAGCGGCAGTGAGCGGCGAGCAGCGCAGTGTAGGTGGGCGAGCAGGGAGGCATGCCGTCCTCCTCCTGTGTGGCCCGGAAGAGCGCCTGTGCGTCCGTAATGCGGCCGGCCAGCCCCAGGCAGTTGATCATGCGCGCACAGAGGTCTGCGTCGGGCTTGTACCAGTGCTCCGTGCGCACGTGCTCAAACACCTGAGAGACATGCAAATGCAGGTGGCATCGGGGGTTGTTTTGAGACGTCTCAAAAGTTGGCATGGGGGGTTGTTAGTAGCAGACAGGTGGGCTGCGTAGGGAGGCACGTGCTCAAGCACCTGAGAGAAATGCAAATGCAGGTGGCATGGGGGGTGGGAGGTGGGAAAGCAATACGGAGCGGCAGTGAGCGGCGAGCAGCGCAGTGTAGGTGGGCGAGCAGGGGGGCATTCATCCTTACCAGCGCTCCCTGCGCACGTGCTCAAGCACCTGAGAGACATGCAAATGCAGGTGGCATCGGGGGTTGTTTTGAGACGTCTCAAAAGTTGGCATGGGGGGTTGTTAGTAGCAGACAGGTGGGCTGCGTAGGGAGGCACGTGCTCAAGCACCTGAGAGAAATGCAAATGCCGGTGGCATGGGGGGTGGGAGGGAGAGATGCGGACGCAGGGAGATGTTTACTTTGAATGGAGGGAGTCGTAAGTAGGAGCTGTGTGGGGGAGGCTTTGGCGGAGGGACGTGAGGGAGGGAGGGTTGGAGGAGCGGAAGAGGGGTTTATGGGCTTAACAGCTGTAGAAAAGGCCAGAGCAGAACGAAACACAGGAGAAACGAGCACATGGAGAAACGAGCACATGGAGAGAGAAGATGAAATATGGACCCACAACGAGAACTCACTACGTAAAAGCTTGCGCTGAAAAAACCCTCCCCACATACACCAAAACCCTCCCCACATGCACCAAAACCCTCCCCACATGCACCAAAACCCTCCCCACACACACCAAACCCCTCCCCACACACACCAAAACCCTCCCCACACACACCAAAACCCTCCCCACACACACCAAAACCCTCCCCACACACACCAAAACCCTCCCCACACACACCAAAACCCTCCCCACACACACCAAAACCCTCCCCACACACACCAAACCCCTCCCCACACACACCAAACCCCTCCCCACACACACCAAACCCCTCCCCACACACACCAAACCCCTCCCCACACACACCAAAACCCTCCCCACACACACCAAAACCCTCCCCACACACACCAAAACCCTCCCCACACACACCAAACCCCTCCCCACACACACCAAACCCCTCCCCACACACACCAAACCCCTCCCCACACACACCAAAACCCTCCCCACACACACCAAACCCCTCCCCACACACACCAAACCCCTCCCCACACACACCAAACCCCTCCCCACACACACCAAACCCCTCCCCACACACACCAAAACCCTCCCCACACACACCAAAACCCTCCCCACACACACCAAAACCCTCCCCACACACACCAAACCCCTCCCCACACACACCAAACCCCTCCCCACACACACCAAACCCCTCCCCACACACACCAAAACCCTCCCCACACACACCAAAACCCTCCCCACACACACCAAAACCCTCCCCACACACACCAAAACCCTCCCCACACACACCAAAACCCTCCCCACACACACCAAAACCCTCCCCACACACACCAAAACCCTCCCCACACACACCAAACCCCTCCCCACACACACCAAACCCCTCCCAAACCACACTCCGCCATACTCCCAACGCTTCCAGGTACCACCCACCCACCCGTTCCTACTGTTCAGAAATATATCTTTCACCCCCTCACCGTCACCTCTCTCACTCTCTTTCTCACTCTCGTTCTCACCCGCGCGGCCAGGCGCCACTGCTGCTGGCGCTGCAGCTCCTGCAGGGCCAGCAGCATGTCGGGCTTCACCAGCCGCGCCACCTTGCTGCGCATCACCGCCTCCACGCGCGGCCCGCACACCCACCGCTTCCCCGCGCCCGCGCCCGCGCCCGCGCTCCCTGCCTGGGGTGAGGTATCAGCGCGGCTGGTCAAACCGACCATCTCAAACTCCTCGCTCTCTTCCAGTTCCCCCATTTCCTCCTCCTCCTCTTCCTCCTCCTCCCACCGGCGCTGCTCGTCTCGAGCATCAAGCACGGCGGCCAGTTTCAGCTCTTGAACCGCGTCCACCGCCTCTCCCGCCATGTTACGGCTCCGCCACAAGCTCTCGCGCTTCGACGCGAACAGCAGCGTGTGTGTGGATCGCCGAAATCCTTCATGGCGAAAGATCGGCGGAGAGCGCAGGGTTAGAGTAGCTGGCAAAGGCTTTTGAGTCGACTCAAAAGTTAAAGTAGCTGGCAAAGGCGAAGGCGACAGTCTATTGATGATGTTTGCCGGCGGCGACGGACGCTGCGATGGGCGACAGTCTATTGAGCCAGTAGCAGCGCGACATGATGGCGCGGCACGAGGATGCTGAGCAGCGGCGGAAGGGATGGACACCAAGACACGAGGACCGGGGGGGTTGCGCGGGGTGCTCCGCGGGATGCCTCTGAATATTCTGGAATAATGGCCGGCGATTAGCATGCTGCTGCTTTGGCTCCGACAGCTGGCACTGGATTCCCAGGCTTCTAATGGCTGACAAGTGGCAGCTGCAACGGTCTCATTGGACAGACGATTTTTTAGTAGTTTTGAGGCTCCTCGGAAATTGCTTCTAAATGGCTTTGAAAAATGTCACACGCTTCGGTCATGCAACTGGTGGTTCCGCCGCTAGCAGCTATTACGCGTCGACATGATCTCCTTTCTACCTTGTTGGCTCGCGTCCTAGTGAACTGAACTGCAGATGGCCGTAGCCATTAGTAGAATCCATCGCGTCGCTGTCGTCGAGATTCTAAACTTCGCACACTCAACTCGCACGCCACACACTGCTAGGTCTGTGAGGGAAACGTCGTGTACCCGTTTGAAGGTGTCTCGATTCACGGCAAACCAACTCCGTCGCTGAAATCGTAAAACGCGGCTTCACGTTATCGAGGGAATGGATAGCTTCGAATTTCCGCGAAATACGTAGCACAGCACTGTGCCGTTTCGCGTATCACTGGATTATCAGCTGGGCTCGATGCAGTGGGGCGTGAATCTGAGGTCATCCGCTTGCATCTTACTTTGAAAGGTTCATCTGGTGCGCAACTGTCTAGAGCGGTGAATTCCAGGAACCGCCCTCAAACGTAGCTGACCGTATCGAACTGCGTCAAGCGAACTCTGAACAAAATGGTGTGATCTCTCAACTCGACTCAAGCCGAAGGACGAAGAGTTGGTGAGGCGAGTTCTGATGTAGTTTTTTCTACGTGTAGGACAACGGGCCAGTGCTACACGGGGAAAGTACGAAAGTACGGTCGGCAGCTAGAGTCGAGGAAAGTACGCCTAGTCTAATGACGAGTGCATATGCACGACACGAAAATTATTTAACTACCACCATGTGGATCGGGTGCTCATGATTGTTCAATCGCCATGGCGGCATCGCTGGAGGGTAGTACTGGCGATGGCACGGCCGAGCTGAGAGAGCGCGAGCGACGGGAGACGAAGAGACGGAAGAGCAATGCTGACTCAAAAGGCAAGCACTTCGCGTCTCGGCATCCCGCTTTTCGCGCCATTGCCTTCACGCTCGGAGCGAGAAGCACCTTCCTGCTTAGATGACTCTCGCTGGGATTCCGTGTGAGTAGTAGGTCCTCTCCCATCCACCTCATTCTAAACTGTCCGTCATTCGTTGATTTCGCTCCCGCCTTTCTTCCTCGTCGCGGAGATACGCGTTCAGTGCGAACCTAGTAGCTCATGCAGTATTCATGATTTCAATTTTCGTCCCTTCTACAGATCCCCTCTCAATTCCTAACAATTTCACACCAGCACCAAATTTTCATCGTTTTCTCTGTCGCTCATTTTGCGAAAGAGACTCAAAACATTAGGTCGTTGAATTCCACTGCGTCACCCTCATGATTTGCACCATCAGGCCTTTTTGGCCTGGGTGGGAATTGTTGGGTGCGTCGAGAAGTGCTTGCATGGAAATGCCAGAGCAGATCACTCAAAGATGTCGTTCAAAACAACTTAATTTAGGCCCTTCGCGCGTGCTCCCACCCTCAGGTGGACATGCAGCATCCCACCCATCCCCCCCATCCCACCCATCCCCCCCATCCCACCCATCCCACCCATCCCACCCATCCCACCCCCCCATCCCCCCCATCCCACCCATCCCACCCATCCCACCCATCCCACCCATCCCACCCATCCCACCCATCCCACCCATCCCCCCCATCCCACCCATCCCACCCATCCCACCCATCGCACCCATCCCATCCGCCAGCTCCAACAGTGGGCTGTGATCCCATAGACACGCTGCCGGTTACTCACTTTCCCCCTTCACTTCACTCCCTGCATAATCTCCCTTCCCACTCATCTCACCCATCTCTCCTTCCAGCCGCCACCCCCCGTAACCCCATGGACATGCTACCGGCGTCGCTCTGGCACCGGGTGTTCCGCTGCCTGCTGCTACCGCCCGGCTCCTCGCACCCCGAGAACCCCCTCGTGCAGGGCAGACAAAAGACGCCCTGGTATCTCACCGCCACAACACAGCCCCCAGCGGGCAGAATCCTGCCCGTGAAATTTGTGGACCCTGACTTCACGGCAGTCGGGCAGCACCGGAAGAATGCGAAGAGTTACGGCAGCGGGTGGGCGCTGCTGTGCTGCGCCATGGCCAGCAAGAGGCTCCTCACGCTCGTCCTCTCCTTCTCCGTGAGTGCCTTGCTGCTCTGTCTGTGCTTGACTTGATGTTTGGAAGACCTTGGCTGTGAGTGCTCACCTCGTTTCCTCAACAGACCCGTTGCACTTGGGAATTGCCGCAACCACCACATATCCAGCCCATTTTCAGCCCAATACCCTTCAGTGTGCCTTGTCTGAACTCCAACATGATTTGGGATCTGTATTTGCTAAAACGGGTCCAGACAGTTCAAAAGTGCAACAGCCAATCAAACACCAAAATTTCCATCTCATTCCATCGCTTGTTCCTCTCTGCAGGCCCAGCACCCCATCGCTCTGGTCCTAAAACACTACTTCAACCATCTGCACCCGCAGTGGGAGAGGAACGTCGGCCTCTCTAGGACATGCTTCACACTCTCTCCTCCATTCGCATCCCTCTCCTCTCCACAGGCCCAGCACCCCATCTCCCTGGTCTACAACGATCTGCACCCGCAGTGGGAGAGGAGCGTCACCTCCTTTCAATCACGCTTCAGATCAGGACTGAACAGCCTTTTGACGACTCATTCCCGCATCCCTCTCCGCTCCGCAGGCCCAGCACCCCATCTCCTTGGTATACAACGACCTACACCCGCAGTGTGAGAGGAGCGTTGCCTTCTTCCTGCGCTGGCGCGGCCTCAGGTCCCTCGCCCTCACCTACACGCACATCATGCAGCTCCACACGCTCTGCTCGCAGGCCGAGTGGTGAGGTGACGGAGGAGAAGGGCCACTTGCGATGCGCCTGCGGGTCCGTCGCCCTCACCTACACGCACATCATGCAGCTGCACACGCTCTGCTCCCAGGACCAATGGCAGTTCTCCTTCCTCACCTCTCTCAGCCTCAAGCTGCGCGGCTGTGTGGACTCCGCCCAGCAGTTTGACACAGTGGAGCAGGGCGATAGGGATGAGGTGGAGCAGGGCGATAGGGATGAGGTGGAGCAGGGCGATAGGGATGAGGTGGAGCAGGGCGATAGGGATGAGGTGGAGCAGGGCGATAGGGATGAGGTGGAGCAGGGCGATAGGGATGAGGTGGAGCAGGGCGATAGGGATGAGGTGGAGCAGGGCGATAGGGATGAGGTGGAGCAGGGCGATAGGGATGAGGTGGAGCAGGGCGATAGGGATGAGGTGGAGCAGGGCGATAGGGATGAGGTGGAGCAGGGCGATAGGGATGAGGTGGAGCAGGGCGATAGGGATGAGGTGGAGCAGGGCGATAGGGATGAGGTGGAGCAGGGCGATAGGGATGAGGTGGAGCAGGGCGATAGGGATGAGGTGGAGCAGGGCGATAGGGATGAGGTGGAGCAGGGCGATAGGGATGAGGTGGAGCAGGGCGATAGGGATGAGGTGGAGCAGGGCGATAGGGATGAGGTGGAGCAGGGCGATAGGGATGAGGTGGAGGAGGGCTACTGGACGCACTACTTTGACTGCCCACGTCTGCAGCGGCTGAAGCTGGGCCGCGGCAAGGGGGTTCTACAAAACGGCTGGGCGGACGAGTTCAAGGCGCTGCGCAGCTTGACTCTCAAGCACGTGGACTGGAGCTACGTGGATTTCAAGCATCTCGCCACGATCACGCCGCGGCTCACTGAATTCACGCTTTACGAGCGCTGGAATTTGGATGAAGCATCCTCCGGGCCTAGGAGTGATGGCAGCAGCCGATTCTGTTTCGACTGCTCATCAGCTCGTGTTCTCCGCTTCTTCTTCGCACAGAGCAGCCTCACGCTCTTCCTCACCCTCTCCCGCTCGCTCAAGGCCTTAGCCATGGCCAAACGCCTAGTCCTCTCCTGCAAGAGCACCCTTCCTCTCTATCTCGACCACCTCTCACTCTACGGCCAGGAGCGGCTCATCATCTCCTCCCTCCCCGTCGCATCGGCCCGAGTGGCCTACCTCAACGGCCCTCCTAGAGACTGGCACTCCCGCGATGATGCCAGCTCTCTCCACTGGGACACCCCTGCTCCGTCCCCTGACTGGCAGAACTCGCACCGCAGCAGCTCCCCTGAATTCTCCTGGGTTGCATGGCTGGGTGCTATAGCGCGGACAGTGGAGGTGCTTATAGTGAGGTACGGGGTGCCTGTAGAGAAGGTTGAGGCGGATTGGAGCTGACTGCGCAGCCTTGGGATTGTCGTGGAGAATGAGGAGCGGTTTGAGGTGGATTGGGAGGTTGAGAAGTGTGAAGATGATGGTGAGAAGGAGGTCACAGTGGAGGAGTTTCAGGAGCGGAATCAAACGCAGAGGATTTTGCAGCAGCGGCGGCGGCAGCAGCGACAGCAGCAGCAGCCATGGCGGCAACAGGCGGAGCAGGAGGAGGAGGAGGAGGAGGAGGGGGAGGAGGAGGAGGAGGGGGAGGATGAGGAGCAGCAGCAAGCAGGAAAACCCCCAATAATCAGGGCTCCGAACTTGAAAGCGATGTTCTTCCCCACCCGCACATGCGAGCAGCACACCCTTGCTTCCCTGCGCGAATCCTGTCCCTCCCTCGCCCTGTACTGCATTGCAAGCCGTTCGTTCTACTGGGAAAAGAAGGGGAAGGAGTTGGCCGAGGTCCCTGTGGTTCATGAGAGGAAGGGGAGGAGCGGCGTGTCGAGCAATGGCTTTGGGGAGAAGCGGCTGAAAAATGTGAGGGAGAAGATGCAGAGTGTGAATAGGGAGCTTGTTGAAGGGTACAGTGTTGATAAAGATGAGGCTTATATGTTGAAATTTTAAGGGACCATCTGGAGGGCTTATTGTCCTTATGGCATTTAGAATGCATTAATTGGTGTAGGCATGTCAATGGTGGTTATTTAAGTTGAAATACAAAGGGAGCCTCCTGGTTTGAAGAAACAGTCATGTTTTAAGCAGATCATCTTGCCTGCACTATGCCCTGACTCATCATGGCACGGAAATTGTGATCTGATCTCTTGCTATGTCAGAAACAGTACATGATGAAATATAGCTTCATGGTGTACAATACAATACGTACTAACAAATTATACCGTATCGCCAAACCACTTGCAACGTGGATGGCCACACGCAGCCGAATCCTCAATCCATGAGGACCCATACAAACCCGAATAACGGTGCATCTCTTCGGCCCCTCCATCCGCGCCGCTCACCGTCTCCTCTCTGCTTTCCTGCGCTCAGCCGTGAAACCCGGCAGCAGCAAGCAGTGGCAGCGGTAGCGGCAGCGGCAGCGGCGGCTGCGTTGTAAGCAGCAGTGAACACCATCTGGACACGACATATGCCAATCGTTGTTGCCACCCCACTACCAACACCCATCGCCATCCCATCAGCAAGTCCACTCCACACATTCCACGCACACACATGCGCGCACGCACGCACACACAAACTCCTCCCACCCACACCTGCATAACTTGGTTCCACCCACTCACTCGGTACCTCAGCAGCAAGTATTCGCCCTTCTCCTCTCAAAAACACTAAGCGGCTCAAACGGATTGAAGAAAATGCATGATATTATCATCCTGCTCCATAATCACCTGCTGCATGGTGCGTGGAGCATCACCTCGCCACACCCAAACTACAGGCTCATTGAAAGCATTACGCTCCGGCCTGACCTGCACTACCGGCTCTTTGCTCCGCTTCTCCCCCTGCCTCTCCCAGCGGAACGACCGCCCAACAATGCAGTAGAGAGCCAGAGAAGGGAACTGCTGGTGCAGAGAAACAAGGGTGCTGGGCTGCCAGTGTCGGGTGGCAAAGAAAATCGAGCGCAGCTTTGGAGCTTTGATGAGGGGGGGACGGATAAGTTCTTGCTGCTGACTGCTGGTGCTTCTCTCTCCTTCACCACCGAAGCCCCTCCTCTGGAGAAATAAAAGTTCGACATTCCAGTCACCAGGGCTTCTCCGGCGACCACCGATTCCAAGGGAGTGCAGGCAGCTCCATTCTGCAGGCACCTTCTCTAGTGGCATGTCATGCCTCACTATAAGCGTCTCCACTGTAGGCGCTATGCTGCTGAGTATCTGGGTCAAGAGAAGCGTATCCCCCATGTACGGGTGTGTTCCATGAGTCTGTGATCCGTCTATGTAGACTGTTCTTGCAGAAGCCAACTGAAGTGAATGCACCTCAAGCTGCCGATGGCCAATCAGAGTTAAGGAGTCGAGATGAAGAGGGCTGGTGCACTTGCAGTTGACCTTCAGCACCTCTGCTGTGAGAGAGAGTACCTTCCGAGTGGGAGGAAGGGAGAAGTCAACAAAAAGCGTTTGCCGTGAAGAGCTGACTGTGATGATTCGAGCAACAGAGAAGTCGAGTCTGAAGCTACGATCGAGACGTCCAGGGAAAGAGAGAGAGAGAGAACTCGTGCAGCTGCGGTGAGATGGAAGACAAAAACTTATCATAGCTGTTGCCTCTCAAATGCTCAATGGTCAGACTCCGTAGTGCCTTCAACGATGCTGCATTCACTTGGTTTAATTGCCAAAGCCCAGGGCCTAACTTCAGCCGCTGCAGCTGACTAAACTCCTCAAGAAAGGCCGGATTGAGCAGCTTGAAATGGATAGAATAAAATTTGGTTATAGTATCCTTGACCTTAAGACACAGGCTGGTAAGGGAGTGCAGAGAGGATGCCATAAGCCGGTGGAGGTTCTCCAGACCCATGTAGTTGTTGAAAGTGAGGCTGAGGGAAGTGTGACCTCTTAATTTGAGGAACCGAAAGATTAATCGGTTCCAACGACGCTCCTTATCATTAAATTTAAGGGAGAATGGCTCCAGCTCCTGTGTTAACGTGAGTGAGTGAAGATTCAGCAGCCAGAACAAGAAGCTACATCATAACATAAAATACATTGTATAGAGGAAGCTGTATGATGGAATGATAAACCAGCAAGTCACTCACGGAGAAGGAGACGGCATGGTGAAGCAGCCTCTTGTTGACCATGGCACAGTTCAGCAGGCGCCAGGAGGAGCCGAAACGCCTGGCATTCTCCTCATAAAGCTCTCTGTCAGACAGCGGGTTCATAATGGGACAGTACTCGTTCTCTTCTTCAATCTCGAATGGATCAGTTGAATCAGGCTGCTGCTGCAGGGCGACAAAGTCACACAAACTGCTCACAGCTCTCCGCAATGATACCTCCTCCATAGAGTCGCCCTGGTTTTGCTGCTGAGCAGGATCGGCCGGTGGCTGCAGCAGGTGGCGGAAAATGATGTGCCAGATGGGGCCGGGCAGCAGATCAACCACGTCTAAGCTCTGGTGGGTGGGGAGAGCAGAAATAGAGGAGATGAGAGGAAGAGAGTGTAGAAAGGGTATGGGAGGGGAATGGGAAGGATGCGCGAGGAGCCAATGTTTATGGAATCATGCTCACCTGGTGAAAATTCTCAGCAGCAGAGGTCTGTGAGGGCTGTGAGGGCTGTGAGGGCTGTGAGGGCTGGGTGAGTTTGAAAGCAGCCATGTTGTCTCCCAGCACCGCATCCCCATGGCTGGAGCCCATAGGCCCGGTGACAACTACGGGAATCAATTCGTTCCAAGGTTACGAAGGTCGTCCGCTGCTCGATTACAGAAACGGAACCCTGGATGGATTGAAGGACACCTACGGGTTACAGAAGGTTTCACGAAGGCACGAAAACTCCTTGCAATTGAGGTCGCCTAGCTTTCCTTTTGCTGACGGTGAGTTGAGTTCGCGGGACCTCAAATCTCTGCTCGTAGTCTTCGCTTTGGCATCCCACACGCCGCTCACCGTACTCACAGCATCGTGAGACCATCCTGGGAACCTGCTACCCTCGCCTGTCAGGTTCGGCCACGGCGAGGCTCGCCCGTCGTCGCCATGGCGGCCGCCGCGGCGGGTTGATTGAGCCCGTAGCAGCGCGACACGGCGAGGCAGGAGGATGCTAAGCAGCGGTGGAAGGAATGGACAGTAAGCGAGGACCGGAGTTCCGAGGGGTGCTGCGCGGGATGCCTCTGAGAATTTCGGATCGATGAACGGCGATAACCATGCTGTTGTTTTGGCTCCGACAGCTGGCGATTGAGTTCCCTGGCTTCAGGACGCTGACAGGTGGCAGCTGCAACGGTCTCATTGGACAAACGATTTTCTGACCAGTTTTGAAGCTTCTAGAAATCGTTTCTAGAAATTGACAAGCACCTCACGCATCATGCAACCCGTGGTCGCGCCGCTACAAGCAATACCAATTGTCGACATGAATCCGTGAATCGCGTTCATCGCGTCGCTGGACTCTCAAGTCTGCCGAGTTGCAATGCTTCACACACCTCCAGAAACTCGAAAGACCTACACTTGCTGCTGGTTCTCGAGGGCAAATCGCGTATACCCGTTTGAAGTACAATGGGAGTCTCTGGAGGGCTACTACTCTTACAGCAATAATATATTCATTGGTATGAACATGACATTCGGAAATAAAAAAAATGGGACAGGGATGAAAATTATTCATGATTTCATACACTTACAAGTAACTAAAATCCTGAAAACACTACAGTGTTTGATCAGGGAGGGTAGTCGTACAATATCTTGCCTCTCATCCCCCTTCTGCCAGTGATTACCGTATGCCTATGCATACACATCTTGTGCCGATCGTGCGATTTCATGCTCAATTGAAGGCTTCCACAGCTGCAGCACCAGCACGCAACCAGCAGCAGCAGCGGCAGTATCAGCTCTTCATACTGGTAACAGATCTCTTCATCAACCCCCAATATCAAGCCCCAAGTTAAAGCTCCACTGGACAGGAAGCTTCCTGCCACCAAGCCCTCTGCACCTCCTCACATCCCATTGGCTGCTTCCTTTGTACTGTTTTTATGTGCTGCCACCCACGCACCATCCCGAACTTCCCTCTCTTCCACTCATGCCTTCCCATCCTCAATTCTGCTGCTCACCCACACCACAAACTCCATTACAAAATCAAGTGCGCACCACCCCATGGACACCACTATTGCCACCGCAGCACCCATCCTGCTCATCACTGCACACCTCCCTGTCACACACCTCTCACAGCTGTCTACCTTGGATAGATCCACTTACAAACTCCGATCAATTTCTCCCCTCTCCTGTCATGTCGTGGCATGAAGTGATTCAGAGTACTTGAAGAAAATTCATGATCCGATCATCCTGCGCCATGTCCTGGCTCATGCTGTGTGTAGCATGATCTGATCTCACCTCCACTGAGGGTTCATTGCTCCTCTTCTCTCCCTCCCCCTCCCACCGAAAAGACCGCCCAACAATGCAGTAGAATGTAAGAGAAGGGAAATTACTAAGCAAAGACGCCAGTGTCTCAGGCTGCCACTGCCGGGTTGCAAAGAAAATGGATTCCAGCTTTGGAGCATCGATGAGGGGGGGGCGGAAGTCTTCCTGCTGGACACTGCTGCTGCTGCTGCTCTCGTCATCCCCCAAAAGGAACCTCCTCCTCCAGTATTCAGCACACCCAACGCTTTCCACTGTGGTCATGTAGCTGAAACCAACTCCCCTGCCATTCGCACCAATGGCAAGGCAGCGCAGGCGGCTCCATTCTGCATGCACTTCCTCTAGCGGCGAGCCATGCCTCACTATAAGTGTCTCCACTGTTGGCGCCATACTAGTCAGTAGCTGCATCAAGGAAAGCTGAGAGGCGGTCACTGATTGTTGAGAGATGGAAGAGCGGTTGAAAACTTCATCATATGGCAAGGTGGGCTGAACCAGGGTTGTTGGTCCATTCAAGTAGACAGCTCTGGCGGAATTTATTGGGAGCGAAGAAACAACAAGCTTCCTGCGGCCAATCAGAGTGAGAGAGTCGAGAGAGAGAGGGCTGGAGCACTTGCAGTCAACCTTTAAGTTTTCTGCTGCGAAGAAAAGGGCCGTTGCGGAGGGTCTGAGGGAGGAGCAAACATCAAGGCTCTGCTGCTCAAAACGGAGGGTTCGAGTCGGAGGCTGCAAGGTTGATGGCTGGAGGAAGTAAGAGAGAGTTCATGCAGCTGTGGTGCGATGGAAGACAAAAAATTACAGTCATATCCCTTGCTGTTCGTATGCTCGATGGTCAGACTCCTTAGCGCCGTGAACCATGCCGCATTCAGACTCTTCAATTCCCACCTTCCACGGCCTAGCTTCAGCCGCTGCAGTTCCCCAAACTTCCTGAGAAAGGCTGGATTGATCAGTTTGTAATGGATAGTCTCATCTAGATACGAGGAATCTTTGACCCCAAGGGACAGGCTTGTGAGAGAGTGAGCAGCAGACCACATGAGACGGCCGAGGCTGTGCAGATCTACCACGTAATTGAACTCGAGGTCGAGGGACTTGTGGCCTGTCTGTTTGAGGAAAAGCGAGAGCATCATCCTCCACTGCAGGTCCTCACGGTTGAATACGAGGGAGATGGGCTGCAGCTCCTGCACCCACACACACACACACAGAAGTGAAGATTCAGCAGCCAGAGCAGAAGTTTCTCCCTCGTAACCAGGGCAGAAGTTTCTCCCTCAGAACCAGCAGAGGGCTCAGGGAGAAGGAGATGACAACTTTTGAGTCGTCGACGAAATGACATGGTGCGGGGAGCAAGGGAGCACTCACGGAGAAGGAGATGAAGTGGTCAAGGAGGCCCTTGCTGAGTCGACTCGAAAATTCTTAGTTAACTCTATAAGTACGACGGATTGCAGAACCAACGAAATGACTCACGGAGAAGGAGATGACATGGTCAAGGAGGCCCTTGCTGGCCATGGCACAGCGCAGCAGAGGCCACGAGGAGCCATAGCGCCTCACACTCTCCTCCTCATCATGCTGCTCGCTGACAGAAAGCGGATTCGTAGTGAACCCTGAGCAGCAGTCTGTCTCCAACGAATCCGCCTGTTGCTGCAGATGCACCAAGTCGCACAAACTGCTGTCTCTCCCCTGCGATGATGCTTCCTCACAAGAGTTTCCCTGTTGCGGATGAGACCCGTCTGGCGGCAGCAGCAGGCAGCGGAAGATGATGTGCCAGATGGGGCGAGGCAGCAGATCAACCACGTCCACGCTCTGCTGGGTGGGGAGAAACAAAAAAAATCAGAGAATCAGATGCGAGAGAGGAATCCAAGCAGTATTAGAAGAGGTGTGATGAGAAACCAGAAAATCAGATGCGGCCGCGCAGCAGATCAACCACGTCCGCGTTCCGGCAGGTGGGTGGGGGGAGAAGTATTGAGAGAAGTAAGGGATGATGAGGAGATGCTGTAGTGTAGTGAGAACCAAGGGAGACAGCTAGGAATCAAGGTGGGATGCCTCGTTGTTTGACACAGAAAGCGAAGAGAAGAAAGTGAGGTTGCGCTGTCATCACCTCACGATGATTCTCGGCATCAGAAGGTGCTTTCATCTTGAGAGCATGCATCCTCTCCAACACGTCCTTCCCATGGGTAGCCATCGACGGTGATAATGATATCCGCAATTGATTCGTCCAGGCTAAAACGAAACTCGGAAACACAGGAACACCGAAACCTGAAAGAAAACTCTCGAAAAGCTCCTAAGGTTGAGTTCGCTGACGTTTGAATGAAGTCTGCTGATTTCAGTCACTGAAGGTTCTTTGCATTCAAAGCATCCTGATCGGCCTACACGGTTCTCGCCATGCTTGCACTCTCGTGAATCCCATTCACCCACCGGTCAGCGTGAGGCACGATGATTTTCGCCTCTCGGCGCAATGGCGAGAACAACCCAGTACAGTAGATCGGCGGGCTGACCAGTCCGCGGGAGCGCAACACGGCGCGGCAGGGAAATGGGGAGGGAGGAGAGGGGGAGCACGAGGCGCGAGGACGGCGTGGTAATCCGGCGGTCTGTTCCGCGCTGCGCCTGAGTGTGTCCCGCTCGCTGAGCAGAACGTGATGATATGCTGAGGTCATTTTTATCATGTCACCTGAACCGATCTCAACATTATAAGAGGTCGCGATACGTGTTTGCTATGGCTGACGGTGTGCTCAGCATCGACTGCCAAAATTGGAGCTTCGGCCATGCATACGTACGACGCGTCGCCGTTATCACTACAGTACCAGAGTTGTAGATTGTCGAGATTCCCTAGCTGCTAGTAGGATTGTACTGCATGCATGGCCCTTCGGCTTGCACTGAAAGTATGTACGCTCTATTACAGGATTTGGGGCGTGTCCTGAAAGTACCATATGTCCGAATGCAGCTAAATCGGGCCTTATTGTAATGTGCTTTCTTTGTGGCATACTTTCAATGTTTCAATGAGAGGAAACAGAACCGGTACTGAACATTGTACATGTTGGACATGAACATATGGTATGGATGTTCGTGAACACGACATCCGATGCACACCACCCCATGGTCAAACTATTGTCACCACTTCCAAAAGCACACAGCAGCTTTCCTTCTCGTCCCTGCACACACCTCCCTCACACGCACCACTTACACCTGCATAACACCCACTCCCTCTATTCCTCAGCCGGGCGTCTTGCCGCGTCGCTCGCCCAACTCCTCTTGAAGTGCAAATTCAGCTCAAAGGGTTTGAAGGAACCTCATGATCCGATCATCCTGCTCCATGTCCTCCTCCTTCATGGCGCATGCAGCATAATCTGCTCTCATCTGCACAACCGGATCCCTGCTCCACTTCTCCCCCTCCCCCTCCCAGCAAAACGACCTACCAACAACGCGGTACAATGAGAGGGACGGGAAAAAGATAGGCAAACAAGCCAGCGACTCAGGATGCCACTGCCGAGTTGCAAAGAAGATGCACTCCAGCTTTGGAGCTATCATAACAGGAGGGCTTATCTCTTCGTCCTCGCTGCTCTCGCCTTCCCCACCAAAGCCCATCCTCCGGGAATAAGGAAGTGGAATATCTTCCACTGTGGTCATAAGACGATGCCCATCTGGACCCCGATTGTTCACACCAATGGCAAGGCAGCGCAGGCAACTCCACTCCACTTCCACCTTCTCTAGCGGCCATCCATGCCTCACTACAAGCGTCTGCACTGTTGGCGCTATGCTGCTGAGTAACTGGGTCATAGAGAGCTGGGAAGAAAGCTGGTAGACGCGCCCGCAATAAGAAAAATTCTCGTACAACGACCTGGGCGTTTCTTGGTGGGTTGGTCCGTTCAGCAAGACAGTCTTAGCGGAAGCCAGCGGGAGTTGAAACACGACAAGGTGTGAACGGCCAATCAGGGTGAAGGAGTCAAGAGAGAGCGGGCTGGGGCTCATGCAATCCATCTCCAGCTTATCCGCTGCAACATAAAAGGACTTCAAAGAGGGTGGGAGGGTGAAGAAAGCATTAAGAGACACTAACTCATAGCTGATTGTGATGACTCGAGCAGCTTTGAACTGGAGCGTCAAGAGGCCCGAGCTACGACCAGAGGAGGAGAGTGAGAACACATGCAGCTGCGGAGTGATGGAAGACAGGAACTGATGATCGCAGCTATCGCAGTCCATTTGATCGATGGTCAGACTCCTCAGTGCTGGGAACCATGCTGCCTTCATACTGCTTAGATCCCACCTCCCATGGCCTAGCTTCAGCCGCTGCAGCTGCCAGAACTTCCCCAGCAATGCCAGATTGATAAGCCTGCGCTGGATAGAATCATGTGCAATGCCCTTGCCCCTGAGGCAGTTCTTACCCCCAAGGCAATCTGTGAGCCCAATGCTGAGGCTTGTGAGGGAGTGAGCAGAGGAAGCCATGAAACAACCAAGGGTCTGTAGGTCCATCGAGCTGGTGAAAACGAGGTCAAGGAATTTGTGACCTGGTAGTTTGAGGAAGTTGGAAAGCCTTTCTGACCACCTGAGGTCCTCACTGTTGAATACGAGGGAGATGGGCTCGATCTCCTGCACGCACAGATGTCACGATTCCGAAGTCAGCGCAGAAATAACAATTAAAAATCAAACCTAGTGATTCGCACAACCTTCAAATGGATTCAACATGCGCCTAAGAATTCACCATGCGCCTAAGGATGACTAACGAGGAGGTCACATGGTGATAGAGAAGCAGGCGGGTGGAATGAGGGGAGCAGTGCTAGTCTGGTACGGCCATGCGTGAGGACAGACAGGTGGATGAAATGGGGAAGCAGCATACGACTCACGGAAAAGGAGGTAACAAGTTCGAAGAGTCGCTTGCTGGCCATGGCACAGCGCAGCAGAGGCCACGAGGAGCCGAAGCGCCTCGCGTTCTCCTCATGCTGCTCGCTGGCAGAAAGCGGGCAGCTAGGAGCACATGAGGTGCTGCCTGCTCCATTCTGCAGCGAATCAGTATCGCGTGCAGGAAGCTGATCCACCAGGTCACACAAATTGCTGTATGCTGCCGGTGACGGTGATTTTTCACAAGAGTCGCCCCGTTTTTGCAGCTGGGAGGAATTGGCTGGCGGCAGCAGCAGGAGGCGGAAAATTATGTGCCAGATGGGACCAGGCAGCACATCAACCACGTCCACGCTCTGAAGGGTGAGGGGAGGAGCGGAGGGACTAAAGGGAGATGTGAAAGGAATCGAGGGTAATTTAGGAAGGACATGACCAGATGATTGGATGCTCTACGAGCAACATCAAGCTCACCTCATGTGAATTTCCAGCAGCAGACGGCTCTCTGAGTCCAAGAGCACGCACACTCTCTTCGACCACCGCCTCCCCATGGTTAGTAGCCATGGGCGCGGAGACAAGGCGACAATTACGGGATTGGATCCGTCAAGAAACGTTCGAATGCAGAGGGTCACAACACAGAGAAACATAGGAAGTCTCGGAAGTGCCTGTAAAAATCGAATCCCCTCTATTGTGTCATTATTCAGCGAGCACGGCCAGCGTCGCCGAAACAACTTACCACCCTCGCCGGTCAGGGACAAGCGCGACGAGGTTCGGTTGTCGTCGTCATGGCGGTCGCCGTGGCAGTAACCAGCAGCGCGGCGGGCTGACCGAGTCCGCAGCAGCGAGACACGGCGAGGCAGGACAGGCCGCTGAGCAGCCGGGGAAGGGGTGTACAAGACGCGGGGACTGCGCGGCAGTCCCGCGGGGTGTTTCGCGGATGTTCCGCTCCGCGGGGTGCCTGTGAGCAACTCCCCTTCAAAGGGAAGCGACGAACGAGATTCGTCGACTCCGTAAAATTTTGAATGCTTCGGAAAGAACGGCGATAAGCATGTCCGACATGAACGAGAGTCTCTGATTTGGCATCCACAACTGGAGGTGGGGTCTCAGACTTCGGGTGACTGCCACGTGACAGCGTGATGCATGTCGCTTGGCCATACCAAAGAAAATTTGGGCACAGCTACTCGGGCTTGCGCGACAGCCATGCCCGCTATTTCTTCTCATCCGGCTAGACTTGATTACTGATGACTGCCAGAACCAGGCTCCTTTGGGTTGGTGGTACAGTTCGGCTCGACCCACGCTTATCCGTTGGAAGGTGTCCCCAATTTCGTTAACTCAACTTTGATGGTGTACTACAAACAAGTTCGATTCGTTAACTCAACTCAAACCAGTTTACTACACAAAGATGTGTCCGCAATGTGTCGGCTCCTTTTACATTCTAATTACAAAATAGAGTACCTCGTTGGCTATTTCCTAGAAACGTAGAAAGGTAGAGCCGAGCCGAAAACAAACCCCCCCTCCCCCTTTCCCCCCTTTCATCCCCCTTTTCCTCCCCCGCCAGCAGCAAGTCGAAGGCGCAGTACACCCCATCACCAACATCTTTTGTCCCGGCTACACAAGCATTGCATGTATGTACGGTATGCCCACCATAGCCACCGCCACTGCCGGCACCCATCATCATCTCATCACCACCAACCAATTCCTCCACCACATCAGCTGCACACTTCCCCATGGTCACCAGTAGTGTCACCACTGCAGCCACAGCACCCTTCTGGCTCTCCTTGCACGTGCACCCCTCCGCTGTGTAACTAAGCCCATTGTTGGCACTTCACTGCCCTTCTCCTGCCTCCTCTGCAAGCATGACAAGGCTCAGAGGCATTGAAGAAATTGCATGATACGCTCATTCTGCACCAGGCATATGCTCGAATCATACGTAGAATACTCTGAGCTCATGACGTGTAGAGCATCATCTGACATCACCCGCTCTGTAGGCTCACTACTGAAATCCACCCCTTCCCCCTCCCGCTCCCCTTCCCCCTCCTCCTCCTCCCCCTCCCTCTCCCTCTCCCACTTCCCCTGCCTCTTCCCCTCCCAGTGAAATGACCGACCAACAATGCACAACAGCGTCAGGGATGGGAAGTGCCTGCGCAGCGAAGCCAGAATTTCGGGCTTCCACAAGCGAGTGGTAAGGAAAATAGACTCCAGCTTTGGAGCATTGATGAACGGTGGAGTTGTTGCTTCATCCTCGCTGCTGCTGATGGGTTCTTCTTCCCCAGGAAAGCCGTGCCTCCTTCCGTAAAGAGGGTATGCAGCTTCTTCCACTGTAACCATGTACCTTAACCTTTCTGGACTCCTGCCGTTCACACCAATGGCAAGGCAGCGCAGGCGGCTCCACTCCACTTTCACCTTCTCTAGCGGCCAGCCATGTCTCACTATAAGTGTCTCCACTGTAGGCGCAATGCTGCTGAGTAGCTGGGTTGCAGGGGCAATCCGTAAAAATGAATCCCAATAATAGGTGGATCGTTCGTAGGTGGTTGGTCCGTTCAAGTAGATAGTTTTGGCAGGAGGCAGAGAGAGAGGAGCAACAGCAAGATTCGAGCGGCCAATTACCAGTGTGAAAGAGTCCAGAGAGAGAGGGCTGGAGCATATCCACTCGATTTCCAGCTCCTCCGCTGTGGCTGAGAAGGACTTCAGAGATGGCGGCAAGGATAAGCGGAGGTGAAGCGCTTGGCACTCACGATTGATCGTGATAGATTGAGCAGCACAGAACTCGAGATTCAGGTTCTTCCAATAGTGACAGCTGAAGAAAGAGAGACTGAAAACATGCAGCTGCGGTGAGATGGAAGAGAGAAAGTTGAAATCATCATTGGTGCAGTCCGAATGCTCGATGATTAGACTCCTTAGTTCCTTCAACCACGCCGCATTCACGCTGCCTAGCAGCCACCTACCACGTCGTAGCTCCAGCCGCTGCAGCCGCCCAAACTGCTTGAGGAAAGCCATACTGATGGGCACATCTCCGTTATAAAAACCAATCAACCCAAGGCACAGACTCGTGATGCAATGGAGTGAGGATGACACAAGGCGATCGAGGTTCTGCAGGTCTTCCAAGCTGCTGAGAACGAGGTCCAGAGACTTGTGGCCTGGCTGTTTGAGGAACCAGGAGACCGATCTGTTCCAGTCGGAATTCATCAGATCGTGTTTGAGGGAGGTGGGCTCTAGCTCCTGCACGCAGAGATGTGAGCATTTAGCAGAAAATAACAGCTTTCCTTTCAGCCACTAATAAATAAAAACATGTGTGGGGAAGATGTAGCTGAAAAACTAGCGAAAAAACATTGTTGTTTAACAGTGCATGACATGGCAGAGAAGTATGTGTGTGGAATGAAGGGAGCAGTGTGTGACTCATGGAGGAGATGAAGGAGATGGTATGGTGTTAGACAAGTAGGTGGTAGCAATGCATGGTGAAACCAACGCAGCGCATGATGACAGACTCACGGAGAAGGAGACGGCATGGTGGAGGAGCCTCTTGCAGGCCATGGCACAGCGCAGCAGAGGCCAGGAGGCGCCGTGGTACATGGAGTCCTTCTCGTGCTCCTCGCTGGCAGAAAGCGGTTTTCCCGTGAAGCATGGGAGCTTGCTGGCTGCTTCCATTTCTATGGCGTCGGACCAGTTCACCCGTTGCTGCAGATCCACCAGGTCACACAAACTCCTGTCTGCTTCCCGTGGGGATGCTTCCTCGGAACGGGTGCCCTGATTTTGCAGCTGGGAGGAATCGGCTGGCGGCAGCAGCAGGTGGCGGAAGATGATGTGCCAGATGGGGCCGGGCAGCAGATCAACCACGTCCACGCTCTGATGAATGGGTGGGGGGAGAAGCACTGAAGATGAGAGGACGTGAGGGGGGGACCTGCTTCACGCGCTGGAGGGGAGTGAGTAGGGGTTTGTAGGGACTAGGGACGTTTTGTAATTGCTAGTTTGCAAACCCCTGCCCCAACATCCCATCCCATGCATGTACTTGTCACAGCATTGAGACCTTTTGGGAGAGGAAGAATGGGAGGGGATACGGGGAGCATGCTTTGTCTGCGGCATCACGCGCACCTGGTGATCATTGTCAGCAGCTGGGGGCTGTGAGAGATCGAGAGCAGCCATTCTCTCTTCCAGCACCGAACGCTCATGGTCAGTTGCTACCATAGGCGAAGCGACAACTAGGGAATAACGAGATTACACAAGGTTACAACGGCTCATCGTCTGTTTGAGTCTAGCAGGGCACAAGAAATCGAGAAATAGAAGAACTGTGATTGACCAAGCCGGTCACGAATAACAACGATTGAGCCGCTTCCGAGTACCTATGATTGAATCCGGTAAGAGATATTGGGCTAACCGTAAGCGAAGCAGAGAGATGGCGTGGCGTTGAGTTTGCTGACCTGAATCTCTGATACTCGAAGCACCCGGTCGTAACACTACACCACTCGTCCCGTACTCGCCCAACCTTGAAACCCTAGCCTCACTGGCCAGGCTCGGGCACGACGAGGTACGCCAGTCGTCGCCATGGCGGTGCGAGTAAACAGCGGCGCGACGGGCTGAGTTTTGAGTCCGCACGGCACGACGTAATGACGACGAGGGTAGTCCTGCGAGGTGCTCCGCGGTGTGCCTTTGAGTGGAATTTCACTCAGGTTGGAGCGACGGATACGTACGAGTCGCCTTTTCTATCAAATCTGAATGCGTCGGAAAAACGAACGGCGATAAGCATGCTGCTGCGTTAGCTCCCATAGCTGACGGTGAGTTCTCAGACGTCAGGTAACCGACCAGCCACAGCAACAACTGTCGCATTGGAGCAAGTTCAGACGATTTCAGAGCAGCGAGGCTCCTCGGGAATTTGTTCATAAGCGGCATCGGAAACTGTCTCACGCTTCGGTCATGCAACCCGCTAGCAGCTATACACGCGTCGACAGGCTACTAGCAGTGCACACGACCTTCCTTCCACCTTGTTGGCTCGTCTCCGTGTCTGCAGATAGCTTAGCAATCAACCATTCTACCACTGCATGCATGCGAGGCACAAGTTCGGTTTGTATAACATCCATGAATCGCGTCATCGCGAGGCTGGAGTCTTCAAGTCCGTCGAGTAGCAAAGCTTCAGACACCTCTCTAAACTCGAAAGGTCTAGGTACTTCCGCAAATAGCTAGTATTGTTGTCAGTAGAATGGAAAGCTTTCGAAGTTTTGCGAAATACGTAACAAAGCACTGCTCTGATTCGCGTGTCACCAGATCATCAGCCGAACTCGTTTATACTCGTCCGCTTGCATTTGACTTTGAAAGGTTCCCTCTGGTGCACAATGGTCTAGAGCGGTGAGAAATATAAACCGTCTTCAAACGTAGCTGACCGTATTAAACCGCGTTAAACGAAGTAAGACCCTCCCTCACTCATCGCAAGCCGAGTTTTCAGGTCCTGTGGAGCGACAAAAGAGAGTTTAGAGGAATGTAGTTTTCCTGCGTGCACCACACAACAAGCCAAAGCTGCTCAACAGCCGGAAACTGGATTTAAGGCAGCTAGAGTCGCGACAATAGTACGCCCTTGTCTAATGACGAGTGCATATGCGCGTCTTTTAAGTGCATATGTGCAATTAATGTTACTACCAAGCGGATTGGGTGCCTATGATTGTTCGAGACGGTCATGGCATCGGTGCAGCATACTGGCGATGTCACGGCCGATCTAAGAGAGCGCGAGCCAGGGGAGAAGAAGAGACAGAAGAGCAATGCGGACCCAAAAGGCAAGGGCTGCTATTGTTTCGCGTCAGCATCCCACCTTTCACCTCATTTCCTTCACGCTTCGTGCTACGATAACTCTCGCTGGCATTTCTTGTCAGTTAGTTCCTCCCATCATCCACCTCCTCATATTCGGTCTGTCCTTTGATAATATCCCTCCCTCTTTTTCTTCTCCGTCGAAAATATACCTGCAGTGCGAACCTATATCATTTAGTGATTCTTAGATTGTTTTGCGTCCATTCGGCCGATCCCCTTCTAGCTCATATCAAGTTTACACCAAAGCTTGCACCGTTTGCTCTCTTCCCTCTTCTCTGTCGCTCATATTGGAAGTAGCTTTTAAACATAAAATCGTTGAAAAGATGATATCTCATCTCTACTGCGACACCCTCATAGTGGTGATAGCACCATCGAGCCTTTTTGGCCTTGGTGGGACTTTCTAGGTGCTCCGATCCGACAAGTGCTTGAATGTAATGCCAGAGTGGAGCACTCCTAGATTCTGGTATAAAAAACTCAATTTTAAGGTCCATCGTGTGTGCCCTCACCCTCGGGTTGAAGTGCAGCATCCCACCCATCACACCCATCTCACCCATCCCCCCCATCCCACCCATCCCACCCATCCCACCCATCCCCCCCATCCCACCCATCCCACCCATCCCACCCATCCCACCCATCACACCCATCCCATCCGCCAGCTCCAACAGTGGGCTGCGATCCCATAGACACGCTGCCGGTTACTCACTTTCCCCCTTCACTTCACTCCCTGCATAATCTCCCTTACAACCCATCCCATCCATCCTCACCCCTCTCTCCTTCCTGCCGCCACCCCTCGTGATCCCATGGACATGCTACCGGCGGCTCTCTGGCACCGGGTGTTCCGCTGCCTGCTGCTGCCGCCCGGCTCCTCCCACCTCGACACCCCCCTCGCGCGGGGCAGGCGCAAGACGCCCTGGTATCTCACCGCCACAATGCAGCCCCCAGCGGGCAGAAACCTGCCCGTGAAATTTGTGGACCCTGACTTTTCAGCAGCCGGGCAGCACCGGAAGAATGTGGAAACGTATGGAAGTGGGTGGGCGCTGCTGTGTTGCGCCATGGTCAGCAAGAGATTTCGCAACCTCGTCCTCTCCTTCTCCGTGAGTCATGCTTGCTTAAGATGTCTCACACGCCTTGTTCTTTGAGACTGCTGTGCGGCGCCATGGCCAGCAAGAGGCTCCGCAGCCTCGTCCTCTCCTTCTCCGTGAGTCCGGTTCTCCGTTGCGCTTGGATTTCGGTGTGTGCTTCCAAACGCCCTTGCTGCGAGAGTTGTTAAAATATTCCCCATATAAAAGCCGCATGAACTGAGAGCTGTGAAAATATTCCCCATATAAGCTTTTGGTCGGATTATGTAGGCGCCTCAGAAAATGGCCTTCGGTGTGTGCTTCCAACAGCCCTTGCTGTGAGTGTTGTGCTCGTGGCATTGCAGTGACTGCCAAATCTCCCAGCCATCTAGCTTTCATATTCTCTCCTCCCTTCACACCCATCCCTCTCCTCTCCACAGGCCCAGCACCCCATCGCCTTGGTCTACAGCAACCTGCACCCGCAGTGGGAGAAGGGTGTTGCTTTCCAATACAAACTTCTTAACGCCTCCATTCCCATTCCCATCCCATTCCCAACCCCTCTCTGCAGGCCCAGCACCCCATCTCCTTGGTCTACAATAACCTACACCCGCAGTGGGAGAGGAGCGTCGCCTTCTTCCTGCGCCAGCGCGGCCTCAGGTCCCTCGCCCTCACCTTCACGCACGTCATGCAGCTCGACACCATCGTGTCCCAGGACGAGTGGCCCTTCGCCTCCCTCACCTCGCTCACCCTCAAGCTGCGCGGCTGTGTGGACTCCTCCCAGCTCTTTGACAGAGAGCTGGGCAATGGAGATGCCGTGGAGCAGCGCGATAGGGAATACGTGGAGCAGGAGCACTGGGCCCAGTACTTCGGCTGCCCACGCCTGCAGCGACTGAAGCTGGGGCGCGGCAAGTGGGTTCTCTCGGACGGGTGGGCGGGGAAGCTCAAGGCGCTGTGCAGTTTGACTCTCAAGCACATCGATTGGAGCTACGTGGATGTCAAGTATCTCGCCACGCTCACACCACAGCTCACTGAATTCACGCTTTATGAGGGCTGGGATTTGAATAACCCGTCCGTCGGCCCTACGGGCGGCTGCAGCAACAGGTACTGTTTCGACTTGTCGTCAGCTCGCATCCTCCGATTCTACTTCGCACAGAGCAGCCTAACGCTCTTCCTCACCCTCTCCCGCTCCCTCAAGGCCTTCTCAGCCGTGGCCAAATGCCTCGTCCTCTACTGTAAGAGCAGCTCCCCTCTCGCTCTCGACCACCTATCACTCTACGGCCAGGAGCGCCTCGTCATCTCCTCCCTCCACCTCGCATCGGCCCGAGTGGCCTACCTCAACGGTCCTCCCAGCGACCGGCACTCCCGCGATGATTCTGTCCCCTCTATCTCTTCCTCTTCTCAAAAAACAGATTCTTCCTATTGGGCCACCCCTGCTCCGCCCCCTGACTGGCAGAGCTCGCATCACCGCAACTCCCCTGAATTCTCCTGGGTCGAGTGGCTGGGCGCTATAGCGCGGACAGTGGAGGTGCTTATAGTGAGGCACGGGGTGCCTGTAGAGAAGGTGGGTGTGGAGTGGAGCTGTCTGCGCAGCCTTGGGATTGTCGTGGAGGGTGAGGAGCGGTTTGGGAGTTATGTGGAGTTTTGGGGGCGGCGGGATGATGGTGAGGAGGAGGTTACAGTGGAGGAGTGTCAGGAGCGCAACCAGAGGCAGAGGCTGTTGCAGTACCTGCAACGTCCGTACTGGCCGCGGCGGCAGGAGGAGCAGGAGGAGGAAGAGGAAGAGGAAGAGGAGCAAGCAGGAAAGCTCCCTGTTATCAAGGCTCCAAACTTGAAAACGATCTTCTTCCCCACTCGCACCTGCGAGCAGCACACCCTCGCTTCCCTACGCGCATCCTGCCCCTCCCTCGCCCTGTACTGCATCGCAAGTCGTTCTTTCTACTGGGAGAAGCATGGGAAGGAGTTGGCTGAGTCCCCTGTGGTTCATGTGAGGAAGGGGAGGAGCGGGGTGTCGAGCAATAGTTGGGGGGAGAGGCGGCCAAAGAATGTGAGGGAGAAGATGCACAGTGTGAATGGGGGGCTGGTGGAAGGGTACAGTGTTGATAAAGATGAGGCTTATATGCTCAAGTACAAAGACAGCCTCTGGGGGACTTACTGCCGTTATAGCCTCTAGCATTCATTCATATGAATGAGGCTTGTACAAGGTCTGGGTCGACTCAAAACTCGCTCATACATATGAGGCTTGTATGCTGCCTTTGGAGGACACATGTTGCTGTTATATCCTCTAGCATGCAGTCGTATTGTCATGCCAATGGTGGAAGATGCACCAAAGCAACTAAAGAACGTGTGGGAGAGAATGCAGTGTGGATGCACGATTAATGTACTACGACATACAATGCAGTTGCCGTCTTTACATATGCATTCTGATTTTCACATGAACAGAACAGCAAAAGGTCAACTAGCTATTCCTATCAAAGAGGACGAACAAGGCTTATCCACCATAGTACACTGACTATCTTTCCAAAGAGAGCTGGGGAAATACCCATTATGCTGCACTTCTTGTTTTCTATTCCACCCGTACTCTCTATTCTATTGATTCGCTGTGCCGAGCTGGATGCACCGGCTTGGCCACATGCCATCGCCCCAGCAGCAGCAGCAGCAGCAGCAGCAGCAGCAGCAGCAGCAGCAGCAGCAGCAGCAGCAGCAGCAGCAGCAGCAGCAGCAGCAGCAGCAGCAGCAGCAGCAGCAGCAGCAGCAGCAGCAGCAGCAGCAGCAGCAGCAGCAGCAGGAACTCTTGCCACCACCATCATCACTCGTCGCGGCCATACAGCTCACATGCCTACCATTCTCAACCGCACTACTAGCACCCTGTAGCCATCCCATCAGCACCAATTCCACAACCACACCAGGTGAGGTGAACCCCATGGACAGCGATCCCCGTGTTATCACATCACAATCTATACACAGCAGTACCCTTCCTGCTCGGCCTGCAGGCATCTCCCCTCACACACCTCCCTCACTCAAGTTCACCCACTCATTACCCTGCCTCACCTTCTCCCACCCGCCTCCTCTCAGAGAAAAAAGTAGCTCAGAAATTCTGAAGGAACCTCATTATCCAATCATTCTGCACCTCGCTAGAGGGTAATGACTCGACCAACACCTCCTTGCTCCGCTGTTCCCCTTTCCCCTCCCAGAGAAACAATCGACCCACAATGTAGTACCATGCGAGGGACGGGAAGTGCCTGCGCAGCGACGCCAGCGTCTCAGGCTGAAACTGTTGAGTCGGAAAGTAAAGAAACTTCAAGGCTGGAGCATTGATGAAAGGAGGCCTCATCACCTCTCGCCTGCTGGCCCTATTCGGAGAATCGTAAGGACCTTCTTCATCCTCCTCTGTTGTCATGTCATCCCCACCATCGCTGTCGCCGTTCACGCCAATCCCAAGGCAGCGCAGGCGGCTCCACTCCACCTGCACGTCCTCCAGAGGCCAGCCATGCCTCACCAGCAACGTCTCCACTGTTGGCGCTATGCTGCTGAGCAGCTGCGTCAAGGCAAGTCGAGAGGCGGAACCGGCCTCTTCGTTGGTGGCAGGTCCGTTCAAAACTGCAAAATTGGCGGACGCCAATGGGAGCGAAGATATGGAGAGCTGGTTGCGGCCAAATAAATTCAGAGAGTTGAGGGTGAGAGGGTTGTCGCATTTGCAGTCGACGTGAAGAGACGCCGCTGTGAGAGAAAGGGTCTTTAAAGAGGCCGGAAGGGAGAAACGGGCTTTAAGCTCTCGGTTCCTAAGACTGACTGTAACGACTCGAGCAACAGTGAACTCGAAATCAAGGATGTTAGAGCCATAACTGGTGAGGGTAAGTGAGAACTCATATAGCTGCGGTGAGATGGAAGACAGGACAAAATAGTCGTCTCCGTAGGAAGACAAATACTCGATGCTCAGACTCCTTAGCGCCTTGAACCATGCAGCATTCAAGCTCCACCGTCCACAGCCTAGCTTCAGCCGCTGCAGCTGGCCAAATGTTTGAAGAAAAGCTGGATAGATCTCCCCAGTCTCGAAGTGGTTAACTTCCCCTGGGTTGGCAGATTCCTTGATTTCCAGGCTCAGGCTTGTGAGGGAGTGAGCAGAAGATGCTATAAGATCACCGATCGTCTGCAGATCCTTTAGGCTTCTAAAATCGAGGACAAGGGACTTGTGACCTGGCTGTTGAAGGAACCAGAAAAGCGTTTTGTTCCACTCGGGATCTTGAGTGGTCTGTACGAGGGAGATAGGCTCCACCTTCTGCGCACACAGGTTGCGGAACTTTTCCATACTGTGATCTTTGACAGATGGGTTGAGGACATCAGTAGAGTCAGTACGGTTTACCAGAGCTTGTTTTCTGTGAAATTCTCAAAAAAACAAACTCGTACTGATAATGCATGCTGTGAAGAGGAGGCCGTATGACAGAATGAAGCAACGACAGAGCATGACTCACGGAGAAGGAGGTGAGATGGCGGAGGAGAAGTAGGTGGTTGGAACTGAGAAGCAGTCAGTGACTCACGGAGAAGGAGATGACGTGGTGGAGGAGCCTCTTGCTGGCCATGGCAAGGCGCAGCAGAGGCCAGGAGGAGCCGAAGCACCTCGCGTTCTCCTCATGCTGCTTGCTGGCAGAAAGCGGAGTGGTATCAACAGAAGAGATGCTGCCTTCTCTCTCCTGCAATTCGGCCAAGGAGTTGCCCTGGTTTTGCAGCTCAGTGGAATCAGTCGGCGGCAGCAGCAGGTGGCGGAAGATGATGTGCCAGATGGGGCCAGGCAGCAGATCAACCACGTCTAGACTCTGATGGTGGGTGGGAAAGAGATTTCTTTTGAGAAAGGAGAGGAGGAATCGAGGGGGAAGCAAGCAGAAGTGAAATGATGGACCAGAGGATCAGATGCACTATCTGCTCTGCGGCATCATTCTCACCTCACAATTATGTGCAACCACGTCTGAACTCTGGTGGATGGGGAAGTATCGGAGATGCGAGTGTAAGAAGGGAGGGGGGAGCAGAATTGGGATGCGAAACCAGAGAATCAGATGTACTGTCTGCTCTGCGCCATTATTCTCACCTCACGATAAGGAGCAGCATCAGACGGTGTTGCCGGATTGAGAGCAGCCATTTCCTCCAACACCTCCTTCCTATCGCTAGCCATGGCCTGCGACAAGTAACAAGGTGGTCGATTCGTCTCGGCTAAAACAGAGCTCGATGTTAGGTTGAGCTCGCTAATACACGGGTTCACATACGTACTGCATATTCTCCCGCAACTGCCGGCGGAAATTCATTCGCTGAAGCTGAGTTAAGGTCGCTGATTTCAAACACTAAACAAGTGGTATCAATTTTCCTGGTCGTCCTACGCGTCTCTCGCGGTGCTCGCATAATTACTAGTGAATGCCTTACTCTTTAGGGACAGGCACGACGAGGTTCGCCGACTATCAGTGCGAGCGCAAAGTCGCAATAAGCATGCCGTGCTTTTACTCCTATCGGTGGGTTTCGAGACCAGTGGCACCAGCAACAGCACCACGTGTCGACACAACATCCTAGCTCGGCTTGCACAGCATCCATGCTCTCTCGTCCTTCTAGTTGGCTGGCTGTCGCATGAATGGCTGTCCCATGAATGGCAGTCGCATGAACGACCTTGGAGTTCGTAGGGAGTGACGGAGTGGGGATACCACCACCTCCCGCTTCGAGTCAGGATGGGAACCGTTTGAAAGTGTCCCACTTTTCGCTCCAGCCAACAATGTTTGGTGAACATGTGAAACGAGGATTTGTTGCATTAAAATACTGATAAAAACCCTGTAACAAGGCTTGCTTTTTGCATGCTGCGTGCACGCTGCATATCTTCCCGACCATTTTTTTTGGAAACATCAGTTTCATTACCAACATCGCTACAACCCATCATCGCCTCACACCACCACTTATTCTCACAGCAAGACTTGCCACTTATTTTCTTGTAACCCCAACACACTTCCTCCTTTACACAACCCACACCCCTTAATTGCACAAGCTCAGAGGCACTGAAGGCCGTCCATAAAGTCGCCCACATCCATCTCGCCACTTGGGCCCTCAGCTGTTTCAGAGCGTGGCGGAGCATTTGCAGCAGTTCGACGTCGCGCACTCACACACACAATGGGCTGACTCAGCCTCTCGCTGCCAATGGGCTTCCAGCAGAACGACCTGCCAATGATGCAGTAAATCTCCAAGGAGGGGAAGTCCTCTTGCAGAGACATGAGAGTGTCAGAGTTGCACCGACGGGTGGCGAAAAGGAGAGACCGCAGCACTGGAGCACGGATGAAGGGAAGCCTTGGCGCTTCACGCTTCCTGCTGCGCCTGCTGCTGCTGTTGCTGCTGCTGCCGCTGGCACCTACGCCACCGCTGCTGCTGGCGCCGCCGCCGCAGCTGCTGTTTCCATGGCCATCACCACTGTCGCTGCCTCTGTTCCCTCTTTCCCCACCACCGTTTCGCCTCGTGGAGAAAGCATCTGAGGCTCGTGCTGGGTACAAACGACTGATGCCGCCCGCACGAGCCTCTGCTGCCTCCACTGTCGTCTTGCACCTTCCCCCGCCCGCCTTGCTCCCACGCACACCGATTGCCAGGCGGTGCAGCTGCCTCCACTCGCCCTCCACTGACTCTATTGGCAGCGAGTGTGGCACCATCAGTGCCTCCACTGTGGGGGCTACTGATTGCAGCACGCGGATTAATGAGGATTCAGATACGGAAGGAGCATAAAGTTCCCGGGAGTTGAAAGGCTGGCCGGGAGAACTCTGTAGGGGGCAAGGGGTGTTGGTGCGAGGATCGATTGACTCCTCGTGCATGCTTGGTGCGTTCAGGTAGACGTCTTTGGCCGATGCGATGGGGAGCGATGCCACCACGAGGCGCTTGCGACCAATCAGCATGAGGAAATCGAGGGAGAGCGGGGCTTCACAGTGACAGTGGAGGTTGAGAGAATGCTGAAACAGACAGGGACTTGAGCGAGGCAGGGAGTGAGAGCGTGAGGTGCAGTCTAAGCTGATCTAGAACCAGATGGATGGATTGAACAGCGGAGAAGGCGAATGTAAGATTACAAGGACCCTGTCCCTGGTTCAACACGTAGAGGGAGAATTCTTGCAGTTGTGGGGTGATATGGGCCAGAAACTTGAAGTCTGAGGCGGTGCAGTGGGAATGATGGATGGTGAGGGCCCTTAGAGCCTTGAACCACGAGGCATGGAGGCTGCTGAGGTGCCAGTTGGCACGCTCCAGGTGCAGCTGCTGCAGCCGCGGACAGTGCTGGAGAAACACCGGGGAGAAGCACCTGTGCTGCTCTGCTGCATGCCGCTGCTGCTCTGCATGGCTGTGCTGCCCTGCATGTCTGTGTTGCTCTGCACGCTGCTGCTGCTGCTGCTGCTGCGAGGAATGCTCATACGGGTCTTCCAAGTGGGATGCATCCCTGGGTGTGAGCCCCAGGCGAAGGGAGGTGAGGGAGCGGCCAGAGGCTCTCATTGTGCCGCTGAAGCTGTGCAGGTCCGCCAAGGTTTGGAATTGCAGGTGGGTTTCCGAGCTCTGATGGGTTGGGTGGGGAGATAAGAACTGGAGATGAGGTGAAGAGCGGGCGAGGTGAGATTAGGGAGATGAGAGGAGGAGAGGAGGGATGAGGGAAATTAAGAAGAAGCGAGGGGGAACTAGGGAGGTGATGAGCAGATCTAATGCCCCGTCCGCAGCACCCACTCTCATCCCCACCCTTCTCAACCCTTATAACCCTCTCATCCCTCTCATCGCTCCCATCCCTCTCTATTATCAACCCTCTCATTCCTCTCATCCCTCGCACCCCCCTCATCCATCCCATCCCATCCCTCTCATCCCTCCCATCCTTATCATCCCTCTCATTCCTCTAACCCCTCTCCTTCCCCTCGTTCCCCTTATCACTCTCGCCCCTCTCGTTCCCCTCGTTACTCTTACAAGTTTCACCTGTCTCAGTCCTCTCATCCCTCTCATCCCTCTCACCCCTCTCACCTGATCATACGCATCAGAGAGGGTTCCTCTATCAACTCCTGCCCATGCAACTTCTCTGCCCTCATCCTCTCGAATAGCCATGGCCGGCGGACTGAAGACGGCGTGCACAAGTTCTCCAGAAGGTCTTTTGAGGCGCCTAAAAGATCCGCGAGAATTGAAACGACTTTTGAGGCGCCTAAAAAAAAGGCGTGAATTGAGACGACTTTCGAGGCGCCTCAAAAGCCGCGGAGACTGACATGCACAAGTTCTCTGGAAGGGTCACTAAAAGCGGAAAGAAAAAATGCTGGAAGAAGCTACCAAGCGACTCGACGGAACGGGAGAGGATGGTCGTAAGGGCGAAGCGACCGCGACTCGGAGTCGGTCAGATACACTAAGCCTCCAGGTGGTGCCGCGACAGATGAAAGGAAGCCTTATGGACTCAGCTATGGCGCTCGGTCGCTAAGGACGTCGCATGGTGCAGATGACATGGTGGAGGTATGGCGGCAGCACAATGTCATCACGTTAGCACGGATGTAACCAGACCAGACTAGCGTCACTAGGCATATGGTGCAGACGTGGCAGTTCTAGGTTTTAGAACCAACAAAAAATGAATCTGTGAACTGAAATCTAAAGTGAACATTCCATGCATGGTTGTACGAGCTTCGTTATGGTGAATGGCTCAAATCTCATAACCCTGTCTTTCGCAATCTCCGAATTTCGTCAGGTCTAAAAGGTCCAAACGGAATGTTCGCAGCAGATACAATGACGTGCACATTTCGCAAAAGCCGACTTCGCTCCGTTTCCAAGGAATCGGCCGAGGTTTCAGCGTGTCATTCCTCTGAATTCTTCCCTGGACTCGTGAGTTCCAGTCTTCGCTGACAGCGAAACCCTAGCTACCCCCCCTTACAGCAGAGCTGCACGACACTTGGCGAAATATGTAACTCGCAGATTTCGAGCAAGGGGTTTTTCTCACCTGTTCCCCTGGAGTTCGTCGACAGTCACGCAAGTCCAACGCGTAGATCCCGCAGACAAGACGGAGACGAGAGCGACCGTTACTCGCGCTGAGAAGGGGCACACACAAGCACTCCTCTCGCCACCGTCACGTGCGCTGCTGCCTTTCTCCCTCATCTCCCTCCCTCCTCATCTTCTCACATCCTCTGCTGACTCTACAATGGCTTGCGATGCGAACGCCGTCGCCCTCCCGCCATGCCTCTCAGGGCAACGGGGATGGGAAGGCCAAGAACTTCAGCGAGATGCGTACAGACAGTCTCCCATGCGCCGCTCGACTCACAAGGTTTTGATGGTTCAGGAGAGGGTTGGAAATTTACATTCTTCCGGAACCAGACGATATTAGTGGAAAGCATTCAAGACCATTCGACACGCCAATCGCAGAAGCCTATCGTAGAACTGACGCCTACACAAACACCGCGGTCCGGAACTGACGCTTATCAGTCACACGAACAGAGATCATGACGAGCCGTCGCCGTGACATGCGGCAGCGCCTGAATTTCTCACTACTCCTCCTTATCCTTTGCCACGTGGCATCCACGTGTCGTGCGTATCTTCCGCCTATGTTCTCGGCAGCAGCAGACGGCCCCCTCCAAACCCTAATTGGGAGGTCGACTTCGACTGGCTGAGTAACGAGAACCAAATCGCCATGGCTCAATTCGCCGTGGCACAGCACATCGCCGCGTGAGCCTCGCCTCGCCTCGCCTCGCCTCACCTCGCCTTGATTCGCTCCGAGTGCAAGAGTACTCTCTTACGACAGGTGTTGTAACTTCTCCTTAAGAGTTTCAGGTGTTGTACTCTTTCTCTTCAACTCATGCTGACTCACCGCGGCGAGGCTGAACGAGGCCAGGCTAGAGGTGACAAGCGATGGGCGACAGGCGAAACTCCATGTTTCAAGAGCACTTTGCTGCGTTGCTTCTCGTCCCCACTCCCGCCTATTCTCCCTCCCACATCCCCACTGTAGCACAGTCACTCCCTTCCGTTCATTCTTCAACGCTTCCCCCTTTTCTTCTTCCCTTCTCCCCTTCTCCCCTGTTCTTCTCCCCTTCTCTCCTATTTTCCCCTCCTCCCGTTCTTCCCGTCTCCCCGTCTCTCGCCTCTCGAATCTCCACACCAGAACGACAGCCTACAGCCAGTCGGAGTTCTCTATGTGGACCGTGCAGACATTGTCACCCCAGGCATTGCCACCCCAGGCATTGTCACCCCAGGCATTGCCACCCCAGGCATTGCCACCCCAGGCATTGCCACCCCAGGCATTCCCACCCCAGGCATTCCCACCCCAGGCATTCCCACCCCAGGCATTCCCACCCCAGGCATTCCCACCCCAGGCATTCCCACCCCAGGCATTCCCACCCCAGGCATTCCCACCCCAGGCATTCCCACCCCAGGCATTCCCACCCCAGGCATTCCCACCCCAGGCATTCCCACCCCAGGCATTCCCACCCCAGGCATTCCCACCCCAGGCATTCCCACCCCAGGCATTCCCACCCCAGGCATTCCCACCCCAGGCATTCCCACCCCAGGCATTCCCACCCCAGGCATTCCCACCCCAGGCATTCCCACCCCAGGCATTCCCACCCCAGGCATTCCCACCCCAGGCATTCCCACCCCAGGCATTCCCACCCCAGGCATTCCCACCCCAGGCATTCCCACCCCAGGCGGGGATGTACTCGGTTGCTGGAATGAGCTCTCTGCGCATCGCTGGATGCCATAAGCATTCAATACGCCGAACAGGAAACAGTAATGAGCATCAATACTACAAGCATATATACATTAACTCCTGTGCTTTACGGTGCTCAGCTGGTGGAGCAGCAAGTTGCAGGCAGCAGGCAATACCATCATGACACCCGCCCCCTGCCACCCCCAACGATGCCCACCACTGCCACCCCCAACGATGCCCACCACTGCCACCCCCAACGATGCCCACCACTGCCACCCCCAACGATGCCCACCACTGCCACCCCCACTGCTAGCAGTCATCGCCATCCCATTGCCATCCAATGGCCATCCCATCGCCAAGACTTTACCGTGCACCAGACAGGGTGACCCAATGCCAAAGAAGGAAGATCTTTTTTTAAATTTCCTCTATAAACTTCCATAGTTAATCTCCAAAGTATCGGTAGCAAAGTACACACGATGAGCATCGGTTTGCATCCTCCAACGACCAGCATCGGCGAAGGTCCTGCGCAAAGCAACCAGGGTATCTTGATTGTTTGGTCCGTCCAAGAAGACACATTTGGCGGCAGCCAATGGGAGCGAAGAAACGAGAAGCTGCGACTGGCCAATGAGATAGAAGTGGTCGAGAGAGGGAGGACAGGGGCATGCGCAATCTACGTGAAGACTCGCCGCAACGGCACCGAAGGTCTTTAAAGAGGCAGGGAGGGTGAAGCGGAGGTGGAGCGCTTGCTTCTCAAAGCGGAGCACGATAGCTCGAGCAGCGGAGAACTTGAAATCGAGGGTGATAGCGCCAGGGCAATGGCTGGAGGATTTGAGAAAGAATGCATGCAGCTGCGGTGCGACGGATGAAAGAAAGGACAGAGCATTTTCGTTGCACTCAAAATCGTGGATGCCCAGCCTCCTCAGACCCTGGAATTTTGCTGGATTCAGGGTGCCTAGTTGCCACGTCCCATGGCCTAGCGTCAGCCGCTGCAGTTGCTCAAACTCCTCGAGAAAAGCCGGATTCATCAGGTGTCTCTCCTTGATGATAGGCTGAACTCCGCCCGGAGGTTCCTTGATTCCAATGCACAGGTTTGTGAGGAAGCGCGTAGAGGGTCCCAAGAGACGGCCGAGGCAGTGAATTTCCTGAGAGCTGTTGAGAACGACATTGAGGGGCGTGTGGGGGGCGTGCCTGAGGAAGACAGAGAGCGTTCCCGAGGGACGTGTGAGAGCGGGGTCTTGGGGGTTGATAGGCAGAGTCATGGGATTGAACTCCTGCTCGCACACGGTGTGACAGAGAGATGGAGAGATACAGAGAGACGGAGAGAGACGATGGTTGATGACCGCATAGCTCAGCACCCAGAGAAGAAATCCACCATGGCAAAGGCGTGTGAAGAAATGAAACAGAGGAGGTTGTGCGATGGAATGCCATCGTGACTCACGATGGCAACTTCTGAGCTTGGAAGCACGGAGACTAAGTAAGCAGCGCCGATCGTGACTCCCGGAGAAAAGAAGGCTCACGACAACGAGGTAAAGGGGCCGGTGGGCCCAATAAGGGTAGAAGCGCATTAAGACTCACGGGGAACTTGCGCTGTGCATTAAGACTCACGGGGAAGGATGCGACATGGTAGAGGAGCCTTGTGCAGACCATGGCGCAGCGCAGCAGAGGCCAGCAGCAACCGAAAGTCCTCAATGCCTCCGCGCGTTGCTGCTCCGAGGAGTTACCCCAATTTTGCAGTTTATTTTTGAGTCGACTCAAAAGTCCACTCCCAGTGGCACCCGAGGTGCTGCCTGCTTCCTGCTGTGATGCGACGGAAGAGCTACCCCGATTCCGCACTTTATTTTTAAGACGATTAAAAAGTCGAACTAAACCCGAGGTCCCGCGTCCCTCGTGCGATTTGCCCAGCAGCACGTGGCAGAAGATGATGTGCCAGACGGGGCCGGGCAGCAGATCAACCACGTCCACGATCTGAATTGGGGATTCCTTTCAAAAATCAGAAAGAGAGAGAGATAGAGAGCGAGGATAAGACTAATCCATCGTCTTTTCCTGAGGAGGTTGTGGTGAGAATTGAAGGAATCGGCTAGAAATGGTGTGATGTTTCACTGGCTGCGGCATCACTCTCACCTCATTATGATTGGCATCAACGGGAGCTGTAACACTGACAGCTACCTCATCTCCACGGCTAGCCATCAGCGCCAGCGATCAGCTACGCAACTGCCGGCGAATAGGCAAAAAACTGTGATCGAATTCAGGGGTTCTCGGAAAGTGACGACAGGATATTCACAGAAGCCTTCTGAACACAAACACCTCTGTTTGACAACAGCTTTCTTTGTTACGAATCCACCACGAGACTCAAACAGCCAACTCAAATATAGATGCTTTCAGGCTACCGGTGAAATCAGTTACGTTGCTTGCCTTGTGGTGGATTCATAATGATATCTGTTGCTGATCCTGTATGTTGCTGGGGTTATTAATCCCTTCCTGTCACGGATCACGAAGCACTCCCTTCCTCCTCCTGACATCTCTGTGACCCACGCTCTAAACACTCGCTGCGCCGGCGAGGACAGGCACTTCAAGGACCGCCTGCAACGCATCGCCAATCGCCTGAGATGTAATTCGTCAGCCAACTGAATAAATACATCCATACCGCCTTACACGTAATCAGCCAGTTGTTTTGAAAACCAACCGCTTCGCTTCTCTAGCAACGGAGGGCGAAACCTGTACCAGTCCCAGAAGGATTGCCTCGCCTCGCCTCACAAGTTCACAATGGAGTGGGGGTTGGCAATGGTTTGCTGTAGATGGGAATGCTGTTGAACACTCGGAGTTTGGCAGGCAGATCGAACGGTTATGGTGGCCAAGCAAGGCTTCATCGAGTGGCTCCGAATGGTTCTGACCCATGGATGGAAGGCTTGGATTTGGAAATCGCCTTCATTGTTACGAGCCAATCATAAGGCTGTAACTCCCCTGGAGATGGCAACCAATCATCGAGCGTACTGACGCCCAAAATTCGACACGTTGCTAAATGGTAACCAGTACATTCTTTCGTGTGTGAAGTCCCACGTTCGCGTGTTCCGACTTTCTCCCACTCAAGTCCCTGCCCGTGCTCCAATCCCTGCTGGCAGCGACACACGTAGCGAAAGTATGTAACTCACACCCGGGTGAGTGCCAAACATCGCCAAGAGTCCCCCTCCCCACCTTTTCTTCCCAACTTCGTTGACAGTCACAAACCCCCGTCACGTGCGCTGCTGGCGTTCGTCCTTCATCTCCCTCCCTCGTCATCTTCTCGCATCTCAGCTGAATCCGCAATGGCTTATTCCACGAACACCGTCGCCTTTCCCGGAAACGGCCACCATGCCTCTCAGGGGAACGGGGAACGTCACTCTGGCCAAGAAATGCAGCAAGATGCGTTCAGACAGTCTCCCATGCGCCGCTCGACTCACACTTTTCTGATATTTCAGGAGGGCATTGGAAGAATACATTCTTGCAAAACCAGATGCTACTAGCGGTAACCTACCGTTCGAGATCATTCCGGACGCCAATCGCAGAATCCTGTCGAAATAACAAACACCGCGGTCCGGAACGGACGCCTATCAGTGACAAGAACTTAGGGCTTGCTCGGTACAGAGTCCCTCTACAAGATACGGCGATTATGACGAGCCGTCGCCGTGACATGCGGCAGCACCTGACTTTCCTGCTATGCCTCCTTATCCTTTGCCATGCGGCATCCACGTGTCGAGCGTGTCTTCCGCCTATGTTCTCGGCAGCAGCAGACGGCTCCCCTCCGAACCCTAATTGGGAGGTCGACTTCGACTGGCTGAGCAACGAGAACCAAATCGCCATGGCGCGATTCGCCGTCGCACAGCACAACGCCGCCAAGGTGAGCCTCGCCTCGCATCGCCTCGCCTCGCCTTGATTCACTCCGAGTGCAGGAGTTCTCTCTTGCAACGCGTGTTGTACTCTCGCCTCGAGAGTCTCGATAAGGTGTTGTGCTCTTTCTCTTCAACTCAAGCTGTCTCACCGCGGCGCAGCGGAACGAGAGCACGGCGAGGTAGGCGACAGGCGACAGGCGGCACCCCTTCTTTCAAGAGCACTTCGCTGCTTTGCTTCTCGTCCCTTCTCCCGCGTACTCTCTCTCCCACATCCCCACTGTAGCACAGTCACTCCCTTCCGTTCATTCTTGAGCGCTTTCCCCTTTTCTTCTTCCCTTCTCCCCTTCTCCCCGTCCCCCCTTCTCCCCGTCTCCCCTTCTCCCCGTCTCCCCTTCTCCGTGTCTCTCGCCTCTCCACACCAGAACGACAGCCTACAGCCAGTCGGAGTTCTCTATGTGGACCGACCAGACATTGCCAGCACAGGCAACGGCAGCACAGGTGGGGAGGAGTACCGCGTGTCACTGGCAGCTCTCAACCTGCTGCGCGGCCGCACTGCCTTATTCGACGCCCTCCTCTCCCGCCGCCCTCTCGTGGCCGCGCAATCCGCGCTCCCTGCTGCTGCCCCTCCATTAGCAGCCTCAGCCACACCGGTAGCCACAGCAGCAGCAGCCGCAGCAGCAGCTGCACCCACTTCTGCAGCAGCGTCCTTCGCGGCAGCGTCCGTCGCAGCAGCAGCAGCGGCAGGAGGAGGAGGAGAGGGAGTGGGAGAGGGATGGCAGTACACGTTGAAGTCGTTCGTGGTGCAGGCGGGGTGGGGGCATGCGAGCACGCGGGAGGAGCAGGAGGCGGCGCTCAGGCACGTGGTGCCGGTGACCCCCCCTCCTCCCCTCCTCCCCTCACCCCTTCCTCTCCAGGCACGTGGTGCCGGTGACTCCCCCTCCGTGTGGCGATGAGTTGACTTTCGTTGACTCCTCAGATGTGGACGTGCAGCGCGTGGCACCAGAGGCGGTGGCGAGTGCGAGTGAGAGGCAGGTGAGCTTTAGACGAGTGGGATGGGATGAAATTCGTCCTTCGCAGGAGCCAGTCAGTTTGCACTTCGTTCTCTCCACTTGGACCCATGCTCAGACCCAGTAACGCTGCCTTCTTCCTTCCTTGCCCTCTCTCCCCCCCCCCCCCCTTCCCCCCCCCACAGGGCAGCGCGCTGCTGCTGATTTCGGTGCTGGAGGCACGGTTGATGATACCGGGGTACAGAGACAACACGCTCACACTGCTGGCAGCAGATAACACCACCCGCATGGTGGCACACTATGCCACGCACGCACTAGATCTAGGGCTGACGAACAACAGCAACGCCACGCCTGATACTTCACAAAGAGGGAATGCGAGTGGGAGGAGTGTGGTGAATGTGACGTGGTTTGCGGTGGTGCCGGGGACGCAGCGGAATGCAACAGCGGGGGAGATGGGCGTGGCGGCAGCAGGGGGGTGTGGAGCAGTGGGCGTGGCGGCAGCAGGGGGGTGTGGAGCAGTGGGGCTGGCGGCAGCAGGGGGGTGTGGAGCAGTGGGGGTGGCGGCAGCAGGGGGGTGTGGAGCAGTGGGGGTGGCGGCAGCAGGGGGGTGTGGAGCAGTGGGGGTGGCGGCAGCAGGGGGGTGTGGAGCAGTGGGGGTGGCGGCAGCAGGGGGGTGTGGAGCAGTGGGGGTGGCGGCAGCAGGGGGGTGTGGAGCAGTGGGGGTGGCGGCAGCAGGGGGGTGTGGAGCAGTGGGGGTGGCGGCAGCAGGGGGGTGTGGAGCAGTGGGGGTGGCGGCAGCAGGGGGGTGTGGAGCAGTGGGGGTGGCGGCAGCAGGGGGGTGTGGAGCAGTGGGGGTGGCGGCAGCAGGGGGGTGTGGAGCAGTGGGGGTGGCGGCAGCAGGGGGGTGTGGAGCAGTGGGGGTGGCGGCAGCAGGGGGGTGTGGAGCAGTGGGGGTGGCGGCAGCAGGGGGGTGTGGAGCAGTGGGGGTGGCGGCAGCAGGGGGGTGTGGAGCAGTGGGGGTGGCGGCAGCAGGGGGGTGTGGAGCAGTGGGGGTGGCGGCAGCAGGGGGGTGTGGAGCAGTGGGGGTGGCGGCAGCAGGGGGGTGTGGAGCAGTGGGGGTGGCGGCAGCAGGGGGGTGTGGAGCAGTGGGGGTGGCGGCAGCAGGGGGGTGTGGAGCAGTGGGGGTGGCGGCAGCAGGGGGGTGTGGAGCAGTGGGCGTGGCGGCAGCAGGGGGGTGTGGAGCAGTGGGGGTGGCGGCAGCAGGGGGGTGTGGAGCAGTGGGGGTGGCGGCAGCAGGGGGGTGTGGAGCAGTGGGGGTGGCGGCAGCAGGGGGGTGTGGAGCAGTGGGGGTGGCGGCAGCAGGGGGGTGTGGAGCAGTGGGGGTGGCGGCAGCAGGGGGGATGTGGAGCAGTGGGGGTGGCGGCAGCAGGGGGGTGTGGAGCAGTGGGGGTGGCGGCAGCAGGGGGGTGTGGAGCAGTGGGGGTGGCGGCAGCAGGGGGGTGTGGAGCAGTGGGCGTGGCGGCAGCAGGGGGGTGTGGAGCAGTGGGGGTGGCGGCAGCAGGGGGGTGTGGAGCAGTGGGGGTGGCGGCAGTGTGTTCACCAGCAGCAACAGCGGGGGAGGTGGGCGTGGCAGCAGCAGGGGGGTGTGCCGGGAGGAATGCGAGCAGCAGCAGCGCTGGTGGCGGCGTGCGTTCAACAGCAGCAGCAGCAGAACCAACAGCATTAGCAGCAGTGGCATTTTGGAGTGGGACTTGGCACGGGCCATGGCAGGGGTGTGTGTGGATGAGGGGTGGGTGCTCATCCCTGCTGCCGCCACTGCTGACAATTCAGCCACTCCCATTGCCTCCTATAGTGCCTCCTCCACTGCCTCCTCCAATGCCTCTTTTAATGCCTCCACGACCCCCCCCTATACCGACGCCTACAATGGCTTCTCCATGCGCTCCCTCACTCTCTTCTCCATGCGCTCCCTCACTCTCTTCTCCATGCGCTCCCTCACTCTCTTCTCCATGCGCTCCCTCACTCTCTTCTCCATGCGCTCCCTCACTCTCTTCTCCATGCGCTCCCTCACTCTCTTCTCCATGCGCTCCCTCACTCTCTTCTCCATGCGCTCCCTCACTCTCTTCGCTCTGGACCAACTCAATCGGAACAACAGCCTCCCCTCCAATGTGACTCTGCTGGATGTGCTTGTAGCGTGGGCGAATGTGGTGGAGGGGGCAGGGAACAACTACAGCGTGACTGTAACAGCAGCGGTGGCTTTCCGCCTCGTTGACGTCTTTCTGCTGGATGCGGGAGGTGGTGAGGGGGGGAGTGTGAAGCAGGAGGGCTTCTGGCTTATTGACTGTGCTTACCCCCCACCTCCGGGGTATGTTCAGCTTGCTAACTGCACGGCATTACCCAAGGCTGGCTTCTCCGTTGCTGCACCGATAGGGCTAGTAACATGGTTTCGTGTGCTGCTCCCCCTTGTACTTGTGCTGGTTCCTATGTAGGTAGGGTTCACATCCTCCTTGCTAACTGCACGGCAGTGCCCAAAACTGGCTTCTCCGTTGCTCCACCGATGGGACTTGTACCGTAACATGGTTTCGTGTGCTGCTCTCCCTTGGGCTTGTGCTGGCAGGCACTCTTGTAGAGAGGGGTGCATGCCTGCGTTGTTGTAAGGCATGATGGGGTCGATGCTGTGCTTGGAAGTTGGTCATGAAGGAAAGATAGACGCATCACAAACGAAGTTGCACTCCTGGCATGCATGATAGGGGGCACTTACGGTGAGATTGACACGTGGGGAAACTGGTACGTACATTGTTGGTGCTTTGCTTACCTTACGGTACTAGTTTTCTTTGAGATATTACTGGGTTCAATAAGCATGGCAACAACTGGTGGTGCAGTATCGACTTCGTGATCCAAATTAATCGCAAAACGGGTGTAATGTACAGTCAGTAGTACAGTCTTCTTTGCAACAGACAGAGTGACCAGTTGCACGCAAGAGTGACCACTATTGTCCCCCTCCCCTACCCTCCACACCCTTCCCTTGCTTGCGCGTCTCACCCCTGGATAACTAGGTTTTATTCACTCACAGACTTGCTGCAGTATTCTATCAACTGTCTCAATACATGAACTAACTTCAGAGGCATTGAATGAATCGCATCAGCCCATCATCATGCGCCATGTCCCCCTGGGTCATGTCACGTGCATCACGCTCTGGCTCTAGCTGCATTACGGGCTCCTTTCTCCGCCCTTCCCCGTCCTCCTCCCCCTCCCCCTCCCCCTCCCCCTCCCCCTCCCCCTCCCCCTCCCCCTCCCCCTCCCCCTCCCCCTCCCAGTGAAACGACCGACCAACATTACAGTACAGCGCCAGAGAAGGAAAGCGCCTGCGCAGCGAAGCAAGCGTTGCGGGCTGCCACAGTCGAGTGGCAACAAAAATCGACTCCAGCTTTGGAGCATCAATAAAGGGAAGGGTTACCGCTTCAAGTGTGGTGGGCCTACTCACCATACGAGCACCGTGTGCAAACTGTACTCTCTCGATCCTGGCGTTCACACCAATCCCAAGACAGCGCAGGCGGCTCCACTCTGCATGCACGTTCTCCAGAGGCCAGCCATACCTCACTGTCAGCATCTCCACCGTTGGCGCTATGCTGCTGAGCAGCTGCGTGAGGGAAGCTTGGGAAGCGGTCAACAGAAGTTGAGGGTCGGGAGCGAATCTGGAAAGCAGAGTTGGGTCGACCTCTTGTTTGGTGATTGGTCCGTTCAAATAGACAGATTTGGCGGAAGCCAACGGGAGCGAAGAAACGGAGAGCTGTTTGCGGCCAACCAAAGAGATGGAGTCAAGAGAGAGAGGGCTGTCGCACTTGCAGTCAACGTGAAGCGACTCTGCTGTAAGAGTGAAGGTCTTTAAAGAGGGTGGGAGGGAGAAACGAACGTTGAGCACATGGTTTTTTAAGTTGACTGTAACGAGTCGAGCAACATCGAACTTCAAACTGAGAGTGGTAGAGCCAAGGCTGATGGAGGAGAGCGAGAATTCATGCAGCTGCGGTGCGAGTTCAGACAGGAAGCGATGTTCATTCCTGTCGCAGTACCACTGCTTGACGCTCAGACTCCTTAAATGCTTGAACCATGGAGCCTGCAGTTTGCCTAGCGTCCACCTCCCACGGCCTAGCTTCAGCCGCTGCAGCTGTCGAAAGGTCTCAAGATAGGACGGACATCTCAGCTGTCCGACCCTGTACTCGAAAGGTTTAAGGCTCAGGCTTGTGAGGGAGTGAGCAGAGGATGCCATAAGCTGACCGAGGCTGCGAAGGTCCCCATCGCTGTTATACACGAGGTCAACGCATCTGTGGGCTTTCCGTTTGAAAAACCATGAGACTGAACCTGCCCACTTGGGGTCGAAGCTGTCGTACACCAGGGCGATTGGCTGCTGCTCCTCCTGCTCACACATAAATGACAATTCAGCAGCCAGAGCAGGATTTTCCAAGTTAAACCATGACAGATGGTAGAGGGACTTGGGAGTGACAGTACGGTTCAATACCCAGAGCAGGAAGTTCCATGCTGCGAAAATGAACGGCAGAGGACGAGGTTGTTGAGACTGAAAGATGAACCAACCAGTGAACGACTCACGGAGAAGGAGATGATATGTTCGAAGAGTCGATTGCTGGCCATGGCGCAGCGCAGCAGAGGCCAGGAGGAGCCGAAGCGCCTTGCGTTCTCCTCATGCTGCTCGCTCGCAGAAAGCGGACTGGCTGTGGCACATGAGGTGCTGCCTGCTCTCTGCTGTAATGCGTCCAAAGAGTTGTCCCGTTCCTGAGTGGAATTGGCTGGCGGCAGCAGCAGGTGGCGGAAGATGATGTGCCAGATGTGGTCGGGCAGCAGATCAACCACGTCCACGCTCTGGTGGGTGGGTTAAGGGAAAAACGTATTGGAGACGAGATAGGAAGGGAGCGGGAGAGGGTGTGGGAGGGGCCTTGCGATATGCGAGGAAACAGAGGTTTGACAGCACTGTGTCTGGCATCATGCTCACCTGGTGGTGGTAATCACCATCATCGTCATCATCATCGTCATCAGCACAGGGCTGTGTGAGTTGGAGAGCAGCGATTCTCTCTTCCAGCACCGAGTCCCCATGGGTAGAGGCCATTCACGCAGTGAAACCCTCAGGATGGGATTCGACTAGGCTAAAACGACTCGTCGGACGATTGAGTACTGACGGAATGAAGAAAGCGGAACTTAGAGAAGCTATGATTTACTCCCCGGACGGCTATTAGGCTATTGACAAGCGAGCGGGTCCTCCTGGCGTGGAGTGTGCTGACCTGAATCTCTAACACTGAACTCGAAGCCGCGCGGTCGTCCCACTACCCCGCTCGCCCCGTACTCGCACAATTTTGAAACCCTAGCCTCACCGGTCAGGGTCGGGCAGGACGAAATTCCCCTGTCGTCGTCATGGCGGTAAACAGTCACTGGCGGTAAACAGCGGCGCGACGGGCTGACCGAGTCCGTGCCAGCGCGACACGGCGAGGCAGGAAATGTCACTGAGCGACCAGGGAAAAGAGGACTGCGCGGTGTGTTCCGCGGTCTGTCCGCGAAAGTTCCGTCGGGAAATGTTCCGGGGTGTTTCCCCAGGCAAATGGCCTTGGCATTGAAGCGACGGATTCCATTCGTTGTTCTACAAAGTCTAAATGCACAACGAGCGTCAGATATCAGCTGCTGCTTCGCCAGCTGGCGGTGTGCTCGCAGACTTCACGTGGGACGTGGTAACAACAACTTTCTCGTCCAGGAGGCTGTAACAATTTTCGTCACGCTTCGTCTCACGCAGCAATACTACGCGTAGACGGCAGCCGTGGATCGCTTTTATTGCGATTCGCGACTCTCGAATGATCTTGCAAAACGTCCTACCTACAAATCGCTATGATCCAATGCCCTAGGTTCCAGTATCACACCTCCCTAGGTGCCCGTTTCATACCTCTCGAATGCACTAGGTAACATCCCTCCATCCATCCTCCGTGTCCTGAAAGGCGAAACTTTGTGTACCCGTTTGAAGGTGTCTCAATTCATGGTGGCCCATCTCCGTTGAAATATAAAATCGTACCGTAGTTTCATCTTGTCATTGGAAGGGATCGTCTCAGCAGGATTTTTAATGCGAACCAAGCACACGCCAACAATATACATCGCAAAAAAAGCTGTATATACAAAACACCAGAGCAAAGCATAAAAACAAAGCATCAATAATACACAACTACAAGCCTTCACGATCTCCTCTGCATTGCTGTGCTCAGCTGGTGGAGCAGCAGCCCTGTGCCCTGGCAGCAGCAGACAGCAAACAGCAGGCAGCCCCATCACGAAACCGACAGGAACTAGCTCAGGCACCAGCATCATCATCAGCTGTCCCAGCCGTACAAGTATGGGATGGTGATGGGACGGTGGTGGGATTGCCACCGCCACTGCTAACACCGAACATGATGACCCATGCCCCTGACCCATGGCATGGGGAACGTGATCTAACCCCATGCTATCACTGTGACACTAGGGGATCCCATGCTATCACTGTGACACTAGGGGATCCCATGCTATCACTGTGACACTAGGGGATCCCATGCTACCGCTACCACACGTGTTTCCATACTATCACCGTGACACAATCTGACCCCATCCCACTGCTATGACACAATCTGACCCCATGCCACCGCTATGACACAATCTGACCCCATGCCACTGCTATGACACAATCTGACCCCATGCCACTGCTATGACACAATCTGACCCCATGCCACTGCTATGACACAATCTGACCCCATGCCACTGTTAGAGTAGGGTTGATATTGACTGTCGAGAAGTTTGGTACAAAGGTAAAACCTAAGGGGTTGTACCCCACAGTGAGTGCCCCACTAAAGCCTACCTAAACTATAATATATAAACATATGTTTGACACACCCCCATAGGCAAAGTGGGGGAGAGCAAGGGGTCACAAGACCAGTCAAGAAAGGCAAAGCAAGCTCAGGGTGGATCACAACGTCACCACACTCACTGAGCACAAGCAAAGGGCCACAAGGCCAGTTCACATGCAGAGGCATATATGTAACACAAACATCACAGTGATCTCTACCTAGCAAAGCAAGCATGCAGGTATATACATATATAGATCACAGTACAAGCAAGGCCTACAGCAAGTGAGGAAAAGTGGGCACAAGCCCTAGCATAGTGCAGAAACGCTGATGATCACCAGCCTGAAGTGCCTTGGTGAATATATCAGCAGTGTTGGCTCGAGTGGCCACGTAACGCAGACGAAGCTGACCACGCTGCTGCAACTCTCGAGCCAGAAAGTAACGCAGAGCGATGTGCTTCGTTCTGTGCTCCAGTCTGTGCTCCTCACACAAGGCAATGGTAGCCTTGTTGTCGAAGTACAGCACTGGAGGAGAACGAGGCCGCTCTCCCAAGTCAGTCAGCAGGTAGGTGAGCCAGCGTAACTCCTGTGCAGCCATGGCTGTGGCGTAGATCTCAGCCTCACAACTGGAGCTGAGAACTGAAGACGAGCGTGTAGAACGCCACGAAACTGAACCAGAGCCAAGGCTGAAGGTGTAACCCTGTGACGACCGCTGTGTAGCCTGGTCGTCAACCCAAGAAGCGTCTGAGTGCCCAGTGAGAACAACTGAGCTCCTCCCTCCAAGCACGAGCCCCATGCCTGATGTACTGCACAAGTAGCGCAGTACCCTCTTAGCAGCATCCATGTGCACCTTTCGGTGCCGACCAGGAGCCATGTAGCGAGCCAGAAGGCCAAGAGGGTACGCAAGGTCAGGACGAGTGCAGGTCATCAGGTACATGAGGCAGCCAACTAGCTCTGGGTAAGGACCACTCGGCTCTACGGACTCGTCCGAAGGTGGAGCTGAGAGCGAGTGACCTGTAGCCAGAGGAGTGGCCTGTGCCGAGGACCAGGTGAAGCCGAAGCGCTGAAGGACCTGCTGCACCATGTGTGACTGAGTCAGTGTGATGGTGCGGCGTGCTCTGTCCCGGGTGATCCGCAAGCCAAGATAGCTTGTCAGCTCACCCAGGTCTGTGCACGTGTGTCTCTTCTGCAGCTCCAACTTCACGTGGGCGAGAGCCTCAGTGTCAGCAGTGGCAAAGACCAAGTCGTCGACGTACACGAGGATGTAGAACGGCGGCAGCGAAGTGTCGGTGCGTAGAAACAGCGACGGGTCAGCAGTCGACGGAGCAAACCCAAGAGCCGCAAGTGTCGTCCTCAGTGTGTCGTGCCACTCACGTGGCGCCTGGCGGAGACCGTAGACCGGCCGCCTGAGGCTCCACTGGGTACCAGGAGGGAACGACCCAGTGAAGCCAGGTGGGCGGCGCAGCCAGATCTCCTCGTGCAGGCTGCCCTGTAAGAAGGCTGTGCTGAAGTCAAGAGAGTGAAGCTCGTAGTCACGCTGAGCGGCAACGTGCAGCAGCACCCGAAGAGTGGTCATCTTCGGGGTGGGGGAGAAGGTCTGGAAGAAGTCTACTCCCTCTCGCTGACTGAAACCTCGTGCAACGTAACGCGCCTTGAAGACAGGCGGAGAACCTGGCGGCCGCTTCACCCTGAAAATCCACATGCCACTGACGATGTTCGCCCCAGGTGGGGGAACCTCGTCGACGTAGGTGCCTGTGGACTTCCAGGATGCCATCTCTGCGTCCATGGCTGTCTGCCACTGAGAGGAGTACTCACCCGCGATCGCCTCAGCGTAAGAGCGCGGGGTCGGGATGTCTGGAGCATCCGGGTCTCCCTCAGGGGCAAGCAGCATGGACACGAGATGAGGCGCAGCGGCTGCAAGACACTCAAGGTCCTCCTGCCCGTCCTCAAGGACGTCCGTGCCAAGAGCGCACTCACCCCCGACGGACGGAGGACAGACAGACTCATACTCAGCAACAAGACTAGCGGCGTAGTCTAGACGACAGGCAGCAGCAAAGTCAACAAGCTCAGCAACTAAGGCAGACGTAGTAGCAGACTCAAACGACGGGTCAGTGACAACAGTGGCTAGCAGACGCGTAACAGTAGGGTGCTCAGCACGAAACCGGTCAGACTCGGGGTCCGCAACGACAGGCAGAGAAGACGCAGGAGGGGACGGCAGAGGAACACGCTGTGGAGGAGAGGAAAGTCGACGGACTACGAGGTGGGTGTCGGGGACAGCCGGCAGACGCGGACGAGGAACACGACGACCGGAACGACCAGAACAGACAGGCGAGACAGGACGCGACGCAGGCTCACGACGCTCAGTAAAACTCCCTAGCTGCTCAGTGTAAGGAGAAGGAGCAGGCAGCGGTGAACCAGGCTGCAACGGAAGACCAGTAGAGGAAGGGAGACTAAGAACCTGGTGAAGCACAGAGTCAGGCGGTGGCTGAGACGACGGAGACGGTGGAGTGAAGAACAGGCGCGGCTGTGCAGTGACACCAGCACCAGCAGCTCCAGTACCCCCAGCAGCTCCAGAAACTCCAGCAGCTACAGAACCTCCAGCGCCAGCTCCTCCAGGACCAGCTCCACCAACAGCAGCACCCCCAGAACCGGCACCTCCAGTCCCAGGGTCTCCAGCCGCAGTGCCTCCAGCAGCAGCACCCTCAGACTCAGCACCTCCAGCCCCAGCAGCTCCAGTACCTCCAGTACGAGCACCTCCGGGACCAGCACCACTCCCAGCTCCAGTGGCGACAGCAGAAGTACCTCCAGCGGCAGAGCCCCGAGCTCCAGAAGCGCGACCCTGACGGCGACCGTACCAGTCATGCAGCTGCTGCGAGGTGAGAGGCACACGCGGACGAAGGCGGCTACTCCAAGGAAGCCGCGCAACAGCAGACTCAGAACCCTCAGCGCCAGAACCCGCAGCAGCTCCAGAACCTCCAGCGCCAGCACCCTCAGCAGCTCCAGAACCTCCAGCTCCAGCGTCACCAGCGCCAGTACCTCCAGCAGCTCCAGAACCTCCAGCGCCAGCACCCTCAGCAGCTCCAAAACCTCCAGCTCCAACGCCCTCAGCAGCTCCAGAACCTCCAGCAGAAACAACTCCAGTGGCAGAGTCACCAGCTCCAGCGCCTCCCGCAGCAGGGCCCCTAGCTCCAGCAGCGCGACCCTGACGGCCAGCGTACCACTCAAGCAGCTGCTGTGGGGAGAGAGGGAGTCGACGACGAGAGTGCAGCGGCGAGGCACCAGCGGAGCGACTACGGAGACGGCCGCTCCCGGGAGACTGCTCACCAGACGCCTCAGTGCCCCCAGGCTCAGCACCCCCAGACTCCTCACACCCAGGCTCAGCACCTACAGTCTCCGCACCCCCAGGCTCCGCACCCCCAGGCTCAGCACCCCCAGGCTCAGCACCCCCAGGCTCAGCACCCCCAGGCTCCGCACCCCCAGGCTCAGCACCCCCAGCAGCAGCACCACCCTCAGCAGGACCTGAGTCACCAGTGGCCTCAACCTGAGGAGGAGGGTCTACCTGAGACACACCTGAAGGAGCAGGACCGGGAGCGGGGAGGGGGTCTACCTGGGGAGCACCTGGAGCGAGGAAGAGCGGCGGGGGGGGGAGAGGGGCAGTGCGGTAGGGGAAGAGACGGTAAAAGGGAACCGACTCGTCGAACGTGACGTCCTGAGAGGGGAAGACACGGCGCGAGGTGGGGTGGTAAAACTGCCAACCAGGCGCGTCAGGGACGAAGCCAAGGAAGACACAGGGAACAGCGCGGGCGGAGAGCTTGTCCGCAGTGGTATCGCGGACAAAGGCACGAGCACCCCAGACCCGGAAACGCGATGCATCGCCAACCTTCCCCGTCCACAGCAGTGTGGGCGAGGTCTCCGGCAAGGAGACACGGGGCCAGAGGTTGAGCTGATACGCGGCGTACCGGACCGCAAACGGCCACTGAAAATGGGGGGCAGCCGCATGGATCATGGAGGTACGAGCGACCTCCATGACTAAGCCAATGCGGCGCTCAGCAACCCCATTCTGTTGCGGAGAGGCCGGAAGCGTGAAGGACTGGCGGATGCCGTGCTCCGCACAGTAGGCTGCCAAGAGGTCTGAGGAGAACTCATCACCTCTGTCAGAGTGCAGACGCAGGACAGGAAAGTCCGACTGGAACCGCTCGCGGAGCTGGAGACGAGTAGCGCGGATCCAGGGGATCAAAACATCAGGGACCTCCCCCTTGCTGCGCAAGGGGAAGACCGTGGTGTAACGCGTGTAGTCGTCGACGACCAGCAGGAAGTACCGCTCGCGGCCCTGTCCACGGACGCGGGTTGGGCCCCACACGTCCAGGTGGAGAGTCTGCAAGGGAGCCTCTGTGGGAGGGAACGAGGAAGAGTGAGGAGCGGCGCGCTGCCGCCCCTCGACACAGGGAAGACAGGGAGGAGCAGGCGAGGGTGGGAGGGGAGGGAGAACCCTGGGAAGACCAGAGACAAGGACACGGCGGTGCATGCTGCGAAGGCGCTGCACCGAGGGGTGACCAAGGCGGTGGTGCCAAAGGAGGGTCTGGTGCGACAAGGCACGACACGAGCAGGGGGCCGACAACTGACCTGACGCAGACGCAGACGCAGCTACCTGAGGGGACTCAGTGGTCAGTGTGTACAGGCCCGACCCCGGCTGCCGAGTGAAGGTAGCCAGGTGACGACCAGTCTGAGCACACGTGCAGTGTGTCACACGCTCGTAGGCAGGGGTGAACTGGTGAACACCCGCGTCCTGGAGCGCGGAACCCGCCACCAAGTTCGTAGAGAACGAGGGGAGGTAAAGACCCGACAGTGTGCCAGACGGGACAGCAGGACAAGGGAGGACAGTGGAGGAGGTCGCACGGATAAAAGGGCTTGTTAAGTAGCGGGTCAGTGCGCCCATAACCCCCCAGGCCAACATGCCTGTAACCCTTCCCTAGGATCAATCGAGGATCACCAGTGGACCTCTGACACCCCCCCGCACTGGGATGCCCGAAGTGCACACACTGGGATTCGAACCCGAGACCTTCGCTCTGATACCATGTTAGAGTAGGGTTGATGTTGACTGTCGAGAAGTTTGGTACAAAGGTAAAACCTAAGGGGTAGTACCCCACAGTGAGTGCCCCACTAAAGCCTACCTAAACTATAATATATAAACATATGTTTGACAGCCACCGCTATGACACAATCTGACACCTTGCCACCGCTATGACACAATCTGACCCCATGCCACCGCTATGACACAATCTGACACCATGCCACCGCTATGACACAATCTGACCCCATGCCACCGCTATGACACAATCTGACCCCATGCCACTGCTATGACACAATCTGACCCCATGCCACTGCTATGACACAATCTGACCCCATGCCACTGCTATGACACAATCTGACCCCATGCCACCGCTATGACACAATCTGACCCCATGCCACTGCGATGACACAATCTGACCCCATGCCACTGCGATGACACAATCTGACCCCATGCCACTGCGATGACACAATCTGACCCCATGCCACTGCTATGACACAATCTGACCCCATGCCACTGCTATGACACAATCTGACCCCATGCCACCGCTATGACACAATCTGACCCCATGCCACTGCGATGACACAATCTGACCCCATGCCACTGCGATGACACAATCTGACCCCATGCCACTGCGATGACACGCTGTGTTTCCAAACTAGCCTGCGACGCCTTTCTGACCTAACCTAATCACATCGCTCCTCTCATACCAGCTCCTAACCCCGTACGATGCTAGGGAAGGGAACTGCCTGCGCAGAGCATCCGGAATGCCCGGTTGCCGCTCGATAGTGGCATAGTAAAAAGACTCAAGGTTCGGAGCATCGATGTACTTGCTGCTGCCGCTGCTGCTGCTGCTGCTGATCCCTTTTTTCCCACCAAAGAACCTCCAAAACCGAGAGTCCTCCGGATCCTCCGAGCTTTCTTTGTAACTGAACCCCCCAGTGGCAGTGCTATAACGGTTCACACCAACGATGAGGTGCCGCAGCTGGCTCCACTCCACACGCACGCCCTCCAGCGGCCAGCCGTACCTCGTTTTAAGCGTCTCCACTGTAAACGCTATGCTGCTAAGCAGGTGGGTCAAGGCGAGTTGAGAGGCATCATCGGAAGAGGGAAACGCACGCCAGCGATTTGCTCGGGTGATTGCCCCGTTCAGATAGACGGATTTTGCGGCAGCCAATGGGAGCGAGGAAACGAGGAGCTGCGAGTAGCCAACGAGAGAGAGCGAGTCGAGAGAGGGAGGGCTGGAGGAAGTGCAATCCACGTTAAGGGACGCCGCAGTGGCAGAGAAGGCCTTTAGAGAGGCAGGCAGGGCGTAGCGGAGGTGCAGCGCTTGTTTCTCAAAGCAGAGCGTGATGGTTCGAACGGCAGTGAACTTGAAATCGAGGGTGAGAGTGCCAGAGCCATGGCTGGAGGAGGCGAGAGCGATTTCACGCAGCTGCGGTGCGACGGATGAGAGGAAGGACAAATCATTCTCGTCGCACTCGAAATCGTGGATGCTCAGAGTCCTTAAAGCCTGGAACTTTGCTGGATCCAGGCTGCCTAATTGCCAAGTCCCACGACCTAACTTCAGCCGCTGCAACTACTGAAACTCCTCCAGAAAGGCCGGATGCATCACGTGCCTCTCCTTGATGATTGGCTCTTTCCCCCCCGGAGGTTCCTTGATTCCAAGGCCCAGGCTTGCGAGGCGTTGAGAGTGAGAGACGGCCGAGGCAGTCCAGATCTTGGGAGGCGTTGAGAGTGAGATCAAGGGACGTGTGAGCTGCACGACGCAGGAAGAAATAGAGCATGCCTGACCACCAGGGGTCTTGAGCGTTGAATCGGAGGGTCTTGGACTCGAGCTCCTGCTCACACACAGCGAAGGACACAGCGAAGGACTGAGATGGCAGAGGAGAATTTACCATACACTCAGCTACCCAGAGAGCATAATTTACCCATACACTCAGCTACCCAGAGAGCAGAATTTACCATACACTCAGCTACCCAGAGAGCAAAATTTACCCATACACTCAGCTACCCAGAGAGCAGAATTTACCATACACTCAGCTACTCAGAGAGCAGAATTTACCCATACACTCAGCTACCCAGAGAGCAGAATTTACCATACACTCAGCTACTCAGAGAGCAGAATTTACCATATACTCAGCTACCCAGAGAGCAGAATTTACCCATACACTCAGCTACCCAGAGAGCAGAATTTACCATACACTCAGTTACTCAGAGAGCAGAATTTACCCATACACTCAGCTACCCAGAGAGCAGAATTTACCATACACTCAGCTACTCAGAGAGCAGAATTTACCATACACTCAGCTACCTAGAGAGCAGAATTTACCCATACACTCAGCTACCCAGAGAGCAGAATTTACCCATACACTCAGCTACCCAGAGAGCAGAATTTACCCATACACTCAGCTACCCAGAGAGCAGAATTTTCTGAGATGAGTTGTATAAAAGAAGGTTGTACGGTGGAATGAGGGAAGGGAAGCATCGCACGATGATGAGATGACTCACGGAAAAGGAGATGGCATGGAGGAGTAGCCTCTTGCTGGCCACGGCGTAGCGCAGCAGCGGCCAGGAGGGGCCGAAGCGCCTCAATGCCTTCGCATGCTGCTCCGTGCTGGCAGGAAACAGACGAGCTGTGGCGTTCGAGGTGTTGCGTGCTCGCTGCTGCGATGCACCAGAGGTGTCACTCCGTTTCTCCGGAGAATGATGTGCCAGCAGGTGGCGGAAGATGATGTGCCAGATGTCACCGGGCAGCAGATCAGCCACGTCCAACCTCTGGTGGGTGGGGAGAGAGAAGAACTGGAGGCGGAGCGAGGAATTGAGGGGGTTATGGCAGTGTGAAGAGAAACGAGAAATCAGTTCCCCTGCCTGTGGAATCACTCTCACCTCATAATTCTGGGCATTAGAGAGTGCTGTGAGCTTGAGAGTATACATCCTCTCCAGAATCTCGTTACTATGATGGTAAGCCATGGCCGGCGAAAGTTTAGGTAACCAATTGATTCGTCTAAGCTAGAAGCATGCTCGATAACAGATGTTCACAGAAAGTTGAAGACAAATCTCCCCTCAAGCTCCTGGCATTGAACTCGCTGGCGTTGAAATGCGTTCGCTGAGCGATTCTCTCCGAAAATTATTCGAGCGATTTTCTCGAGGGGGTATTCAAGTCACTCGTGAATCGTGGTCGTCCTACCCGCCTTTCGCCGAACTCGCACTCTTGTGAATCCCTCACTGATAATCACATCCGTGATTCGGCCCATCGGGCTGACCGATTCGGAGTCCGTAGGAGCACGACACGGCGAGGAACGGCAGGCAGCGGCCGAGCAAGGCGTGGATAAGTGATAGCGGTGCGACTTTTGAGACGGCAGGCAGCGGCCGAGCAAGGCGTGGATAAAAGACAGCGGTGCGGGATTTCTGACAAGCGGCAACAGAAACTGTGTAATTCGTCATGCTTTGGTCGTTCCGCCATGACTTCGCCGCTACCACGCGTCGGCGAGAATACCAGCCGTGTTTTCAGCTGCCGAAACCACGCATGCATGCATGGCAAGGCTTGCACGGCAGCCATGCACCCTTTTCCTTGGCACGCGTCGGCAACAGCCAGCTCATTCATGGCGTCGTTCAATTCAACGACTATTCGAGCTACATAACTGTGAGACCTGCACATAGTCCTCAAGTAGTGGGTGTTAGAGTAAGGATCTTGGATAGGATAGGATAGTGCTTTTGGTAGAGTTGGTAGCGGAAGTCTTGTAAGAACTCAGATCATAGTGAATGTAGATGACCAAGTTGATTAAAAGATAGAATACAAGGAATATAAATAGTCCTAGTCTAGCCATGTACTCTAAGGGGTACATTCCCTTATTATAACTGCTTTACAGGCAATTCTACAGTGACTCTGACTTTTGCGCTTCTTTCTTGTTACCGAGTCGCTGCATGTAACCTGTACGGTTACGCCTGTTTCCATTCCTCGATGGTAGGTCAAGCGTCGGTCCAGATGGTCAACAGTCGCGACAGTTGACTCTTGCGACTGTTGACCTTCCTGCCCTTGATATGGGCTGATCCGATACTGCGGGTGTTGTTGCTTCGATAAGGTCAGGTGCGATACTGCTGCACCTACGGGAATGCTAAGTATAATTCCCTTCACACTCCAACACTCCCCTTCATTCCTGGAGGTGCGCCACGTGGCTCTTGCGAGTGACTCCGCACAGGTCCGAGCAGTACTGGAACTTTTGACGTGGCAGTTTCTTGGTGAGGAAATCAGCTGCCATTTCGCCAGTTGGACAGTAGATGAGCTGGACTTTTCCCTTGTCGATTTCGTCTTTCACGAAAAAGTAACGCAGGGCGATGTGTTTCGTGCGGTTGACGAAGCCTGGCTTGTTGGCGATTTTGATCGCGCTCTGATTGTCGCAGAGTAACTTGAAGGACCCGTTCATCGCCGTCTTCGTTTCCTGCAGGAGTTCCGTGAGATAGAGTCCCTCGCGAACTGCTGCGCTTGCTGCGACGAATTCTGCTTCTGCTGACGAGAGGACGATGAGCTCTTGTTTGTTGGAGTTCCAAGAGATGGTTCCTGCAGGCTCGAGTTTGAAAATGAAGCCTGTGCGGGACCTCCTGTTGTCTGCGTCCCCAGCGTGGTCCGCATCCACGTAGCCGGTGAGTTGTAGGGGCGCTGTTAAGTTGGCCTTGTAGGTGAGGCCGACATCGGGCGTAGAGATGAAGTACTGTAAGGCGCGGCGCAGGTCGGCTAGGTTCTCCCCTTCAGGTCGGCGCAGGTACTGGGCGAGCTGGCTGGCGATGTAGGATAAGTCCGGGCGGCATGTGACGGCGGCGAACAGTAGACATCCGAGCTGCTGCTGATAGAGACGGTGATCAGCCGGTGAGAGCGGAGTAGTGTCGGGCTGGTGGTTAGGCAGAGGAATGCGGAATGGGGTGGTTACACCGACGGGAGCTATCCCGAACTTCTTAGCGAGAGTCTCGGTGTACTTTGCGGCGGAGAGATGAATTGTGTCCGCGGTCTGAGTGATGTTGAGGCCGCGGAACTGAGTGACCTCGTGGTCGATCGTGACCTCCAGCTTCTCCTGAATTTCGCGTTCGAAGCGATCGAGCAGTTCGTTGTCGTCGCCGGTGTAGAGAAGGTCGTCGACGTAGGCGACGAGCAGGATGAAGTGGCCGCGGGATTCGAGGCGGTACATCCCCTGATCGTGGGGAAGCTGCTGGAAACCGAGCTCGATGAGAACGCCGTGAAGATGCTGCTGCCACAGGCGTGGTGCCTGCTTGATGCCGTACAGAGACTTTTGAAGAAGGCAAATAGCGTCTCCCTCTTCCTCGAACGCATGCGGCTGCTCGACGTAGATGACGGCGTCGACGATTGCGTACAGGAACGCGTTGGAGACGTCGATCTTGCGGAGCGGACGCTGTTTGACGGCGGCGATGCAGAGAAGAATGCGTACTGAGGTGTGACGACCGACAGGTGCGAATGTCTGGTTGTGGTCAACAAACTGTGTCTGCTCGAATCCGCGAACTACCCATCGCGCCTTGAATTTCTCGACCGTCCCGTCCGCCAGGGTCTTGATGCGAAAAACCCACTTTCCTGTAAGGATCTTTCTCCCCTTTGCGTGGCGGCGTGGTACCAGCTTCCAGGTTCCACGACGTTGCAGTGCAGCGACTTCTGCGGCCATGGCGGCTCTCCACTTCTCGGCATCGGGCCCGTTGAGAGCTTGGCGAACGGTGGTGGGCTCGACCAGCTGCTGGTTACCCCGTACGGCGACAGCGAGGCCGAGGACGCGAAGGCCCGTGAGGTTGGATTCGGCTGTGGTGGTAACTTCGACCACGTCGTCGTCATCGCCAGGGATGTCGCGAAGAGTGTCGCGAGATGAGTCACGAGCTGGGTCTTCGTTCATGGGTGAGTGCATTTCTGCACTTGCGTAATCGTGTTGTGCCTGTACTGCTTCGTGCCGGTTGATATCTGTTGGGAAGAACGTGGGAGTGCCGAACTGCTCCGTAACGGGGATGAAGGGTGGCTCGTCTGCTGCTGCCTCGTCTTGCTGTTCTCCTGCCACGTCAACGTCGTCTTCGTCATTGGCGTAGCTGTGCTGTCCCTGAAAAATGTTGTCCGGTGCGTTCTGTGCAGTGCGGTGCTGGCGGTACAGTGGCAGGGTCAGTCTTTCGTAGAAGATGCAGTCACGTGAACGCGTGAGCTGGTGGGTGGCGAAGTCCAGAATTGTCCAGGCGTGGTATTCGGATTCGATTCCGAGGTGGATGCCCCAGCGAGCGCGATCTTCAAATTTTCCGGTTCGGGCAGTGTGGGGGCGGTACTGTACCATACACCCGAAGACTCGCAGCATGCGTGTATCGGGGTGTTTTCCGGTCCACTCCTTGAAAGGTGAGCTGTTGTTGGGCAGTGCTTTCGAGGAAAGCATGTTGTGCCGTCGAAATGCATGCGCCATGGCGAAGGGCCAATACTTGGTTGGCACAGCCGACTGCTTCATGAGGGCTCGCATTTTTGTCGCGAGGCTCCTGTTCGTTCTCTCCGCCAATCCCTGCTGCTCGTGGGCGTAGGGCAAGGAGACCATCCTCTTGATCCCTCTCTGCTTGCATAGGGTTTTGAAGTCGTCCGACATGTACTCCATGGCTCCATCTGTCTGGAACGCCTTCAGCTTGTGGTCGTCACTTTGGTTTTCCGCCATGGCGAGCCAGACTTCAAAGCAGTAGAAGGCGAGGTAGCGATCCGTGACGTTCACGGCCCAGACGAAGCGTGTGCCGGCGTCGATGAAGGTAAGGGTGTATTGCTCCCCTCCAACTCCTTTCGCCGTGAGAACCAGGAAATCGCTGTAGACTTTCTCCAGTGGTTTGTATCGTTCGGCTCCGGGAATCTTTTCAGCAAAGGGCGTGTGGCGGAGCGCGGCTGCCGGACAGACGGTGCAGTTGGGTAGATCGGTTCGTGGTTTTAGCAGTTTACCATCGGGCAGCAACAGTGCGTCTGCCGCAAAGACATTTGCGTTGATGCAGTTGTTGAGCACCTCGATTGATGGGTGTCCCATGCGTTGATGCCAGATGTCTCCGTCAGCCCGATACCCCTTGGTGCGCGTGTACAGCTCCTTTTCTCGTGCTAATATCTCCTCTGCTGTTTCTTGCCTTGTTGCGTCCGCAGGCTCATCGGGCATGGTGACTTGAACTGCCGCTGCTTGAATTGTCACGCCATGATATGTTCCGCTGGAGTCGCCGATGGCAGCAGTGTCCATTGTCACCGGCAGCTCCAGTGGTTTCTCTGAACGCGTGGGAGAGGGTCGTGCGTGATGATCTTCGAGCTCCGTGATTTCTTCTCCCTCGGGGTTGGTGTCGCCGATCGCCACTCCCCTTGTCTCGAGGCGAAGATAGTCTCGGCCGTCTGTCGTGATGGGAAGTAGGTGAGGCCCGTACTCCGTTAGTGATTCCTCCTCCTCTGCTTCTGGTGCTTCTTCAGTGATTTCTGGTTCTGCTGCTTCTTCTGCAGGTGCGTCGGCGATGCTTCCCCATCCGGTTTCAGCTGCGACGGCTTCCCCCAGTATGGTATTCTCCATGACCCAACGCATATCGACCGCGTCCCATCCTTCGGTTGTGTTCCAGCCGGTGGGACGTTCGACAGGCGGCCAGTAAGCTTGCGTTCTCGTTGGCTCGGTTGTTTCGGCTGCTGTTCCTGATGTAGTTTCCTCTCCTTCTTCCACTGCTTGCGGTCCTGTCTCTGCAGGGTTTGTTGTTGACGCGACGGGCACGGCGAGAGCGCGGAAGGTGCCGTCGAAGCCGGGTTGTTGATAGTCGGTTTCTTCTGGGTGGCTCCATCGTGGCGGCGACGGATGACCCGGAGGGTCAAGAACAAGGATGTGTTCGTTGTCGCCGGTGGTTCTGGGCGACTCGAAGTCGAGCACGAAGACGCCTTCCACACTTGTTGCCTTCCCGATAAAGATGCCGTTGTATATTAAGTGCATTTCGTCTTCTGTTGTTTG